ATAAGTGGTGCCCCCTCTTCTAGCTCTACAACAGCCCCATCCCTTCCTTTGGAACTCCTAAATGCAACAAATATCCATCAAAACAAAACCTCAAACCAATCTAATGGCCATAACAACACTAATACAGCTACATCAACAACAACGGCAGCAGTTTCTGCTTCAGCAGCTGCTAACGGATTAAACAATCGTTTTAGTCCTCGTAGTTTAAATGGCCCTCAACAGCAACAAAACGTTCAAGTTCAGCAAAATGGCACTTCCCCATTAAACTTGGTTGCTGCACACTTAAATGGAAATAACAACAATATACCCGCAAGTTTTTTAGAAAGCATTCAACAACAACAGCAGCAAAGAGCTTTGCTAAATGGGGGAAATGGAAGAGCTGCTTTAATGGGACCAGTGTTGGATGAGGTAGTATAGCTAGAGAAAAAATAAACTTGAGGAATATTTAAAAAAAAAAAGCCTGAATATAATACATATAATAAACTTGGGAAACAAAATAAACCTAGAATAGGAAAAATAAACTTGAAATACAATAAAATAAACTTGGGGTATATTAAATAAACTTGAAAAAGAAAAGATAAACTTGACAGAAGGAAAATAAACTTGGAATAAAAATAAACTTGGATTAATACAATAAACTTGAAAATACATTAATTAAACTTGAATTTAAAAAATAAACTTGGAATACAATAATTTTACTTGGATATAATATAATAAACTTGGAATTACAATTTTAGTTACAACTACACCAACTACGCGCAATTTACCCCTTTTTCAATGCCCATCAATTATTCCCAATGAATTCAGCAGCTGCCCTAACTGGATTAGCTGCAAGTTTATTACCTTCATCAACTCAAAATGGAGTTGGTTCAATAAATGGGCGTAAAAGAGAATTAGAAAATGAGGGGGCGAAAGAAACAGTTTCAAATAAAGTCCAAAGAGGGGATGCCCAAAGCAGCACTTCAATCTCCCCAACTTCAACTAACAGCCCTGAACAGACTTTACACCATCCTCCACACCAACAGAACGAGCATAACAGTAAACGTCGTTCCCTCTTCCAAGGAATAAATTCTTCAAATAATTCTTTGGCTATGGCTGCAGCTCAACAGGCAGCTGCCGCTCAACTTGCCGCTGCTGCCCAACAACAGCAACAACAAACGTTGCGTTGTACAGGCTGTCAAGAACGACTGGAAGATACACACTTTGTTCAGTGCCCGTCTGTTAATGGACACAAATTTTGTTTCCCTTGTTCAAGGAAAAGTATTAAAAGGCAGTGGAATTCGCAGGTATTTGAAGACTAGAATGCTTCTAATTTAATTTAATTAAATAAAGGATGTTCACTGCCCTTCTGGTGAAAAATGTCCTTTAGCCAACTCCAGTCAGCCTTGGACATTTATGTTGCAGGAAATACAAACGGTGTGTTTATATTTGTAAAATACAATAAAAATAAACTTGGCCTATAATAAATAAACCTGGGCTATAAAAATAAACTTGGAATACAATAATTAAACTTTAATATAATAATTAAACTTGGGAATATTAAATAAACTTGGAATACTAAAAATAAACTTGAACCATAAAAAATAAATCTGAAATACAATAATTAAACTTTATATTTATATTCCCAAGTTTATTTTTATAGTCCAAGTTTATTATATTATATTCAAGTTTAATTTTGTATTTTCAAGTTTATTTTAGGTATTTCAAGTTTATTTAATATACCCCACACAATAATTAAACTTGAAACATAATTAAACTTGAAATATTTAAATTAGATATTGGGAAGTGATGAATACGATGCTTTTCAACAAGATCGAGAACGAATTGGTTTATTTACTCCCAATGTCAATTCTGTGGTAAAATCATTTTTATAAATATTTAAAAAATTAAATTTTAATTTTAAAGCCCGGAAGAGAAGCAAGTAATAATGGAGAAGCAAGTGGACAACAAAACTCTTCCGACATCCAAGTTGTAATAATTTTAATTTTTTGAGGGGTGCGCAAATTTTTTTGGCGTTTTATAAAAAATTTTTCCAATTAAAAAAAATTTTTTTAAATTAAAGATGAACGGCCCAAAGTGTGCAAAAGAACGATCACCAGCTAGTGAAGCATCGCCTGGGGATAATAACACAAATAATATATCTGTTAGCAATGGACTATGAAAAAAATTGAAAGGGAGAAGAGAAAAATCAGTTAAATTTAAAAAGCAATATTTTTAAAGAAAATATACCCAAAAATATATTAAAATTAGGGGAGGTTTCCCAATTTTTGTACAAAAAATAATTAATAATGCCCCTCCCCTCATAAAATAATTATTGGCCCAAAATTGGAAGGTTTTAAAGTCATATTCTCCAAAAATTAATAAAAATTTGTTGTTCATTTTTAACCCAAAAATTAAAAAAAAAATTTTTTTTTGTATTTTTATAAAATTTAATTTTGTTTGTTAAATTATTTTAAAAATTATTAAAAATGTTAAAAATATGGCCAACAGACATTTGCGAACAAAAATGAAAGAGTTTATTGAAATTGGAACAAAATTAGTTGGGTCAAGCTCATTATCGTTTAACTGCTCCAAAATGATGCCCCAAATAGTGGAACACTCTTAAAAATACCCCACAGATGTATCCTTACTGAAGGCAAGCTTCAGTGTTCGTTCAAAATTTTGGTTCGCAAATGTCGCATAATTTTGAATTTCAAGGCAATGTTTTCCAAAAATTCGGATTTGCATCAAGCCTTCTTTTAAAATTTGTATACCATTCAGTTACACTTTTAGCAGGAACATATTCCTCATATTGGGTAGTGTTGGGTTTGGGGAAGGAGACGGCAAAAGAATGCATAAAATTGACAAAGTTGCGCAACATTTTCTCTGGGAATAGAGCTAGGGAAGATAACTAGAAAATAAACTTGAATTATTAAAAAGATAAACTTAGAATAAATACAAAATAAACGGAGCAGTTCAACTGGGTACAGGCTTAACTGAGTTCCGTCCATGGCTGGTCGCAATTGGAAAAAATGTCCGCAGCCGCAATTTTAATTTAAAAATCGGCAAATCAAAAAACACGCAATCCGCAATTTCGCCCAGCCCTGGTTCTGCCCCAATAACTCAAGACGGGTATCATATTTTTTAACGTTCTTGGCACTGTTGGATAGAGCATTAACTGAACTACATTATACCAAAAAATGGAAATTTCCGATTGAACGACAGAAAAATTATGATTTAAAAACTAACTTTTTCAAAAAATATGATTTTTCGGCGATCATAACTTTTTTTCCATGTCGGTCAAGATTTAGATTTTACGAAATATTGTAGCCTATTTAATGCTCTATCCGTTGATACAAAGAACATAAAAAAGTGGTCACCCCATCATAAGTTATAGGGTTCTAAACTCAGTCTAGACTCAGTTGAGGTATACCAAAAAGAATAAACTTAGAAAAAATACAAATTAAATAAAAAAGCAAACACAAACTTGTTCATTAGTTGAGGTTTCTTCATTTTCATTTCTTCTCAAAATTTCAATCATTGGTTCAACTTTAACGCCTATTAAAGCACTATGAACTGCCGAATTATTGAACATATTTGTATTTATATTGGAAGCATTAAAAGAAAAATTTTGAGGGTTTTGTTGTTGAGTGTGTTTAGTTAGCTTAAAAAAATAAATTAATTTAAAAAATTTTTCCGAGGACGAAAATTTGAAAAAAATTTAAAAAAAAGATGACATTTGATCCCATCGACAGAAAAAATTTTTTAACTTAATTTAAATAAAATAAAAATTTAAACCTGTCCAATTTTAAATAAAGCACTAGGTTTATCGTTGCTAATAAATCCAAGATAATTCCATTGTCTTTCCCCTCCGTCAATTGGTGTCCAACTCATGTAAACTAATAAAAAAATTAATTCTTTAATAAATTTAAAAAATAAAAAATACAACTGACTAGATCCTCCATAATTGACTGGAAGAGGTGAAAGTCCGGTAAGGAAGATTACAAGGTGGTTAATGCTGGAAAAATATTTTTTTGACATTTTTTTAGAAAATTTTGGGGATTTTCAGGGGGCAAAAATGGCCTAAATAAATGTAAAATTCGTAATTGGCATCCTTGAAAACCTTTTGTTATTAATTTTTTGATTTTTAAAACATTTTTGAAGGAGGTGACATTTGATCCCGGACATTTTTTAAATTTAATTTTTAAGTTTTTCTTTCAAGAAATGGGCCTCGGAATAGACTTAAATAAATTCCTTGATGATTTTCGATTTCGAAAAAACCACTTTACTGATTTAAGAAAATTTTTAAATAAGTGACATTTGATCCCAAGTAGAAAAATTAACTTAAAAATCACCACAAACCTTTCAGCATCCTGTATTTCAATCATATATTCCATTTCTTTAAGAGCAGTAAAATCAGTCTGAACCATTCTACCAGCTATAATAAGTCCAAAAACAGACATTTTAATTTTTTGGGGAGAACTAAAATAAAAAATTTTTAAAAATAATTAGAAAATGTAAGAGAAAATAAAAGAAATGTAAAGAGAGTGTGTTTCCAAGAGAGACAATTCCGGAACAGACAGTAAATTAAGTAAGAAGAAGAGAAAATTTAAGTGGGCAAATTAGCTCGGACTCTAAATACCCTTGCATTTTCTAGATTTTTCCTGTTAATTTAGACAGTCACAAAAATGAGAGAGTAGGTGTTGTTAAGAGAGACATTTCCGGAACAGACACGAAATTAATTTAGAAAAGAGAAAAATTAATTGGGAAAATTAATCTCAGACTCTAAATGCACTTTATTATCATTTTTTTCCTGTTAATTTAGACATTCACAAAGATGAGAGAGTATGTGTTGTTAAGAGAGACATTTCCGGAATAGACATAAAATTAATTTATTTCTTTCTATTTTCCCCCAAATTTTTTTTATTTTTAAACGTGTTGCTTTACTTAAAATTTTGTCTGATTAAAATTAACGTTTCCTTAAAATTGTTTAGAAATTTTTTTTTTAATTTCTAGAGAAAATGGGTATAACAAATACTCAAGGAAATGGTTGTTTTTCAATGTTGGGTGATTCAAGGGTTTGGCTTATTTTTGGATTTGTAGTGTCTGTTAAATTTATGTTGATCAACAGCTACCATTCTACTGATTTTGAGGTTTTTTTCTTTTTAAATTATTTTTTGGGTTGGGGGTTTTCCGTACCCATGCATTTTTAGTTTCCTTTAGTTTTTCCTCGGCCCGTTATCCTTCCTTTGTCTCAAATCCACTGAACTCTGAAACCTTCGTTCCTGTATCCCAAACGGTCACCCGAACTTCTAGAGGGCGCTTGTCGATTTCTTTTCGTTGGCTAAACTGCTTATCTTTATTTTGAAAAAGGTGACACTTGATCCCAGGTATACAAAAAGGTTGGATATATCATAAACCTTTCTGCCTCTTGTATTTTGAACGATGATACTCAGTTTCTTCTATTGCCTTTCATTATGGCTATGAGGTTTTGATTTTTAATCAATTTTGTCTACCTGGGATCAAATGTCATCTCCCCCCAAAAATCATAATTTCTTTCCTTTCTTTTAAAGGTTCATCGTAATTGGATGTCTATAGTCTACAATTTACCTCTCGGTCATTGGTATCATTCACAAATTTCAAAATGGACGTTGGACTATCCTCCTTTCTTTGCTTATTTTGAATGGGTTTTGGCTAAATTAGCTTTTTTAATTGATCCAAGTATTTTAACTCTTGGGAAGGAAGAATATTTTTCAACCTCTACACTTTATTTTCAAAGAATTAGTGTTATAATGGCTGATTTTATTTATGTAAGAGGAGGTTTTTTAAGAAATTTATTTGAGAAAAAAATTTTTGCGGACAAAATTTTTTGTCCGCAAATCTTTTACGAACTTTTACGTGTCCGCAAAAATTTTTTGCGGACTTTTTTATGTCCGCAAAATTTTTGCTCACTTTTTTTTGTCTGCAAATTTCTTGCGGATTTTTTTTGTCCGCAAAATTTTTGCGGACTTTTTTTTTTTGTCCGCAAAAATTCTTGCGGACTTTTTTTTTGTCCGCAAATTTTTTTGACCGCAAAAATTTTTGCGGATTTTTTTTTTTGTGTCCGCAATTTTTTGCGAACAAATTTTTTAGCTGATTATCTTTACTTTTTTTTTATTTTAAAAACAGTTTCTGGGTTGTGCTAGCGTTTCTTCTTCATTTGTTTCCACAGAATGGGCTGTCGGAGAGAAATTTATGGCTAGAGCAAAATTGTGTCTTTTTACTCTTTTAATGTTAAATCCGGTTAATTTTTGAATAATTTTTTAAATTAATTTATTTTTAGGCTCTCATAATTTTGGATAATATTCATTTTCAATATAATGGATTTTTGTATGGTTTTCTTCTTTTGTCGATTGGGTCAATTGCTAGAGGGGATTTTTTGAAGGTTTTGAATATTTTTTTGTTTATTTTTGGTGTTTTGGATGTTTCGAGTTTTCAAAATATTTTTTAACATGTTTTGGGGCCAGGGATGTCATGAATTATCTGATACTCAAAATCAAAAACCCAGACAATTTTTGGATCTAAAATTTATTCACTTAGGACAATTTACTCCATCCGAAATCTTATTGTCTTTTTCTATTTGGGATATTCCTGTTTTGTACCTACCTAGAAATTGAAACACGAGGGATTGCAACACTAGACTTACTCCGTCCAGTGTTTGATTTTTGATCGATTCAAAAACGGGGTACAAACTAGAGATCGAGCCGGGACGTGATCTCGAACCAGGCCCGTAGCCAGGGGGGGGGTGAGGGGGGGGAATTCCCCCCCCCCGAAATGGGAAAAAGGAAAAAATTTGGGGAAGGGCTGGGGCAAAAAAAGTGAATTTTTTTGGCCTACGGCCTCTGAAATTTAAAAAATTTTCGCCTGCGGCGCTAAAAAGGAAGAAATCTGGCTTCTTGAGGTCCAAAATTCAAAAAATTTTCGCCTGCGGCGCTGAAAATCAAATTTTTGGCGCCTGCGGCGCCGAAAAAGTGAATTTTTTTGGCCTACGGCCTTCTAAAATTCTCAAAATTTTCGCCTGCGGCGCTGAAAATAAAAATTTTTGGCGCCTTCGGCGCCAAAAATTTGGCGCAAAAAATTTCCCCCCCTCGAAAAAAAATCCTGGCTACGGGCCTGTCTCGAACTAAAAGCTCTGTCATCAACTTGAATATTTTTCGAGATATTGATTTGGTCTCTAGTCTATAACCTGACACTGACCAAAAAAATTAGAAGGGAAAACAGCCTGTTTTGTTTCAAAACCCATCCAAAAATGTCCTAAAAAAATTTTTTAATTTAATTTTTTTTTAACTTTTAGGGTGCTTTATTTTACGCAATTCTATTAAACTTCAAACATTTATATTTATATTATGCCCCAGCATTTATTATTTTTTATTTGTCTTGGTATCTTTATTGGGAAGAATCTGGTGGGAGAGTGTTTTCTTTAATGGCAATTTTGGTTGGAATTTTTTCGCTTTCATTTGGACCTTTTTTGATTGAAGGAATTTCTGCTTTTAATTTTAAAGGTTTGCAAAGAAATTTAAATTGGAAGGTTTTTTCTCGTTTGAACCATTTTTTATTTGGGTCAACCTTTAAAAATGGTTGTAAAAAGTCGAAAAAAAATTCTTTTGGGGTTTGAAGAGGCTGGTAATGATTATGGAATTAATTTTTATTTATATCGAAATGTAAAAATGTATTTTGGGTATTATTTAGAAATGAAAAATTTAATTTTTAAAAGTTATATAAGGGTTTTGGAAGGTTTTTAGTGTGCTTAACCGAGTTTTTTTTGACTTATTTTGGCTATTTTCATGTTTCTAAACAAGACCGCTCGACCGCCCCAAAAGTTTAAAACTTTGGAGCCCTATAACTTTCTGAAATGGGAGTCAGGGATAAAAAAGCCAAAGATGGGAATAGGCTATCGGCCATGCTCTACACAATGGTTTATCTTTGTTGGTGGTAGTTCGAATTGGTTCCTTGTTATTTCCGTGAAAAATTTAAAAAAAAGATTGAAATGAGTTTCTTGGTTCTAAACATGTCTGGAATCTTTGGCCATAGAGCTACGAAAAAATTAGACAAAATGACATTTTCCATTTTAAAAATTAGAAAAAAAATTTCTTTATTTTTTTTTAAATTTATTTTTTAGATGGTTTTCGTTCTTCATTAGGCCAGATTTTGTCACGTCTTTTTCCATTCAAAAGAGGATTAACACACGCAAATTGGGCACCAAACTTTTGGGCTTTGTATAATTTTGTTGATGCTGGGCTGGCTAAAATTATTTTTTATTTTTCTGGAAAAGATTGTTCGGCTGGTATGGCTGCAATTTTACTTAAAAAGTGCCCGCCAACATCTGAATTTACAAAAGGAATTGTTGGGGTATTTTTTGAAAAATTTATTTTATTCTTAAAGTCAAAGTGCGGGTGGGTGATAAAATGACATTTTTAGTTGAAAATGCAAAAATGACATTTTTATGACATTAAGACTATCTGACATCTTTTGACATAATGAAATATTTATGACACAAATGACATTTTTGTGGTAAATGTCGTAAATGACATGACATTTTCTATTTAAAAATGTCAAAAATGAAATTTTTCTTTTTGTCTTTTTTCCCCAGTTTCTACTTGATCTAATGGTTGTTTTTAGATTCTATAAAAATTCATTGTCGAGACGTGAAGACTAGGTTGGGGGGGGGGGGGGGGGCTAGGCGTTTGTTTATTTTTTAATTTAAGAATCTTATTTTTAAGATTAAAAAAAGGGGAGGGGAGGGTAGCAATTAAGCTTACAAATGTTCCTAGACTTGTAATTTTTTGCATAAAATTTTTTTTATTTTCTTCAGGAATATTCTCATTCAATTTTGCCTGATATTTCTCCATTAATTTCATTAATTATAATTTTTGTGATTTTAATTGCTTCGTTTTGGCGTTTTAAAGATATTGAGGTTTTTTTTTAATTTTTATTAAATTTTTTAAAATTTAATTTTAAAGGAATATTCCCATACAGATTTTTTATTAATTTCAATGTTATTGTCTGCCTACCCATTTTTTCTTTTTGGATGGCATGTGCACGAAAAGGCTATTTTAATGTTATTTTTTCCGTTGGCTATACTTTCAATTAAAGTTTGTTTTTATTTTTTTGAATTATTTTTTTTAATTGAAAATCAAAGAAAATTTTTTTTGTAATTTGTTAGAAATTTCTAAAATTTTACAAGAGTAAGAATTGGTATTTCGTATTTTCCTAAATCTAGCCTATTTTTTCCTTTTATTATTGTAACTTACCTATTTGAACTTTCTAGAGTATGAAACGGTATGGTGTAGTGGTTGTGTTCTAGCCTATACAAATTTTCTGCTTAGGTTCGATTCCTCTCCGTGCTAAATATTTTTCTTTTGTTTAAGAAACTTTAATTTGGTTATTTTATAAGTTTAGTTTTGATGAAAAAATTTTTTTAAGAATTTTTTTAAAAGAATTTTATGTCCCCAAAAATATAATACATACACGTTTCTTTGAGAAAATAAAAAATTTTATCCACAGGTTTTTAATTAAATTGAATTTGTCCGTCAAAAAATGTCCGCAAACTTTTGCAGATTTTTAGATTTTTTAGGCAAAAATATATTATTTGCGGATTAAAAGTTGCGGACTTTTTTTTAGCATGACCAAAAAATAATAATTTAAATTTATTTCTTTTTTTAAAAAGGATTCTCGTTTTATGGAGCCATTTTCCTTAATGTTTTTAATTTCAACATTTGCTCAATTTAATTTATTATTTACCCCTCTAGAACATTATTTAATTAAAATTAGCTTTATTTTTGGAATTTTTGCTGTTGGAATATTTGTATTTAATTATTTGTGGCAAATTAGTCCATCAGAATTAATTAGATGTCCAGTTGCTTTTTTGTTGTTTAGAATGGTTTTATTGGCTGAATTTTATTCTTTAATTGGTCATAAAGTAAAAAAAATTTTTTTTTAATTTTTTAAATTTGCGGACACTCACATATAGGGGGTTTTGTCCGCAAATTTGCATTGTCCGCAAAAGTTGTCCGCAAATTTAAAAAATTTGCTTTCATTTTCCTCATATCTCTCCTAATTTCCGTAACTTTAATTTCAACTTAGAACATACCTTTAACAATTTTCTAATTTTTAAAGTTATTATTTTCCTCAACCGAATATGATTTTCTTCCAATTATGGTTACATCAGTAGTTTGTTCTTTAGCGGTTATATACTCTTATGTTGGTATTTTACTTGGTGTTTTTGGAATTGATTTTGGTATAAAAATTGCTAAGTTGAAATTGTATAGAAAAGAGGTTTGTATTCTAGTATTTTTTAATTAAAATTTTTTGTCCGCAAAAATTGTCCGCAAATTTTTGCGGACAGAATCTCAATTTTACTTTTTTAGGCAAAAATTCTTTCTTTACCTGAGACGACAGAATTTGACGAACGTTCAATAAGATACATTGCAGGTATTGATCTTTCTGCTTCTACAAATCACCCATCATTTGGGGTTGTTGGATTGACTGTTTTGGCTTATCCTAGTATGAAGGTTTTTATATTTTTTAAGTTTAAGATTTCAAATAGTTAAGAGTTTGTGGGAAAAAGTTTGGATTACCACCTAGCAGGTATCGGACTTGCTTTTTAAAAAATGAAAAATTTTTTATCCGCAAAAGTTGTCCGCAAATTAAACATTTTTTGCGGATTTTTAAAATAATTTTTCTTTTAAGTTAAAAAATCTTTTTCAATTTAAAAGGTTGTTTATTGTGCAGATGAACCAGTTCTTTTAAGTGCTTTAGGAGGTGTAATGCCTTATTTACCCGAATATTTTGCTATTAGAGAAGCAAAACCTTTACTTCGTGTAATTCGTCGTCATTTAAAAAATTGTCCAAAAATTGATTTGATTTTTGTTGATGCAAATGGGAAATGGCATTCTAGAGGTTTTTTTTGGTTTTTTATTATTTGTTTTTAATTTTTTTCGGGTTTTCATTTGTTTAATTTAAAAAATTGAATTTGCGGACTTTTCTTTTGTTTTGCGGACTTTCTTTTATGCGACTATTCTCTTGCGGATTTTTTCTGCGGACTTTTCCTTTTCTTCTCCTTTAGGAACAATTTTTTGTTATTTAATTTGTAATGGAAGCACCTCATTTCTGGTTATTTCCAAACAAATTCTTAAAAAATATATTTAACAAAAAAAAATCCGCAAATATAGTCCGCAAAAATAACAATTAAAAAAATTTTTTTAAAGGTTGTGGTTTGGCTTGTCATATTGGTTACGAATTGGGCATTCCTACAATTGGAGTTGCCAAAAAACTTAATGAAGCTCCACTTTTGTATTCTGGATATTGTACACGTGAGGATTTGGCGGAAATTAATTCGGTTAATTTTTTGTTTTTTTGCGGACATTTTTTGCGGATTTTCCTCCTTTACCATTAAGTTCTTTTTTGTGTTGGGTATGTGTCGCAACCTATTTTTGATAAAGACTAAAGGCCGATTGTATACTTAATTATTTTTATACTATTTTTCGGGTCATCCGCAAAATTTCTTTTTTGTCCGCAAAATTTGTCTGCAAATTTTAATTTTTTTTAAATCAATTTTTTATTTCAGGAAATTTACGAAAAATGTGATGACTCTGAAGGATCAGCAACAATCTTCTACTTAAATTGGAATAAGAAAAATGAAAATAATGATCAAATAAAATTGCCAAGTTTGGCTGTTATCCACACAAAATCATCAAAAAAGGCTTTTTATGTTTCTGTTGGTTTTGGTATAGATTTTGTTTCTGCATCAAAAATTGCTTTTAATTGTATTGGAAAGAATTCATATAATGTAAATCCTATTAGATTGGTTTGTTTTTGGTTTTTGGGTTTTAAAAAACAAAAAAAAGTCCGCAACTTTTGGCGGCAAAAAATTTAATTTTCTGTAAACCCAGGGATAAACCTGTTAAATGTTCGCAAATTTTGTCCGCAAGTTTTCACAATTTACTTTGATAGAGGCTCCTCGTCTTCTAGACTCTTCATCCCATTCTAGGCTTTTCGTCCCCACTCGTCAATTATTTTTCTATTTCCCGACCTCACCCGTGCTCTGAAAATTTCTCCGCTTCGTGAGATAAAATTTTTAAATGTCCGCAAATTTTCTTAAATTTACTTTAATAGAGGTCGGTCTAGGCTTCTCGTCCCTGCTCGACGATATGGGGGGTTTTTTCTATTCCCCAACACATCCCCCATGTTCCGAAATTTTCTCCACGGTGGATAAAAGTTGCAGACTTTTTCTTGATTATTTTTAAAAATTGATTAAAAATAAAAATAATTATTTTTAATTAAGAGCGATCTTCGTTCGAGTAAAAGAATTGGAGAAATTTTTGAACATTAAAAGAGAATAAAAATTAGAAAGTGTGATTATTTTGTTTAATTATTATATAATTCTTTTTTTCCTTTAAAAATTAAAAAAGTTTTTTAATTTTTTGTCCGCAAATGTTTGTCCGCAAAATTTTATTTTTTTTAATGAAGTTTCTTTTAATTTTATTTTGTGAATTTATACTAGAAATGAACAGTGGAGACCAAGAAAACAACGATGATTTTGATCAACAACAATGTGTGCCGTTATTTATAGCTGCTCCAATGGTTCGATATTCAAAGTTTGTTTAATTAATTTATTTGATTCGGCTTTTTAAGACTTATCCTGTAGAAAGTTAACGTCAGTAATAAGTCCGTAACAAAGAGCGTAGCCGTGGGGTGATACGGTCTGTGGCCTTTAGGTTTAGCCCAGCTATCAACATCACCATGTCTTTTTCTTAGAAAATCCAAATTTTGTCCGCAAAAAATTTGCGGACAAAAAAATTTCTTGCGGACAAAAAATTTTGCGGACAAATTTTGCAGATTTATTTTTTTAATCAGAAATTTTTTATAGATTGCCATTTAGACGACTTGTCAAAAACTATGGCTGTGACATTGTTTATACTCCAATGATTTATGCAGATTGTTTTATAAAATCAGAAAAGTGTAGAGCTGTTGAATTTGTACCAAGTGAAGGAGACTTTCCTATTGTTCAATTTGCTGCTAAAAATGCTGAAGATTTTGCTGGTGCTGCAGAATTAGTTTATGGGTTAGTCAATTTTTTCCGTTAATTTATTTTAAAATTATCTTTTATTTTAAAATTATCTGCTCGAAATTTTTGTCCGCAAAACTTGTCCGCAAAAAATTATTTGTCCGCAAAACTTGTTCGCAAAAAATTCTGTCCGCAAAAAATTTTTTGTCCGCAAGTCTTGTCCGCAAGTTTTGTCTGCAAAAAAAAATAATTTTTTTTTCTATTAGTCATTGTCAAGGAATCGATTTAAATTGTGGCTGTCCTAAAAGAGATGTCCGCTCAGAAGGTTTTGGTTCTAAACTTTTGGATGATCCCCAACTAATATTTGATATTGTTAAACAATGTAGAAGAAGAATATCAGATGAAAACTTTTCAATTTCAATAAAAATAAGATTAAAAAAATCGTTGGAAGAAACTGTGGATTTGTGTAGAAAGGTTTATTATTTTTTATTTTAGGAGGTGAAGCATGTCTCAGGTTTTCTGGAACTTGCTTCGGGTTTTCTGAAACAAGCTTCAGGTTTTCTGAAACTTGTTTCAGGTTTTTTGAAACTTGTTTCAGGTTTTCTGAAACTTGTTTCAGGTTTTCTGAAACTTGTTTCAGGTTTTTTAAACTTGTTTCAGGTTTTTTGAAACTTGTTTCAGGTTTTCTGAAACTTGTTTCAGGTTTTCTGAAACTTGTTTCAGGTTTTTTGAAACTTGTTTCAGGTTTTTTGAAACTTGTTTCAGGTTTTCTGAAACTTGTTTCAGGTTTTCTGAAATTTGCTTCAGGTTTTCTGAAACTTTTTTCAGATTTACTGAAGCAAATTTCATAAAACTGCTTCCGATTTTTTAATTTTTCTTGATTAAAAAGAATTTAATTTTAGGCAGAATATGCCGGTATTTCACACATTACTGTTCATGCTAGAACTGTTGAACAAAGAAATGAGCCACCCAATTATGATTCGATTGCAACAATTAAACAAGCGTTAAATATCCCTGTATTCGCTAATGGTATTTTTTTTTATTTTTTAAATATAGAAATTGAAGCATGCTTCCTGCTTCATATTTTTTAAAACGTGCTTTTGATTTTCGGAAGCAAGTTTCAGATTTTTTAAAATTTGCTTCTAATCTTTAGAAGCATGCTTCAATTTTTTTCCAAACTTGCTTCAGGTTTGCTGAAGCATGCTTTAGGTCTTTTGTGAAACTTGCTTCTAATTTTTTGAAGCATGCTTCAAGTTTTTTTTAAAAGTTTTTTTTTGTTTTATGTTTCACAATTTTTTTAATTAAAAAAATAATTTTAAGGTAACTGTAAAACACGTTTAGAAGCCTTAAACATATCAAAATTAACAAAAGCTGATGGTGTAATGGCCGCAAATGGTTTATTAGAAAATCCTGCTATGTTTGTTGGCTATTTAAAAACACCAAAACAATGTGTTTTAAATTGGTTGGAAATGGAGAAGGAAGAAAATTTGTCTTTTGAATATTTTCATCAAATTTTGGTTTTTATGTTGAGGTTAGTTGCATAGGAAAATTTTTTGGAAATTTTTTTGAAGCATGCTTCAGATTTTGTGAAGCATGTTTCATAAAATATGAAGCATGCTGCAAAAAAGTTTGAAACATGCTTCTGATTTTTTAAAAAGCATGCTTCAGGTTTTCTGAAGCATGTTTCAGATTTTTGAAGATGCTCAAAAAAATTTGTTTTAATTAAAGGTCCTCATTGCCCAAAGTAAAAAGAAATATTTTTAATTGTCTAAAAAATTCAAATGATGTCAGAAATTTTTTAAAAGAATTTTATTTTGATTAATATTTATTTGCTACTTGCTTCACTTTTTATTGTTATTACAATGCAAAAACATACGCACGGTTTAAACTTGGTAGGTTTATTTTTAAAGTTTAATTTAATTTTTAATTCCGCCTGTTTTTATAATTAAGTTTAAGTTTATTACGCCTGTTTACCAAAACAAGTTTATTTTTATTTAATTCAAGTTTATTTTTTACAAATTCCGCCTGTTTTTATTCCGCCTGGTTATGTTATTCTAACAATAAGCTTTAATTAAAGTTTATTTTCTTTCAAATTTTATTTTTAAATTCCGCCTGTTTTTACCAAAACAAGTTTATTTTCTCTATAATTCAAGTTTAATTTTTTATTCTGATTTTTCAGAATATCATACAAACTTTATTTATTTAAAGTTTATTTTTCTTTCTCTAATTCAAGTTTTATTTTTATTCTCCTTTATATTTTCTTTTGCTTCAAGTTTCTTTTTTACTCTTTCATCATCTCCATTGTTTTGTTATTACTTTTATTTTCTCCCATCATTTTTGTTGGCATTTTTAATTCCCCAACAAATTTTTCATCATTTTTTGGCATCTTATTTTCTTCAATATTAGGTATATGTGTTGGATGCATTCCTCCCATACCCTAAATTTTTTTTTTGATTTTTAAATTAAAGTTGAAGCATGCTTCAGATTTTTTTCGAAGCATTTTTACATTTGTAAAATTATTTTTAAAAATTTTTAGAAATTTGAAGCAAATTTTAAAGGTTAATTAAACATGTTTTGAAACATTTGCAGCATGCTTCATCTTCTCTTTTTTATTAGTAACATGTTTCCAAAAATTAGAAACATGTTTTTAATTATTTTAAGGATGCTTCAACAATCGAAAAATTTTTCTGTTAAACCTGAAACATGTTTTCCAGATTGTTGAAGCATGCTTCAAATTATGTTTCAGTTTTTTAGAAGTATCTTTAGATCAGAAGCATGTTCCACTAATCTGGAAGCATGTCTTACTTAACTTGAAACGTGCTTCTAAAAATTAGCGAGAAACATTTTTATTAAAACTGAAGCAAAATTATAGTCTTGCTTCATTAAATCTGAAACATATTTCTTCTATTCATTATTATTATTGTTTTCTTACATTTATTATTATTTTCTTACATTATTATTATTGTTAAATTGTTCTTCACCACCACCACCCATTAACATTTCTTCTCCATTAATAAATAAAAAATTTATTAAAATAACAAATAAATAAATTGTTGGAGTAATTAAAAAAGCCATTCTTTATTTTCTTTTTATTTTTTAAAAATTATTTTATTTTTTTTTTTGAATTTAAAACACGAAGAAAATAATAATTTTTTCTTTCTTTTTATATAGGCCAAAAAATAATTTTTTTTTCATTTTATTTGTTTTATAGGGCAATTATTTAATAATTATTTTTTAAAATATTTTTATATTATGTCACTTTTTTGTACCTCTAGGATTTTATTAGTTGTCTTTTCTTAATTTTTATTTTCTTAAAAAATTTTTTTCTTAAGAAACCAAATTAAAATTCAAGAGAAACATATTTTTTAATTACTAGAATTTTTAAATAATTTTTGTAATTGTTTTTTTTTATTTTTTTGGGGGATTTTTAGATGGTAAATAATTAAATTGGCAATAAAAATTTGGTTTTTAATAACCACACACAATTCTTAGATTCCCAGAAAAAAAATTTGAGAAAAAAAATTAAAAATGATAGGTGTGGGGATTTTTTGTCCTTAATTTTTTGGGTAAAAGTTTTTTTTTTTAATTTTTATTAGCCTAAAAATTAATTTTTTTAATTTCGATTTTGTACCAAATTTAATTTTCTATTTAATAATATTTAATTTTTTTGTAAAAATATTTTTTGATATTTTTGAGTTGTTTTGAGCTAAACATCCCCTCACTTTTTTCTATTTTTTTAATCAAAAAAAATTTTTCTCTCTTTTTTTAAATAAAATTTTTCTGATGAAATATTAATGAGAAAATGCCAATTTTGTTACAATTTTTTAGCAAAAAATATTTTTCCAATTTCCATAACTTTTTTTTGAATTTTTTAATAAAAAAATAAGTAATCTTCCCTTTTAAACATTTGTGTTTTCACCCAAAATAGTTCTCAATTTTTTAGATATACCTAAATTCTTTTCTCAATAAATATATTGTGTGTTTTTATGACATTGTTCAAAAATTAAAAATGATGTCTTCGAATGTATTTAAATTGTAAGGATTTTTTTAATTTAAAAGTCTTAGGGGTGTTGAACAGCACAGGAAAAAATTTTTTTGAATTCCTTTTTTGTTAGATTAACTTAAGGACACTCTCCAATTTCCATAATTTAGACCCTTAAGACTTGTTTAGAAAAAAAATTTAAGTTCTAGGAAGGGCGCTCTGTCAGTAGAAGATCACAAGTACGTAATAGCGAAAGCTCCTCTAACATAGGTTCGATGCCTGCCCGGGACTAAACTTTTGCTAGATAAATTCTTTTTTGGATTTAAAAAATATTTTTGAATGCTTAATTAATTAAAAAAAATTTTTTTAATTTCACAGTTGTTATTTTTGTGTTTTTCTTCAATTTCTTTTAAATTTAATAATAATTCCCACAATAAAATGTCAACAACAACAACAACAAAAACTTAAACAAAAATTTATTTTAATTAATAAAAATAATTTTGAAACTTCTCCAGATAATATTTTTCAACTTGGAAAAGAATTAAAATATTCAACAGAATGGAAACAAAAAATGCAAATGCTTTTAAGAAGAAATTATTTAATTAAAAGTGCTAGAAAAATGAAAATTAGAGAAAATACGGTGAGTGAATAAAGGGGGAGGGGAAGGGGAAAAATCAGAATTATTTCAGAAACAAATCATAATTTTTCAGAATTAATTCGGAAAATTTTCAGAATTTTTTAAAATAAAATCAGAATTATTTTCGGGATTAAATCAGAATAAAATCAGAAACGTGAGAGTTTATTCTGAAATGATTCTGAAATAAATTTAATTTTGATTTAAATTTAATTCTGAAAAAATTCTGGTTTAAAATTCTGGAAAGTCAGAATTAAATCAGAATTAAATTAAGTCTTAAAGAAAATTAGAATAATTCTGATTTTTGCCTCTAAATTTTTAACTTAATAAACATAAATATTTTTAGAATGATAAATACAATGAATCTCTAAAGGCTGCAATTAAGAAAATACTGATGGGAATTTATTATTAATTTTTTTAAAATTAACGCAACAAATAATAACATTTTTAATTTTAATAAAATTCCGAGCATCTTTTGTACTTTTTGAAAATAACCCAAAGATCACCTCCCAAAAATATAAAAAAATTCTGAAGTCAAAAAATGAATCAATGCCCGATTCTACTGTGTCAAAGTATTTTATCAACTTCCGTCTCCCCTCTCAATTCAAATTCAAAAGTATCTCCACTTAGGGGCTTTGTTGGTCTCATTGTAGTTAATGGTTCTCCCCATTCTCTTGTAGCTGGGGGCGAGCTTGACAATATTAAAATTGTTCCAACAAGTAGAGTAGTTGAAAATATTATTAGTAGGAGTCTGTCGAGGACAAATGCAACATATGACCAATTTTCTGATACCTTTAAATGATTTGATATTATGAAAATGGGCATTTTGTCATTCTTGAAATTTGGGACTTGCCTTGTCGCGTTTCTGTTTTGCTCTAAAATAATCAGCAATAAAATGCACATTGTCCAACATTCTCCTGAGCACATCAGGGCCGAGCCCTCTCATCTGTGCAAGTTGTGAAAGCCTCAATTCCCCCTCAGGGATTGTAGCAGAAACAAAAAAGGGACTTGGCCTTCTGGAACCAGCACAAAATGAAGGGGCTTGTGTGTCAGATATAGTGGTAGACTCGTCATTCTCTGACTGGGCATCCTCCTCCGGTGGATTCATTAACAAAAGTTTGGGTAATAGACGAATAAAAAGACGATAAATCCATCGAGGCATTGTGTGGAGGGTTCCATCACTAATTAAAATTTTTAGGATTTTTTTTCTTTAAATTACCGTCTATGGAAATTCAAAGTAACAACAGAAATTGCAATAGAAAAGGAAACTAGAAACATTGTAAAGAGTAGATAACGACCAATTAATGGAATAACCATTGAAGTTGGGGGAATTAATTCAATTAGAATAAGGTAAAATACAGTTAACGTAACCAATACAGAAACTAAAAATATATAATTTATTCCGGAAAATACAAAAATGTATTTTTGTATTTCAGAAAAGAATATTAATTTATGGAAAGGGGAATATTGTATTTTCCGGAAAACTAGTTAAATAAAATATTATATGTATTTTCCGGAAAAATAATATTATGCAGCTGAGAGAATTGTATTTTCCGGAATTGTATTTTCCGGAATTGTATTTTCCGGAATTGTATTTTCCGAATTGTATTTTCCGGAAGTGTTTTCCAGAATAATAATTTGTATTTTTCAGAAATAATTCTTTTCCGGAAATTGTATATAACCTATATTATTTTCCGGAAACTTGTATTTTATTTCCGGAATACTTTTTATATTGTATTTTCCGAAACCTTTAAACACAATATATAAATAAAAAATAAACTCACTAGAATAAGTCATTTTGTGTTCACATGCAGGAATATAAAAAACAAAAACAGTTAAAATTGCTAAAAATAATTTTTAAAAAAATTTTTAGAAATTTAAAATAAATTTTCTGACCGAGTAGCATGCAAGGAATAACCAAATTAACAATAAAAAATAAAGTTTTGCGTCGAATAACAAGTCGAAAGGTTATGTCAATGTAAAAATCCTGGAAATTTTAAAATTTAGAGGAAATTGGGGAAGAATTTATTTCTGGTATTTTTTTGATTTTAAATAAATTACCTGACCACAACAACCAGGATAAAGTTGTTCATGTCTAATAAATAAATAGATACATTTTGTATTTTTCCGGAAATTTTAATTATATAATTTTTGTATTTTCCGGAAAATAATTATTTAGAATTTATTTTATTATTGTTTTATATTTTTAAGTAATCCATACCTGCTACTACTAACTGACATCAAATCCCATTCAAGACTTCTAAAATTAAAATTTCTTTTATTTTTTAAATTAATTTAAATTATACGGATGATAAGCAGACAAATCCATCCCAATTTTAAGATATTTGTATTCTCTACCATCGGGGTAACTAAGTGCTTGGGGTTTGTCATCTGGGCCTACCTTTAAAATTGAAAAATTTTTATTGATTTTTAAAAGAATAAAATCGGTATTTTCCGGGAAATACAAAGCATCCGGAAAATACATTTTACCGAAAATACAATTTCCGGAAAAACAATATAATTAACTTCCGGAAAGGTAGGAATATACAAATATTTGTATTTTCCGGAACGTTTAAATATTTAATAAAAATATTATAAATAATATTGTGTTTTCCGGAAAATATTTAATAATTGTATGTATTTTTCCTTATAATTTTTGTATTTTATTTTACACCTTAAAATTAAATTAATTTAAATAATTTACAGGTATTTGTGATATATTCATCAAAAATCCATTATAAGTCCATCCCCCAAATTTCATTAAACATTCTTGTGTATCAAAAGGGAAATATTCAATTTCAATATTACAAAAAGATTTGTAAATGCTTGGGGGTTTCCAAACAACTAATCCATTAAAATAAATTATGGCGTCAGAAACGATTGAAATGTGAGGTTCTCCGTCAGCATTGTTATATAGAACTATATCTGGTATCCATATTAAATCTGAAGGAATATGTAGCTTTTTTATTCCACTAAATTTTGATGGGTCCCTTTAAAAATAAAAAGTTGGAGAAAAATAAAGGGATGGGAAAAAGTTTCAATGCTGGAAAAAAGTTCGGAAAGAAGTTGGACAAGGGTAAGTTGGAAACAAGTTTATAAAAAGGTTGGAAAAAGAAGTTTGTAAAAAAAGTTGAAAAAAGTTTGATAAAAAGGTTGGTTCAATTGTAAAGTTTATTTCAAGTTTTAAAGTTTGTAAAAAAATTTTTCCAACCTTTTTGTAAAAAGGTTGGAGAAAGGTTTGTAAAAACAAGTTTGTTTCAAGTTTTGTTAAATATTTAATTTTTAACGTTTGTTTGTTGTAAAACAAGTTGGAAGGATTGTAAAATGTTTTATTTTAACGGCATAAAAAAATAAACTTGCCAAACAAATTTGTAATCGTACCATTGCTAAAAAAACAAATTTTGTAAAAAATCAAAATTATAAAATAAATTAATTTTAATACCAATTCAAGCCACAAAGAGGTTGTTAATACTTGATTGACCTCATCCTGAAAATTAAATTTAATTTTCTTTTAAATTTTCCATTATTTATTTTTAAAAATCAAAATTAATTAAAATCAATTGATTAACTTTAACACCTTTTCTTTAATAAAACTGGATTTTTAGTACTATTATATTTTATCCTTTAAAGATAAAAAATTAAAAGTATTCTCCTTCCTTTCAAACAAAAAAATTTTTTTTAATCTTGTTTCTTTCGAGAATGATAAAAATAATTTAAACAAGTTTAAACACGTTTTGGCGTGTCTAAAAAAGGAAAGGAAGAGATTATTAGCGAAGAAAAGGTCAAGTAAAAATATAAAAGAACAGTCTTCTGATAAGTAAAAAACACAGATCTTTTAAATAAAATAACAAAATAAATTCCTAAAAATGACCCAAAAACAATGGGAATTTTTTCGAATTTTAGCAATTTCTTCGTGTATTGCTTCATTAGCTAGTGTAATATTATTAGCTGTTTGTATTCCTTTAATTTATATTCAAATTGAGGAAGAAAATGAATTTATTGGGTTAAAAGCAAAACAATTTAGAGTAATTTTTATTAATTTAAAATTTAAAAAAAAAATAATATTTTAAAGGAAAATTCAGAAAGAATATGGACTAATACTAATTATCAAAATTTGGAGAGAAATAGTGGAGAAAATGAGAGAAAGAAACGAGCAGTGTTAAATGTTGGAGGAATTTGTTCAGGTAAAAATTATAGGGAAAATACAGAAAAATACAAATTTCCGGAAAGGAAAAATACAAAAGGAAAAATACAAAATTCCGGAAAGGAAAATACAGAAAATACAAATTTTCCGGAAAGAAAAAATACAAAAATACAATTCCGGAAAAGAAGTAATTAATAGCAAATAGAATTCCGGAAAGAAAAATACAGAGACTGCTTCCGGAAAATAAAATAATATTTTTCCATAATGGAGAAAAATACAATTGTAAAAGGAAAATACAAAAATACAGAAGGAATTTATTCCTAAAAGAAAAAATACACAATTACGGAAATAGTAAATAAATTTAAAAACACACAGGATGTAAATCGTTGACATGCCCACCCGGACCGATAGGTCTTCCAGGCCCAGCAGGAGAGGACAACCCTCCAGGTGAACCGGGAATGCCTGGCGAACCAGGAATTGATGGATATGATATTGAACTTGGGCCTGAACAGGAACAGAGCTGCGCAATTTGTCCAGCTGGACCGCCTGGGATGAGGTGAATTAAACGAAGACTTGACTTTAAATAATTCGTTTAAAGAGGAAGTCAAGGCGAAAGAGGACAGACAGGAATTGTTGGATTGGTAGGGGAAAGTGGGACAGATGCTGAGGCAGGGAAAGAAGGCCCTAGAGGAGATGCAGGCCCTCCAGGCAAACAAGGACCAAAAGGAAAGAATGGATATCCTGGAAGTATTGGAGATAACGTTATAGCAGGAATAGGACAGAAAGGACCAAAAGGTCCTCCTGGCCCTGCTGGTTCAATGGGAATGGTTGGAATGGCAGGAAAATCGAACATGCGACAAGGCTTTCCAGGCGTAGCAGGAAGTGTAGGGCAACAAGGGCCGCAGGGGCAAAGTGGTGCTGAAGGAGCACAAGGATTAATGGGACTTGTGGGAGAGCCGGGTGAGTGTTTCAAGTCAAAAAATAATTTTAGAAAAAATTTTTTGAAGGAATGCCTTCAATGTATTGCCCAACAGATTGTGGTGTTTCACACATAAAAGTACCAGAATTTGAAAAAACTGTTGGATATAATACAAAAGAAGAAATAAATAAAAATAATATTAAAAAGAAGACAACAAAAAAGAGAAATAATAATAAAGTTTTGGGGACTAACAATTACAAAATTGAAAAAAATGTGGGAAGAAAAAGAGTTAAGATAGTTGAAGAAAGACATCCTAATGGAGGATATAATGCTCAGCGTGTTTAAGAGAAGGATAAAATACATTGTATTTTCCGGAAAAATACAAGCGAAGAAAATACATAATGATTCCGGAAAAGAAAATACACATTTCCGGAAAGTTAATATTAAAAATACACATGTTAATATACATTTCCGGAAAATTAAATGATAAAAATAAATACATTCAACCCGTTTCCGGAAAATAATTAAAAGAAATACATACATTTTCAGAAAGATTTAAAAAAAACAAAAAGACAGAGAATAAAAAAATTTCCGGAAAAATACAATTAATCTCTGAATTAGACAATTCCGGAAAAAATAAGAATCTTTTTATTTTTCCGTAAAACTTTTAACAATTTTTTAAATTAATTTTTAATTGGCTAAAAAAGTTTAAAAAAAAACCCACCACATCAATTATACGGATTAAACTAGCACCAAATTTAACATCCAAAGGTTGAGTACTGTTTTTAACAGGGCGCACATTTTTATTGTAAAAATACCTAAAAAGCAAAAATAATAATTAAAATTAAAAATTTTTAAGTTACATTAAATCCTCATAAAGTTGATAGTCGTAATTGACATTTCTACTGGTCAAGACAGGGGAAGCAAAAAATATAGGGAGAACTTAAAAATAAAAAATTATTAATCTCATATAAATAAATTAAAAATTACCTAAAAGAATGAAACGCATGTTCCGAAAGAAAAATACTAAATATTCCAGAAAGAATAAAACAAAGTCCAAAAAAAGAGCGAAAAATTAAAGCAAAAACACAATTCCGGAAGGAATAATGCTCCGGAAAATTAATAAAAATACACGATTCTGGAAAGGAAAAACACAATTTTGAAAATTCCGGAAAAAGAAAAGAAAACACTTAAACATTCCGGAAGAAGAAATACAATTACTCCCAGAAAATAAATTTGTATTTTCCGGAAAGAAAATACACCTTTGGTATCTATCCGGAAATTAATACTTTAAAGTAAAAAAGTATTGATCAGAAATAAATAAAAACTAATATTAAGCAGCTGTCCAAAAAGTGTGTTGTTTTTGATTTAATTTTGCAAACCCCATATTTTTTAAATAAAAGATTATTTTAAAAATAGAAGAGGAGAAAAAAATCTTGCAAAAAAATGAAAAATTTTTTATATAAATTTTATTTCTCTAAAAATAGGAGAAAAAATATCAAAAAAGTGATATGTAAATTAAATTATTAAATTTAAAAAATTTAAAAATAAAAACCACACCTCGAATTATTCTCTAATTAATTAAGTATTTTTAAAAAAATACATAAATTTATTGCACAATTTATTTTTTAATCAATTTCTTCTTCTTTATTTGATACATTTTTTGGGTTTGTTGTTTCTGCTTCTTCTTTGTCCATACAATCCTTTGAAAATTAAAAAAAATTTTTTCAATAAATTTTTACCGAAAGTCCAGAACAATATAAAAGCATCACTAAGGCTAAAGCTTGTAACCGGTTATCGACAATATCTAAATCTTCATCATTTTTACAAGGTAAAGAACGCCTTTCACGAGTTACCCGTTCAATCATTGTTTGTACTCTATCAATCTTTTTAAATTTGATTAGATTTTAAATTAATTAAGATTTTTCTAATTAAAAAAATTTATTATAAGGTATCCCTTGGGGGTTTTTTTTAAAAAAAGTCTCTTATAGTGAGGGATATGTTAAATTGAGGGATATCGCTTTAAACAACCTCCTCCTCCCTCCCCCTTCCAGTAACCAACCAAAAAGCGTATCCTAAGGTAAATTTATTTTTTGGGTTAATTTATAATGAGAGGTTTTAAAAATTAAAATTTTCTCTTACCTGGGAATTAATTTTTAATTTTCTTTCATTAGCCGGTAGATTTCCAAAAACTAATTTTCCTTTAGTTTTAGTTTCACAAATAACTTGGGGATTGTAAGCATTTCCTGGTTCAAAACGTAATTCATCAATATTTATTTCTTTTGGAAATCCTTCCAATGAATTAAAAAATTCCCGGTCAAGAACATCCTGAAAAATATTTAAAAATCAAAATCAAAAAAAAATTTGAAAATTACCGAAATAGCAATAAATATCTGAGATTCTCCTTGACTATTTTGTAAAGATTGGGATGTTTGTGAGGGTGGTGGAGATTCTGGAGGGTCTAAGAAAAATTAAAATAAAATCATTTCTAGAATAAATAGAAGGGAAGAGATACAAGAGTTTAAGAAAAAGATTACAAATTGTAAAATAATTTGTAATTTCTCAAATTTGTAAAACAAGTTTTGAAACAAGACAAAACAAGGTTTAAAACAAGTTTTAGAAAAAGATGAGAGAGAAAAAGTTTTAAGAAAATTGTAAAATATAAATGATAAAATTGTAAAAAGTTGGAATTGTAAAACAAGTAAAAATATTTAAAAACATGTTCAGAACATTTATTTAGCAATGTTTCTATAAATGTTTTTTTTAAATGTTTTAGAATATTAAAAATGTTTAAAACTTTTTTTCTCAACTTAATTTTTCTAAAACTTGTTTTACAAATTAGAAATTACAAATTGTAAAAAAAGAGTTGAAATTGTAAACCAATTAAAAACAACAAAACAAAACATTACCAGTAGACATTCTCGATGTTGATTCTATTTCTTCTCTAGGTGTTGTTGTAATTTCTGGAATATTATTACCTCCTCTTCTTTTTCTAATTCCTCCCCCAACTTGTTTTAAAGTAGACATTGTTGTTTGGAGTTTTTCTGCTATTCGTCTTCTTCTACATCCACTACCTAGTTTATTATCTGAATCAGGTAATATATTTGGTTGTTGATTTAGAGGATTTGTTGTTGTTAAAAGAATTTTTTGTTCTTCTAAAAAATTAAATTTTATATTGGAAAATTAAAAAAAAAACTAAGAAAATCAGAAGAGGTATAAGAAAAAATAGAAAAAATAAAAATCACAAAAATTTAGAAAAAATCAGAACACAGAAAATCAGAGGACGCAAGAAAAATCAAAAAACTAAAAATCAGAATAATTCGAAAAATTTAGAAAAAAACAAAAAAAATCAAAAGCTCAGTTAGGTCAGAACAAAAAACCCAAAAAATCAGAATAACTCGAAAAACAAACAGAAACCAAAAAAAATTTAAAATTACCAAAAACAGGATCAAACAGGGGCCTGTTTCAATTAGCATCACATCTGCGATGTGATGATACGATGTGATGAAGAATCATATCCCCGATGCGTGTTTCAGGAAAATCATACGAATAATCACATCACAGATGTGATTAAGAATATGAGAAAATCATACGTGTGTTTCAATTAATCATATCGTCACATCGCTGATGTGATCATCACATCGTACGTAGAATCATACGCGGCGTATGATTTATCATATGATTAATCATACGTATGTTTCAATTACAAAATATTGAGACGTATGATGTTCGTCATATGATGAGTTTTGCCTTGGAAACATCATATGTAGACATACGTGCTTTTTGGTACATATGTGCCAATTAAAGAGATTTTTAAAAATTTTTAAAAATTTTAATTCAACCTAAAAATTCCAAATTAAATATTTTTAGATAGGATAGAGTGTGCTCTATTTTTTGATATAATTTATAAAAATTTTTGTTTAAAAATAAATTTACTATGCCCTCTCGCGTAAAGTACCCCATTTTTAAGCGAAAAAGGGACTCATCCTCTCCAATAGGCATTTTTTATTAGTTATTTTTTGATTATTTCAATCAAGCATATTTTAAATTTTATAAGTTTTAGGACAGTTAAGCTAAAATCCTGATTTTTACTTAACGTATGTAAAACACTCTCCTCTATCCATTGGTATAAAAATAGGAGGGATTAAAGGGATATCGGTGGATTAGGGTGGATGAAGGGGAATATCAAAGGTATATGGAGAGACTTACCGCCTTTTTCGATTGGCAAGATTAAGTGGAATATCTTTCGAGTTCGAGGTATTAAAAAAGTAGAGAGATTAAAGTGGATATAAGGATGAGAAGGATCCAGACATAAAAATTCAAGGAAAAATCCAGACTGGATTCAGATCGATCTCTAGTAGGAATTATAGAAGATATCGAATCTGTTTTTTCAGATTTAATCAAAAAAATATTTGAGAGAAATTTGATTTTAAATCAGGGTAGTTCCCCAAGCCTTCGGGGTCGGATGTGCCGGAGAACGGGGTTTGCCGGGGATGGCATGTCGGGTTTCGGGGTTGGGGTTTCTTTTGGGTCGGGGTTCGGGTGTGGGGGTTTTACTACAAATTCCTAAATTTAAAGTTCAGCGCATGAAAGAAAAATTATTTTATATAATTTGACTTTTCTAAAAATATCGGGAAAAATATTTTGTCAAAATGTACCTTGGTCATTCGAATAAAATTCCCATCTTTAAGGGTGTATGTTTTACCCCGACCCCTATTCGGGGTTTGCGTCGGGGATCGGGGTTTGTCGGGGTAGAGCCTTCGGGTAGAGTCTTCCATTTTTTGCGCCGCAGGCAAAAATTTTGAGAATTTTGGCTAAATAATGACTAAATTAAATTTTTTAATGCTTTTCAAGTTTAAAATATTCAAAAAAAATAAATTTAAACATCTAAAATGAAAATCAAAGTTTAAAAACATTTATTTTTGAAAAAAAATTTTTTCGGCCTAATTTCCAGCCTTGGACTCGAACCCAACCCTATGAAAATATCTGTTAGTGAAGCCAGTCGCCTTAACCATTCAGCCACACATCGACACAAGGAATATCGAGAAAAATTAAAAATATTTCTTTCCCTTTTCCTTAACATCGGAAATATGACGATATGACGACCCATCATATCGTAAATATGATTTTCAATTGAAACACTCATATGATGATACGACGTCGTCATATGACGGACAAATCATATGCAGCCGTCATATGAGGTTCCTGCATATGATTATGACGATATGATGATATGATCCTAATTGGAACATGCATATGATCATCATATCATCACATCGCAGATGTGATCCTAATTGAAACAGACCCCAGGTCAGACTGAGGAAAATCACACACAAAAATCAACTCAAGATCAGAAAAAAATCAGAATAAATCAAGAAAAAATTAGAACTACCTGAATAATTTGCTGCCTCTTTTCTTGTAGGGGATTCAACATTAAAATCAACCAATTCTTCAAAAGCTTCATCATCATTAAAATTTGAAGGATTCATTATTTTAGTACATTCACAAGCTTTTGCTTTATCCAAACATTTATTATTTGTATGACAAATTATCAAACATTTTTCACAACGACTACCTCCTTTTAACCAAATTTTGCCAGAACAAATAAAACAAGAAAAATGTAAACCTGTAAAAAATTAAACTTGTTTTTGTTTGGGAAAATTGTAAAACAAGTTGGAATTATAATTTTACAATTTGTAAAAAAAGTTTTTAATAAGTTGATATAGAAAAGGTTAGAAAAAAAGTTGGAAAAAAAGTTTTTACAATTATTTGCAACTTGTTTTTAAAAAAACTTGTTTGTAAAACTTGTTGACCAAATTAAAGGAAACATACCAAACAAGTTTTACAATTGCTTTAAAAAGTATAAAAACACAACAACATGTTTTAAAACCTTTTCTTGTTTATAAACTAAAAACTTAATTGTGAAACTTGTTCGATTATAAATGGGATTCTCAAAACGAGATTCCAAACAAATATTAGAGTCTCAAAAATAAATTTAAAAAATTTTTGCCCAAAAATTCTTCAAATTTAAATTTAAAAAAATTTTTTAGTACCATGCTTAGGTTGCAAATTAATCCATTTATGTTCATTATTATTTAATTGTTGTTGTTGATTTAAATTTTCTTTTTGTTGTTTTTCTTCTTTGTTTTCTTCTTCTTCCCTTTTTAATAAATCGTTTTGTTGAATTAATGAATTTGGAAGACCATCAGGGAAAAATCGAAAACCAAGAATTATATCCCCAAAACATAAACGTGGATCTAGAAAAAAATTTTTTATTTAATTTTATTAAAAATTCTTTAAAATATAAAAAATATTTTTAAGAATTCCTCTCTTAATTATTTTCTAAAAAATTTTTTTTTGAATTTAATTTTAAATCAAAAAATCAGAAAAAATTAAGAAGAAGTTTGTAATTCAATTTTGTAATTTTTTTAATAATTAAAAATATAAATTTAATCATACCAAAGCCATTATGTTTAGATAATTCTTCAAATTCTGTTGGAAGTAGATTTTCCCTGAAAAAAAATTTTTTTATTTAAAAATAAATTTTTTTTAAATTAAAATTAATTAATTGAATTTTCAGTTAATTTTTGAAATTCTAATTTTTATTTTTTAATCAAAAAAAAATTTTTTTTAATTAACCAAAAAAATTTAAAAATTAATTAAAAAAAATTTTTAATTCAAAAAAAAACCTTTCTTTGGGTCCTTTCAAATGAAAACGTTCTCGATGACTATTTGAAAGAGTCAACTTTAAAAATAAAATTATTAAAAATTAATTTGAAAAAAATTAACCGTGCAATCATCGATAATTCGAGGGACATAAATACTTGTCTAAAAAAGATTTTTTTTAATTAAAAAAAATTTCATTAAAAAAAACATACAAAACCAACAAGTTCACAAGAATCTTTTTCATTTCCTTCAGCATCAGCACAAACCAACACATTTAAATATAATGACTCGTTTTGCAAGGTAAAATGAAGAGATTGTCCCCACAAAGGATCCTTTTAAAATAAAAAACTGATTAGACAAATTCAGACTAGAGACTGGACCGACACGTGATCTCGAACAAAAATTTTTTTAAACGAAAAAAAAGTTTTTTAGACGACACTCCAAGTCCAATCTCTAATTTAGACGGTAACGTTCAAAAAAATCTTATATTAAGACCTTAATGATGGTTGTCGATTCAAAGCCTAACCGAAAAAACGAGGGTTTTCGTTCGTTTTCTCGGTCCCGTTTCTGATATCCAAGGATTTTTTTCTGATATCCAGGGACTTTGCCAGACCCAAATAAAAGAAAAAATAATTCTCTTAATTGATTCACCAAATTATTTCCCTCAATAATAAAAAAAAATAAAAAAAAACCTTAGTTAAAGGTATTTGCTTTGTTTTTTGTATATTTACATCTTGAAGAAATGCTTCAGATTTTGTTGCTGTATTAATCTTTTCTCCATCATTTAATACATTTTTGCCACAAGAAGGGGAAGGAGACCTTTTTTTTTAAAAATAAAATTTTAAAAATTAAAAGATTTTTTAAAATTAATTTTAGAATTTAAAAATGTAAAACTACAACGACTTTCTGAGAAAAAATTTGAAAATTTCTCAATTTTTTCCTCAATTTTTTTCAAAGATTTTAAAATTAAAACGGCCCATTAAATTAAAAAGATCCTCAAATTTTTTTTTTTAATTTTTAAAATAGTAAAATTCAAAAATATGTCAGACGCCCAGTGAATAAAAATTTTTTTAATTTTAAAAATTTTTCAAAAAAATTTTTCTTATTAAATAAACTTCCAAAAAAACTCACAATTTTTTCTTAAATAATTTATTCTCTTCTCTAGTAGGAGTACACAACCTATCCACATTAGTAAAATGTTCATTAATTTCCATATCATCGTTTACTTCTATAGCTAATTCTGAAGGTTTTCTTCTATTCCATAATTCATTAATTTTTGATCTACCCGCTTGCCAATGTTTTGCCATTTCGTTTGCTTTTGCCTTTAAATTAATAAAAAAAATTTTTGGATGTTCCCTTCACACTACCCATAGTGCGAAAGGAACATAAATAAATTTTTCAAAAATTTTTTATTTCTTGGATGTTCCCTTCACACACCCATAGAGTGTAAGGAACATAAATGAATTTTTCGAAAATTTTTTTATTTTTCGTATGTTCTCTTCACACTACCCATAGGGTGTAAGGAACATGGTGAGGCCAAGAAAATGATAGAATAAGCCCAGCAAATAATTCAGAAGGTTTCACAGGCCTGCCCGATGGCTAAACTCTTACTTGAACAAATAATTAAATAAAAAAATCAAAACAAACATGCAATCTTTCCCTTTTAGATTTCACATTTTCTGGTTTTTTACAACTTGTAATTGAACTTGTATCGTCTACACAAACATCCAAACTTGATTTACAATTTGTATTGTCTTCATTGTTTTGAACAACATTTTGCATAATTGTTGATGTTTTTCTTGAATTATTTGTTGTTGTTGGAGTTTGTGACAAACTTGATTCGGATCTTGAACGTCTCAATGTTTTTTTCTTCTTTTTAATACTAGAAAGACGAAAACTTCCTTCATTTCTTTCAAGTTTTCCTCCAACTTGTTTTGCAACTTGTTTTTCATCACTTTCTCCTTGTTTTTCTTCATTTTTATTTACAACTTGTTTTCCAACTTTTTCTCCAACTTGTTTCTCATTTTTATCTCCAACTTGTTTCCCAACTTGTTTTTCAGTATTTTCTCCAACTTTCTCCTCAACATTTTTTACAACTTGTTTTTCAACTTTTTCTCCAACTTGTTTCCCAACATTTTTTACAATTTTTTCCCCAACTTGTTTTACAACTTGTTCTTCAACTTTCTTCCCAACATTTTCTCCAACTTGTTCCCCTATTTTATTTCCCACTTGTTTCCCAACAATTTCCCCAACTTGTTTTGCATGTTGTTTTGCAACTTGTTTTACAATTTGTTTATCTTGTTCTTCACACTTCTCTTCCTTGTTTGAATTAATGTTGGGACTAGAATAATCAACTGACCCCCTTTTTGTTTGTGAAGAAAGTAAAAGGAGTTCAATAGAGTCCGAAGCAGATTTAAATAAACATTCTGAAAAAATAAATTTTTTAATTTTAATTTAATTCCTTCTCACTTCCAATATTTTTTTCTTCCTCCTTTTCTTCTTCATTAAATTCAGGCAAATCCTCAGCTCTAAATTCTATAGGTTGTGCCCCAAGTAAAATAAAATCATCAACAGATTTTGAAGGTTTTTGTAATGAAGATGAACAATTATTATTATTTTTCTTCTCTTCCAATTTTCTTTCCACTAAAATTAATAAATCGCTACATGTCCCAGATAATAATCGAATAGCTTGTCTTTCACTTCTAACGGCTATATTGTTTACAGCAATTAAAATATCCCCAACTTTGAAGCCGCTTTTTTCTGCATTTGAATTGGTTTCGACTTTTTCGACAAAAATGTCTTTTCCATTCTAAAAAATAATTCATGTTTTATTTATTTTAAAACAAGAAAAACATGTTTTTACAAAGATAAAAAGACATGTTTTTACAATTTGAATTATATATCTCAACAATGTTGTAAAAACTTGACTTTTTTTTCCCAACTTGTTTTTACGAACTTTTTTACAACATGTTTTACTAACAATATATCTTTAAAACTTGTTTTACAATTGTTTTAATTTATTTCTCCCAACTTTTTCCCAACTTGTTTTCGAACTTTTCTTTTACACAATGTTTTACAATTGTAAAAACAATTTTAAAAACTCCTAAAATAAAAAAGACAACAATTCTCTCAAAACATTTTTAAATTTACAAACCTTCATTCCCAATGTCAAACCAATTTTATCATTAATTCCCTTCCTTGAAAAAGACAACATTAAACTTTGTAAATGTAATAATTCTTCATTTGAGGATATTTGATTAGTTGAAGTTCCTTTAAGTTTGTTAAACGAAGAGCAACCAAAAGGGCGTTTTTCTAAAAAAAATTTTTTTAATTAAAAATTAAATTTAGAAGTACGAACAAAATTTAAAAAAATATTATTAAAAATCGTAAGAAAGGGCACAAAAAAGAACAAGAAAAAAATTTCTTCCTTAAAGAGAAGAGGAAAATAGGAATTATTTGTGTAAATGATGAACTTTAAAATCAGATAAATTTGCATTTTTTTTCAAAAATTTTCATGGCTATGTGTCTACTGGAAATGACCGATTTTCCAAATTAAAAAAAATTTACTGTTTTGTTCCCAACTTTTGAAATTAATTTTTTTTAATAAAAAAATTTCAAACCTAAAAATACTTTGCAAAAAAGATGCTGTCCTCCATGACGAAGTGAAATATTTAAACGAGATGAGCATAAAACAGTAACTTCTAAACCCGAACCAGAAAAATGAATGTGATCAAGTGCTTCTAAAAAGAGATTTTTTTTTAATTTTTTGAGAAAATAATTTTTGAAAATTCCGACAAAAAATTAAAAAAAATTTCAAACCAATATTTGGAGAAATATTAAACAACGGATTTTGAAAAAATGGTCGAAAACGAATTTTATAATTAGGCCAAACATGTTTAAGTTGAACAAGTTTACGAAAAGCTGTTGTAATTAAAGGAATTAAATGTCGAAGATTTCTGCCTTGGAACTTGAAAAGAAAATTTTTTTGTAAAAATTTTAAAAATAAAAAAAAAACCTGAGAATCAATTTTTAAATTCATTTGAGGATTTTCTACAAAACAAATACTCCAATGAGCAAAAGGTTGTCGAGTTATTGTAAGTCTAGCTTTTCCTTTAAGTTCCAACAACTGAAAAAAATGTTTTTAGAGCTTTTGATTGGTACAAGAAATATTTAGTAGAACGGATGAAAATTAAAAAATTAAAGCTCATAACTGCCCAAAATTACAATTACGCGTACTTAACCGAATGTAACTCTTGGTAGGATGATCTCATCAAATCGTCCCTATTAGATGAAATAATTCCTACGTTTAGAGCCTTCGAATGATATAATGATTATTTGAATTAACTAGGAGTCAAAACAAGTTATGACTCAAATATGGCTTAGAGAATGGAATAGGACAATTTTGTGTCATTTACCTTTGGACTCTGGGATTTGACTTATTTACCTGTAGTACAAGAAAACTCAGGCCCAGGAAAAAACCCAGGAAGGTCAAAAAACGACTGGGCCAGAACTCTGGGTACATGAAAAACCCTTATGTTAGCCTTGGTTCAGGCCTAGCTTGATTTCTATTATAAATTACCTAACCCCTCAAAGAATTCTCCAAACACAAACCTTAACAGATAATTGTGCAAACTTTCCAAAAGCCATCAAAGCATCTACAGACATTTGAAACCCCCCTTTATAATCCAAATTTAACATCAAAACCAATTCATCAAACATATCTGGATCTGACTCATTCAATTTAAATTCTGAAACTTTAATGTCTTTAATCATAGGTGGATGTGTTCCAATTTCCAAATCACGAATTTGAATGTCCTTTGAAAAAAAATTTAAACAAGAAATTTTCTGATTTTAATTCTGATTTTTTAAATTGAAATTCCAATTTTTGTTCCGATTTTTATAATCAGAATTCCGATTTTCTCCGATTTTTAAGAAAGAACTATGATTTTAATTCTGATTTTCAAGGTCAAAATTTTTGATTTTTTTTAAGTTTTCAAATCAAAATTGTGATTTTAATTCTGATTTTCAAGGTCAGAATTTCTGATATTTTTTAAATTTTTAAAATCAGAATTCTGATTTTGTTTCTAATTTTTCAGAACCGAAAAAAATTAAAAAAATTAAAATAAAAACTTGAATTATTCTCCCAGCAGTAGAACTTCTAGCTGTTGCATCGTTTAATTCTAATTGAAGTTTTTTGTATAGCCACCTTTAAAAATAAGAATTATTTAAAATATTTTTTAATTGTTTTAAAAATTCTGGTCTTTTCTGATTTGTTCTGATTTTTAAAATTTTTATTAATTCTGATTTTATTCTGATTTCTGATAAAATTTTTGTTTGTTCTGATTCAGAATTTGTGGCTTTTAAAATCAGAAATTCTGATTTTAATTTAGAATTCTGGTCTAGAAAACCAGAAATTGTTTTAAAAATTCTGATTCTATGATGAAATTTTTGTTTGTTCTGATTCAAAATTTCTGGTTTTTAAAATCAGAAATTCTGATTTTAATTCATAATCCTGGTTTAAAAAATCATAATTTGTTTTAAAAATTCTGGTCTGTTCTGATTTTTAAATTTCTGATTTATTTAAAATTTTTTAATAACCTTCTAAACTGCCTTGTATCTTTAATTTCTTGAAATAAAAAGTGAAGAAGTAAACTAAATGAAGAACAAGATTCCCATTCTGAACCTCCATTTCCATCTTTTGAAGAGTTCAAAAATGCTTTGATTTCCTAAAATATTTTTAGTAAGAAATAATTCTGAAAAAATATCAAAATTTTAATTCTGATTTTTTGTTGTTTTTCTGTTCTGATTTTATTTTTCTAATAAAAATTCTGATTTTTAAAAACCAGAATTTACCTTCCGATTTCACAAATTCTGTTTTTCTGTTACAAATTCTGTTATGATTTTTGTTATGGTTTTACATTTTTATAAAAATTCTGATTTTTAAAAACCAGAATTTCTTTTCTGAAGTTTTTTGTCATTTTATGTTCTGATTTTTAAATTCTGATTTTTCACCAATTCTGATTTAAAAAAACTTAAAGGAGGAATTCTAGCTTTATCTGCTGCTTGTATTGAACACTTATTATTATTTAAATCTGTTGTTGTTGTTCTTCCAAATATATTAAAGAAATAAATTCCGAATAAAAATAAAATAAATATAATTCCAAAAAAGAATCCACAAATAAAGAGAAAAATCATCTAAAAAAATTTTTTTAATTGATTTTTTAATAATTTTAAAAAATTAAAATGTTTATTAAAAACATATTTAAAAAAAAATAAAAATAAATTTATTTTTATTCAGAAAATTTTAAAAAAATAAAAAAAAAATTTTCTGATTTTTTCAAATCAGAATTTCTGATTTTCAAAAAAAAAAATCTCTAAAATCAGAGCAAAATAAAAATTATTTTTTGAAAAATCAAAATAAAAAATCAGAAGTTCTGATTTTAGAAATTAAGAAAAAATCTGAAAAAACCAGAAATTCTGATTGGAAAAATCAGAAATAAAATCAGAATTCTAATGAAAAAATCATAAATTCTGATTTTAAAATATCAGCAAAGAATCAGAATTTCTGTTTTTAGAAAATCAGACAAAATAAAAAATTCTGATTTAAAAAATCAGAAATAAAATCAGAATTCTAATTTTAAAAAATCAGAAAAAATGCCAGAATTTCAGATTTATATAAAAAAAATTTTTTTTAGATTCTTTTACGAGGAGAGATTCTCTTTTTTTAATTTAAGATGCTTCTAATTGTTGTGTTTGTTGATCAATTAAAGAGGTTGATGTTGTTGATGGAATTGTTTGCCTAACTAATTCTTCTAATCGACGTCGGGACCGTTGCTCTTGTTCAAGGCTTTTGGAAAGTTCGGCAACTTGCTAAAAAATTAATTTTAGAAATCAGAAATTCTGATTCAGAATTCTGATATAAAAAACAGGACTTATTTTAAAAATCAGAAGTTCTGACTAAAAATCAGAATTTCTAATCTACAGACACGAATTCTGGTATTATGAAATCAAAAAATCGGATGTTTTTAAAATCAGAATTTAGGCCTAGAAAATCAGAACTTATATTAAAAATCTGAATTCTAATTTAAAAAATCAGAAGTTCTGATTTTCTAGATCAAAATCTATAATCAGAAAATCAGAATGAAAAGTCAGAATTGTTTAGAGAATCAGAACTTATTTTAAAATCAGAAATTCTAATTTGAAAATCAGAACTTCGTATTCCACAGACGAAAATTCTGACATAAAAAAAAACGAAAATAAATCAGAAAAAAAATTCTGAAAAATCAGAATTTAAAAAGAAAACCTTTGTTAATGCTGATAAATTGTCTTTTAACGTATAAACAGTATCCACTAAACTTCTTTCTTTCAAAACAATTTGATCTCCTTCCATTTCTTCTACAAAAATTTTTTCATTTTCAGCAACAATTAATTGAGGTCTAGTTAATGTTGTTGTAGCCATTTCATTTTTGTCTGGATATGAAGCTGCTCTTCTAATTGGGCCTGTAAAAATTAAAAAATAAAATCAGAATTTCTGATTTAAAAAATCAGAAAAAAGAACAGAAATTCTGATCTTATTAAATCAGAAATTCTGATTTTATTCTGGTTTTTAAGACCAGAATTTCTGATTCTTGTTCTGATTTTAAGACCAGAATTTCTGTTTTGAAAAATCAGAATAGAATCATAAATTCTGATCCTAAAAATCAGAATTGACTTAGAAATCAGAACGAAAAACATAATTCTGATTTTATAAAATCAAAAAAAACCAGAATTTCTAATTTTAATAAATCAGAATAAAAATCAGAAATTCTAAAAAAAACCCCCCCACACAAACCTCCTCCACAAGAATTATAGTTATGTTGAGATTCTGCAGAATTTCTTTGTTTTTGACGATAATAATGAGGACAGCATTGTTGTTGTTGTTTATATTGATGATTATTTATTGAAGAAGTTGCCAAACAATTACTACTTAAACAATAACCTTCCACTATTTTTAATAATAAAGCGTCTTCTTGTTCTTCTGGGGTTACTTAAAATAAAAAAATTAGAATTTCTAATCTTAAAAATCAGAAAAAGTCAGAATCCTGATGTTAAAAATCAAAATTCATAATTTTTCAGAATTAGGAAAAAATCAGAATTTATCAGAAAAAATCAAAAATTTGCCATAAAAATCAGAATTTTTTTAATTTTGCGGACTGAAATTTGCGGACGATTTAAATCTTATAAATAATGGAACAAATTAAAAAAATACAACTAACATCCTTTCCTCAATTTAATTTGTTGTGAAGTATTGTTATTATTTGAAAACCATTCACTTCTTCTAGGAGGTAAAGGTCGTAGAGATAATCCAGAAAAGGGTCTGCTTTCACGATTTCCACAAACTGAAGAACCTAAAAATTTATTTAAATTAATTAATTTCCAAAATTCTTATAAAATTTTCATAGACTAATTAACCAAAAAAAGATTTTTTTTAGAATTTTTAGAAAAATTAATTTTTGTGGTTAAGTTGGTTTGTGTTTGGTTTGGATGAGAAAAAGAATGAAGGTTCGAACCCGTTTAAGGTTTTCAATTAATTTTTTTAATAAAGGATCCAAAAAATAAAGTTTTCCTTGCAAATCTACCACAAAAAATTCCTGTGGAAAAATCATTTTATGGTTAATTTGGTTTGTGTTTGGTTTGGCTAACGACAAGGACGAAGGTTCGAACCCGCTTGGAGTTTTCAATTAGTTTTTAATTGAAAAATTCAATTTCAAAGTCTTGAAATAATTTTTAAACATTAAAAACCCCCAAAAAAAATTTTTTTTAATCAAAAAAAAATTTAAAAAAACCTGAAAAACAACCCCCATTATTAGACAAATTTTCGGATGTAGAAAGGCCAGAAGTATATCTTTTATTATTATTAAAATTTTCATCATTAACATTACAATCAGCATCATCAATTCCATCAGGATAAATCATTTCTAATTGATGATTAATTTTTAAATTATTATTTGAATAAATTAAATTTTGCTGTTGTTGGTCGTTGTTATGTTGCCTATTCCCTTCCTCAACTTTTCTTCCATTTTCTTCAAAATTATTTCTTGTTCTAGGTGTTGGATGAGCATTTTTTGTAGTATTTGTTGTTGAGCTTGTTGTTGTTATTATTTTAATATTAATTGAACGTAAAGAATTTAATAAATTGACAAAATCTTTGCTGCTAAAACATTGTAAAGTAAACAAGTTTTCGCCTAAAAATTGATAAAAAAAATTTTTAAAGAAAGTTTTTGTCAAGTCGGCATCATCCTTTAAACCTTTATTTACCACGTCTTATTAACACACAAGAATCCCTTCCGCAAAAAATTTTATAAAATTTAAAAAAGTGGGACATAAGGATGAGTTAACGGATCCTTTAAAAAGAATGTCAACTTTTATTTTAAAAAATACTCATTCCACTAATATAATATCCACATAAAAATAGACAAAAGATGACACCAAATACGTTATAAATCAAAAAAGAAAAAAGGATTTTAGGTATATATTTGTTAACATTGATTGGAAAAGAAAGGGACGGGAAGGCTCGAACCCGTTGAGGGATTTTTGAATTTTTAAAAGATCGGAAAATTAATTAAATAACAAACCTTTTTTAACCAATTGTAAAGTATTTCTAACATCAGTTAATTGTGTTATATTTAAATCAATAATTGAAAAATTATAACAAAGAGAATATTGACCAGAGGTTGTTTGCATATCCAATAAAAGTATATTATTTGAAAATATTACTATTGTTCTAGAAAATTTAATTTTAAATTTATATTCTATTTACAAAAAATGAAGTTCGATATAGAATCATGAATTTTTTTCAAAAAAATTTTTGTGGTTAAGTTGGTTTGTGTTATGTTTGGTGGGGGAGAGGACTAAGGTTCGAACCCTCTTGGGGGGTTTTGAATTATTTTCAAATAAAAAGATGCAAAAAAATCTTCATAGAAAAATTAATCAACAAAACCCCAATTTATTATAGGTAAATCAATTTTGTGGTTAAGTTGGTTTGTATTGAATTGAGTGAGGAAAAACGACGAAGGTTCGAACCCGCTTAGGGTTTTTAAATTATTTTTAAATATAGAACTCGACTTAAAAGTTTTAAAATAATATATAAAATATTTACAACATCCCAGGAATTTTTTAAAACTTATTTCAAGCCCTAAACCCCTCAAAAATTTTGAAAATTAAAATAAAAACCTGTCCAACTCCACTGGCGAATTAATTCTTTCCTTTTCTTCCAAGCTATTATTTTTATTATTTCCACCTTCTAAAGACAAACTAACTTTTCCAATATATAACAATTTTCCCAATTTTGATGATTCATAATTATTTTTTCCTCCAAATTTTTCTTCAAAAAATTTTGTTTGTAAAAAATCTAATTGGGCTTCTCGTTGTTTTCTTAACATTTCACAATCTTCCTTTAAAAGAAAAAAAATTTTTTATTAAAATTAAAAAATAAAATTTACAAGCAAATCAGAATAGAAAAGAGCAGCTCTTTGCAAATTTCCACGGTCTGGATGATTTTCCTAGAAAAAAATTTTTTTTGTTAATTTAGACTTTCATAGTTATTTTACAAAAGCTGACAAAATAATTCGAGGTAAATAAAAGGTTTTTTTATTACTTTTATTCAGGACTTAATAACCAATATCTCACGAAAAATCATCAAAAATTAGAAAGCAAATCGATTATCATTCCTTTAGAGCAACTGATTAAGGCAAAATTAGAGTCGGATCGTTAGGAAATCGAAAATTAGGGAGCCTGATGGACGTTCAAGGCCAATATTTTCGAGCATTATTTTTAATGAAGAGGACCGTATGAATCTTTCCTTTCGGATCGGTTCAAGTTCCTAAAATCAAAATATTTCATAAAACAAACACAAACCAATGTATTCCTTTCAATTTCTTGTAAAGTACTTGAATATTTTTGAACATGTCGAAATACTAGACTTAACCCAAGAATAAGAGATTTTAAATCCATCTTTCCATTTTCGAGTAGTTTAGAGACTTTGGCACTAAAATTGAAAAATCAAAAAATTTAATAAATGAAAAATCGAAAACTTTTAAAAAAAGAAAAAAATCATTTTTAGAGAAGTTCCCTTTAACAATATCCAGTGAAAAAACGGGAAAAAACAGAAAAAAGGGCAGGAAACGAACAGGTAAAAACTGACAGCTACAACCTCCACACCTTCCCTAAAATGTGAAAAAAGATAAAAGTATTGGCACACACTCTATTCTAGCTTCCCCCCTGTAATTGACTCTTCTGGTCAAAATTCCAAATCTCAAAAAATTGCCCAAAAACCCTCAAAAAATATTTTCCAAAAAAAAACCTTTGTGTATTAATCTTTTCCAATAAATCACAATATTTTTCACAATAACAACGCAAAATTGAACTTAAACCTGGGGCAACATTTAATAATAAATCTCCAATATATTGATTTGTTATTGGCTTTCTAAAGGAAAAAACTTTTAAAATAAAATTTTTTAAATTTAAAAAAACCTCAATTCTTCTTCAAAACGTTTAAAAAAATTCTTTTTAAAATTTATAAATTCTGTCAATTTTAAAATTAAAAAAGTGAATAAATCATCTGAAGAGCTTTAAAAATAAATGGATTATAAAAGAATCTTTTGAAGAGAAAAATATAAACTTAGACGATTAAGAATTTTTTGGGCATTTTTTTGGGCATTTTTGGGCTAATATTGCATAACAGAGATTCAGCACACGTCAGGTCAATAAAACCAAAAATTCCCCTACTATGCGGACAAACGCTGTTTTAATTTTTTTGCTCTACTACATAACAAAATGGTACTTAAATGGTTCCTGGAACTAATCTGAAATGTAACTAGTTTTTGGATTTTTCCTGGAATTTATCTAACAAGGATTCAGTACATGACAAGCCAATAAATCCAAAAAATGCCCAGACATTATAAAACAATATACACGAAATATTATAAATTGAAAATGACCTAAACATTCTCTCGACCAGAGGTGGGTCGGAACAGTCAGAGGTGTCGGAAATCGGAATGAAAAAACGCCGGAAATCGGAATTCCGACCCACCTCTGCTCTCAACCATAATTCCGTATCTCAAACTTTCGGTCTAAAACGGTCTGAATCCATTCCTATTTAATAATGACCCAAAGTCAAGTTCATTAACAACCCAAAATTTCCCCAAAAAAAATTTTCAAAAAAAACCTCATCTTCAAATAAAAAACTCACAATTCTTTCAATTCATTCATTAAAAATTTAATTGTATCCAACGTCCTTTCAATTATTTCCAATTTTGAATTTTCTTTAATTAAAAATTCTTGTACCAATTGAACACGAAAAGAAGCTTTGCTTATTTCTAATTTTGATAAATCTATTTCTAAACGATTTTTGGTCGTTTTGGCAGGTTTTTTGGCGTTTTGTTGGTCATCACAATTTTTGATTAAATTGACAAAATCTGTTGGGAACCAACCAACACGGCCATCTAGAGAGCCTTCCCACCTTTGAAAAAATTTTGAAAATTGAAAAAAAATTTTTTAACACAAAATTAATAAATAAACACAAAAGGAGAAAAAACAAAGAATTTTAAGACTTTAATAAAGCCGATGGACCCAGAAGGATTCGAACCCCATACCCTCAACCCAGTCACTACCCAACTTAGCTACAAAAATTATACCACAAAACCAGTTAATTTACCCAAAATAAATTTTGCAAGAGGGCAAAAATCAAAGAAAAAATTAAAAAAAATTAATCTCCTTGAGAATCAATTTAAGGGGAATAATTTAAATATATAAATTAACGGACTATTTATTTGGAAAAAATTCTATTTTATTTTAGTCCAATTTTTCCTCAAAATTTTCAAAAAAAATCTCAAAAAATTTAAAAAAAAACCTACCAACCACCATCTAGTTGTTGTGTAACTGTTATAATATCATTTTTGGAGAAAGAAAGCTTGAAAAAAAAATATTTTTTTTTTAATTTAAAAAATTAATTTCTTTACTTCATCATTATTTCTTCCTTCAAATTTATATTTGGCTACAACTTGTATAGGAGACAATAAATTATTTGTATTTGTATTATTCATTTTTATTAAAGAGAAGAATTCTAGGCACTTCAAGTTAGCTTAAAAACACAAAGAAAAGTTGAATAGAACGTGTCCGGACAAAATATCGAATCGTTAAAATATGGAATAGGCTAAAAAAGGGTTAAAATCTCGAATCGGGTAAAAATGGGTTAAAATCGCGAATAGGCGAAAAAGGGGTTAAAATACCGAATCGTTAAAATATGGAATGGTTAAAATATCGAATAGGCTAAAAAAGGGTTAAAATATGGAATCGTTAAAATATGGAATGGTAAAAATGTCGACACGGCCAAAATCGATCAAAATGTCGAATTTTTTAAAAATGGCGCCAAAACTAGAATCCGGGCGTTACCGGGTGTTACCGATGGTATTTTTCGATATTCCGTGTCGGTAGTACGGTACGGAATCCGACCGATAAAATTTAAAAGCTGATCGGTATTTTTCGGTATTTCGTACCGTATACGGTAAGGTCAAACTTTAGGTCTTAACTAAAAACTAATGCACACCACTCTAATTTTTCCATATCAGGATCGCGTTATGTTTTCCGGATCCGTACGATCATGCCGGATCGGATCCGGTCGATTATGCTTGATTTATCCGGTCCGGTTTTACTCGGTAAAATACAATGAACTCTGGCAGAAAAGATTGCGCCGGACTACGACATAAGAGACTTATCAATCAACTTATCATTAATAAGTTGATAAAATCATCTACAATCAACGTATGGCACTCATCTGACCCTTTTTTAAAAGAATTCGACATTTTGACAGATTTTGGCCGTGTCGACATTTTTACCATTCCATATTTTAACGATTCCATATTTTAACCCTTTTTTACCCGATTCGATATTTTAACGTTTCCATATTTTAACGATTCGGTATTTTAACCCCTTTTTAGCCTATTCGCGATTTTAACCATTCCATATTTTAACGATTCCATATTTTGTACCGGAGCCGAATAGAAAGACCTGAAAAGAAAAAAAAAATTTTCCGGAAAAAACAGACGCCAAAAATTCTTTAGATCTTTTGTCCTATTCTCTAATAGTTGGTGTTTTCTAAATTTACCATTTTTTCTTGTTGACACTTTGAAATTTCGTTTTAAAAATTTAAATGGACGTTTCATTGCCTATTTTTTTATCGCGATCGACTTCCTTCACTTTGTAGGCCCATAACTTTTTTAGTTTTCATCGGATTAGAATAATTCTTTTACCAATCGAAAGGTATTGAAATTCTGCATCTTTTAGATAATTGGACCGAGTTGATTTGAACATTTTAAAAAAAGTTATGGTCCAAAAACTGCTCCTTTGTATCAACCTCTAATCGTCCTCTACCCCAAATTTTCGTCCAAAAATTTGGTTCAGTGGTTCCACCTGTAATCTTTTTTTACTTACTAATTTTTACGTCATTATTTTTATTCAATTTAATTTTATGAGGACTTTTTGGGAGGTAATAAATGATTAGAAAAATGACGTAGACGCTCTCTCTATTGTAGTCCTTTCCGGTCCTTTTTCCTTATTTTGCGTTATTTTGTAAGCTATCCCGTGGGATTACCTCCAAAAACAACTAGGATTTTGAAAAATACAAGAAAAATTTGCCTTACAGGAGATCCCTTCTCCCTTTTTTGGGTCTATATAAAAGAGGCTTGAACTTTTAGATTCTCATAAGCTCCAGAGGGGTGGGTCGGAATTCCGCGATTCCCGACGTCTTTTCCTTCCGATTTCCGAAAAAATTTAAATTTTCGATTTCCAAGTTCCGACTTTTGAGTCAGCTCCGATTTGCGGCTCTTCCGATTTCCGATACCTCCGACTATTCCGACCCACCTCTTTTTAGCTCTTATAATTTTTATTGGTCTCTTTAACGCTTCACACCTCTTTTTTTTAATAAATTTCATTTTAATTTCTTCATTTTCAGAGAGATTAATCTTACGTAAATTTTTTTTTCTAACGCTCTAAAAAACCTAATATAATCTACAAATATATAGGCATGAGTGATGCCAAATTACAGTTTGTTTTTCTTTAAATCTTTTAAAAATCTCTTCAATTTTAAAGGAAAAAAGATGAAGTAAAAAGTGAAGAAAATATTCCTGTTGCGGTGACACCTAATGGGTCAACTTCTCAACAGATGGATGATGGTTACACCATACAGGTTTATTGGGGTTTTTAATTGTTTTGTGGAGTTTTGGGACTTCTTGTAAAGTTTGGGCTTTTAATCCTTGATAAGAAAACTTAGAAAATAGCTGGGTGCAACTCCGGATAAAACAAAAATTCAGTTTTTTGGACAGCCCAAGTCATATTTAGAGAAATCGAGCTGAGTGTCTCTCTCGTTTTTCTAGCTATTTCAAGAGATGATTTAAATTGGGGGATTTAGAGGAATTCAGCTCGGGAATCCATGCAAACAAAACTCACACTTTAATGATGGTTAAGTCTCCGGCTCCGAGAAGCTAGGATTTCGAAAAAGATCAGAGTCTAAGTCAAGATTTTTAAATACGTAGTGTCGAGCAATGAGTCAAAAAATGTTGTAGCTGGGCCACAAAACGCCCAATAATAAGTACTGCTCCACCTTTTTATATGTCAAAAAGCCTTCTATTATCTCATCCCCTTCTAACATAAAAAAAAATTTTTTTTCAAGTCAAATACCAATGAAGTCATTGAGTCTTTTGACAATATGAACCTTAAAGAACTTTTGCTTAGAGGAATATATTCTTTTGGATTTGAAAAGCCATCAGCTATCCAACAACGTGCAATTGTTCCTTGTTGTACTGGAAGAGATGTTATTGCCCAAGCACAATCTGGAACTGGAAAAACTGCAACATTTTCTGTTTCGGTTCTTCAACGTGTTGATGATAAAGATCCAAATGTTCAGGCTTTGGTTATGGCACCAACTCGTGAATTGGCACAACAGGTTTTTTTGAAAGGGATTAAATAGCTCAGGAACCGGGTATCTGTATAATATCATGTTTTCCTGGGGGTTAGGTTGGAATTTCCGACCGGGTCTTGTCTCAAAAACCCGACATGCCCGGGTATAATTTTTCGAAAAGGGTCGGAAACTACGACATAATGTGAGTGAAAGCCTGGAAAATAAATTTAATTTTTTTTAAAAAGATTATGCTTGTTATGCGCGCTTTGGGTGAATATTTGGAGGTTAAATTTCATCTTTGTATCGGTGGAACTTCTGTTCAGGTTTCTTTTATAGTAGTACTATTTTTCCATATCTTACAAGGGAACATTCCGAACTGTCAGTAAAAATTTCAAAATAAAACTTATACCATCGTGTAGAGCGTGATCGAAAACGTATTATGGTTACTTTCTTTTTTGGCTCCGACCCCCATTTCGAAAAGTTATAGGGGTTCAAAGTTTCCTACTTTTGGAACGGTTGAGTCGCCCTCACTTTTCTTATTATTTCTCTTCCTAAAGGGAAAAGTGAGACTCCTTTTTTCTTTTATTTTTTCCCTCTTCTTTTCCTGTGCTGGCTAAAGAAAGAGAAAAAGAGGAGAGAAAAGAAAAGGAAAAGAGGCGTCTCTGCCTTGCAGCTAATGTCAATTAAAAAGGAAAGAGGAGAGGGCACAGATGCCTCTTTTCCTTTTCTTTTCTCTCCTCTTTTTCTCTTTCTTTAGCCAGCACAGGAAAAGAAGAGGGAAAAAATAAAAGAAAAAAGGAGTCTCACTTTTCCCTTTAGGAAGAGAAATAATAAGAAAAGTGAGGGCGACTCAACCGTTCCAAAAGTAGGAAACTTTGAACCTCTATAACTTTTCGAAATGGGGGTCGGAGCCAAAAAAGAAAGTAACCATAATACGTTTTCGATCACGCTCTACACGATGGTATAAGTTTTATTTTGAAATTTTTACTGACAGTTCGGAATGTTCCCTTGTTAGAAAAAAATTTTAACATGAAATTAAAGTTTTAAAGAGTTGTACTTGTCTTTTTTTGGGGGGGGGAGGTATAAAGTCTACTCCTAACTTGGATTTCAACAAAACTATTCCAGGAAAAACTTGGGAAGCTCAGAAAATTAATGGGTCCAGGCTTTAGACTTTCCTCTGCTTTTCTCCTAATATTTAAACCCTTCTACTTTAATAGGACGATCAACGCAAACTTCAAGGAGGAATTCAGGTTATTGTTGGAACACCTGGTCGTGTTAATGACATGATCCAACGAGAATCGCTAAGTAAACTTTAAAAAATAACTTTTTTTAATTAAAATTTTCTAACTTTTAGAGACCAAAAACATAAAAATGTTTGTTTTGGATGAGGCTGATGAAATGCTTTCTCGTGGTTTTAAGGATCAAATTTATGATGTTTTTAAGAGTTTGCCTAATGATGTTCAGGTTTTCTTTTATTTTTTTGAGATGGGGTAGAAGACTGGGACGTTTTCTGGAAAAATGTTTCTTTGGTGTAGTGGGAAAATGTTTTGTTTTGGGTATGTAGGGGTCGTGGGTTCGAACCCTTTCGGGGAAAAAACAAATAAATAGGCTTAACGAATGTTTAATTAGGCGTTCTCATGGACTTAGACCTTAAATAATTTTAAGAATTTTTTATAAAAAATTTTTAGGTTGTTCTTCTGTCTGCTACCATGCCAAACGATGTTTTGGAAGTCACCAAAAAGTTTATGCGTAATCCAATCCAAATTTTGATTAAAAAGGAAGAACTTACACTTGAGGGAATTCGTCAGTTCTTTATTTATATTGAAAGAGAGGTTTTTTTTGATAAAAAATTTTCGAAAAATTTTAAAAAAATTTTAAAGGAATGGAAGTTCGAGACTCTTTGTGACTTGTACGATACGGTGAATATAACCCAAGCTGTGATTTTTGCTAATACACGTAGAAAGGTTGAAGAGTTGGCTCGTAATATGACAAATAAGAAGTTTACAGTTTCTTTTATGGTTTGCAAAAAAAAACTTTTTTTTAATATTTTTTACCCTTCTTTCCTCCGAAACATTTAAGACTAACCACCTAAGGAAAAGTCTGGGGTGGGATTCGAAAATAAAAGTTATGGGTAACCTGCGCTGTTACTGGTGTTTGAGTTGTCTAAAAAATTGATTTAACTCTATTCACCTGTATTTTTTAATTTTTGGTGTAGTGGGATAATGTTTTGTTTTGGGTGGATTGAGGTCGTTGGTTCGAACCCTCTCGTGGATTTTTTTTTATTTTAGTAAAATAACCTAAAAGAACCAGTTTTCTCTCATCCCATTTTTTAAATTCTTCAAATAATATTTTTCAGCACGGAGAGATGGAGCAGTCTGAACGAGATTTGATTATGCGCGAGTTCCGATCTGGCTCTTCCCGTGTATTAATTACTACCGATTTGTTGGCACGAGGAATTGATGTTCAACAAGTTTCTGTTGTGATAAACTATGATCTGCCTGGAAATCGAGAGAACTATATCCATCGGTATTTTTCATTTTTTGGTGTAGTGGAAAAACGTTGGGTTTTGAGTATATAGAGGTCGTGGGTTCGAACCCTTTTGGGGAAAATAATTTTTATTTTCGAGTTTAGATATAAAGGGCAGTCAAATATGGGAAACGATTATCTTAATCAATAGAAATTTTTGTGTCATAGTGTAGTGGGAAAATGCTTTGTTTTGAGTATATAGGGGTCATGGGTTCGAACCTTTTTGGGGAAATTCATTTTTATTTTTGAAAAAACCACTTAAAATATAAGAAACAATTTTCCTGACTAACAGAAAAATTATTTCAAGTCTTTAAAAATATTTTTTCTCAGTATTGGTCGTTCTGGACGTTTCGGACGTAAAGGAGTTGCAATCAATTTCGTCACCAAAAATGTGAGTCTTTTGACGGAAAAATTTTTTTTCTTAAAATTTTTAAAAATAAAATCCCCCTCTTAATAGGATCAACAAATGCTTAAAGAACTTGAGTCATACTATTCAACCCAAATTGAAGAAATGCCGGCTGAAATTGGGGAGTTGATCTAAAAAAATAATTAAAGGAGAAGAATATAAAAAAGAAAAAAGAGAAGAGAATAAAAAATATAAAAATAAATATATTTTTTGGTATAAGAGAAAAAAAGTGTGTTTTTTTTCTATGTTTGGTGACTGTTCTATTGTTTTGTTGATTCAAATTTGGAATAAAAAAATTATAAAAAAAAATTTTTTCCAAAAATTAAATTCCTTTTTTTTGCGGACTGTCTGCAAGTTAAAGACATTATTAGAAACGTTTCTTTTCTTGTCCGAAAAAGTTATAGCTGCAGCTTCAAGATATCCTATTACTCGTAATTTTTTGGTGTCCCCTTCTAGGGGAAAATAATTTTTATTTAAAGAATTATTTTTTAAATAATTTTTATAATACCGAAAATATCCCTAAGCTATTATATTTATCAGTATAGATGTTGAAATTATTTTTTCGAGAGGTTACTCCAATTTTTTAGACTAGAGTCATTAAGTTAGTAAAGTCAATTTATATTTATCAAAAAACTTCAAAATCTTCAATTCAAAAAATTTCATTTAACAGCCTAAAGGCACACTTGCAAAAAATTATATTTTAATTATTAGGTAAAGCAGCGAACATGGGAAAAATAAAAAAACAAGACCAAAGTCGCAAAAATTTTATAAATTGGCCTAATTTGCCGGAAATGGGGATTTAAATAAACTGCTAGAGGCTTTTTTCTACGTAAAGATGGTCTGGTTTTTGGCCCATAAATATTTGAATTTAATTCATTAATAAAACAATTAAAATCAACACATTAAATATAAATACTACCAAGAAGATCAATTCCAAAATAAAAAAAAAACACATCCTCAATTTTTCCGGAAAGAAAATAATTTCAGAATGTGTGTTTTTAAAAAGAAAACACATCAAGTTTATTTCACAGAATAAACTCTTTCCGGAAAAAACACATTCTGAAAATAAATTCTGAAATTAAACACTTTCCGGAAAACACAAAATTCTGAAAATAAATTCTGAAATTAAACTCTTTCCGGAAAAACACAAAATTCTGAAAATAAATTCTGAAATTAAACTCTTTCCGGAAAACACAAAATTCTGAAAATAAATTCTGAAATTAAACTCTTTCCGGAAAAACACAAAATTCTGAAAATAAATTCTGAAATTAAACTCTTTCCGGAAAAACACAAAATTCTGAAAATAAATTCTGAAATTAAACTCTTTCCGGAAAAACACAAAATTCTGAAAATAAATTCTGAAATTAAACTCTTTCCGGAAAAACACAAAATTCTGAAAATAAATTCTGAAATTAAACTCTTTCCGGAAAAACACAAAATTCTGAAAATAAATTCTGAAATTATATTTCTTCCGGAGAAACACACATTTCATTCCACAACATTTTCAAGTTTAGTATTTTTCAGAAAACACAATTATTTCTATACTTAAAGTATTCTTTCCGGAAAAACACACACAAATTCTACTTATTTAGTATTTTCTTAAAATATATTTACACGTAAACTATACTAATTTTGTATTTGCTTCATTAGCTTTTTTTAAAAAATTATTTTTATTTTATTTTATTTTTGTCTGCAAGAATAAAAAAATATTCTAGGAATAAAGTACTTTTTTCACTAGGCATTTTCTTGGCTTAAAAAATTTTTTTCAACCAAAAAAAAATTTTTTTTGTTTTTATCGGATGAATGATTTTTTTCTTGACGCTAAAGACACGTTTTGTTCATTTCCGGTAAATTTGCTCCTATTTCTTTATTTTTTTATTAATGCCTGCAACGCCTTATTTTATAAATATACCCTTTACCTAAATTATAAAAATATAATTTTTTTTTGTTTAAAAAAATTTATTTTTTTTCTTTCCTTCTTTTAACCACGCAACACAAGAAAAGAAAATTAAATCGCCATTTTAGGCCAATTAATAATGCTAGGATGCTCACAAAAATTTTTTTTCGGTGTTTAAAATTGTTCCTTATTTTGAGGCCTTATTTAGCTTTTATTTTTTTAAAATTTTTGTGGGTTGAAAATGATGTGAGAAAAATAATATCTATAAAAAGGTTAAGGAATATTTTAAGTTTTTTTCAGTTACAAAATTAACACACAAGGAAAACATTCCGGAATTGACAATAAACAAAAAAAATGTATTTTCTTTTGACTATAGAAACATCATCATTTAAAACAAAAATACAGATAAACTTTTTCCGGAAAACACACACATACTTTTTCCGGAAAACACACAAATATATTTCCGGAAAACACACACACACATATATTTCCGGAAAACACACACACATTTTTCTGATTTAATAAAACACAAATCAATTTCTTAAATTATACTCTTTCCGGAAAAACACAATCACAATTAAATTAAAACACAATAAAATACAACCGGAATTAATTTAAAACACACACTACCATATACTTTCCGGAAAAAACACAAACATTTCTGAGTTATATTTTCTCCGGAAAACACATACATTCTTTCCGGAAAACACACACATCTATTTAATAAAATACATTCCTGAAAATTATATTCTTTCCGGAAAATTATATTTAATTTATTCTCCGGTTATAAAAACAAAAACACATTAACCCCTATAAATGAGAAGCAAATATACAACCATTAAATATTAACACCAGTTTTTTAAAAAAATAATAAAACTAATTCAACTAATATATTATTTAGGCAACTTCTCTAGGGAATTAATTTTTCCTTATTTTGTGGCATAAAAAGGGCATTTGCATCAATTATTATATAATACTTTTGTTTTTATTTTTTTTGACAGTTCCGTTCGGTTCTTATTCTCAGAAAAGTGCAAAAAACAGTCAAAATGTTTTAACAAAAAATTCTTTCCCTAACTCATTACCAAAATTTTTTTTCATTATTATTAATTTGTCATTTAATTATATTTATGTATATAAAACACAACCAGTACAAATACATTCATTCCGGAAAATAAATTATAATAAACACACAATTAAAAGTTCTGGAATAACACATACATATTTTTTAAAACACAATCAGAATTAAAACAGAATCAGAATTTAAAACACACCAGAATAAACATATTCTTTCCGGAAAATACTAAAAACACAACCAGAATTATAATCAGTATAATTTCCGGAATTTATAAAACACATCCAATCCGGAAAAATACACATAAAAATACACACAATCAGAATTTATTTCGGAATTACTTTTAAAAATACATTCTTTCCGGAAAATTAATAAAAACAAAAACACAATTGTTGACATTTTCTTGCGGTTAAAAATACAAAAATATTGTTCCCAATTTCCGGTCATTCTTTTCTCCAATTCCTCTTATTTTTTGACATTTTCATATTTTAAAATAATCCGTCAACATTTTTTAATTTTAACACACTCCCCCAACCTTTTCTTTAATTTATCCACCGACCACCCCCATTATTTAAATATTTTTTGGCAAATTTCCCTGGGGTAATACTTCTCACTTTTGTCAAATATTATCTCCTAATAGTCTGCGCAATTTTTTAATCATAATTTTCTTTATTTAAATTAAAGGACATTTAAATTCATAATTTATGACACTTTCTTGACATCCACACATACAAACACTTTTTAAAAACACTTTTTTCTTTCTTATAAAGAAATTCCGGAAAAATACATATCAAAAATACATACTTGACAGCTAGAAATATAAATGTGTTTTCCATTCCGGAAAAATAATTTCCGGAAAATATGTATTAATTCCGGAAGAACTATAAAATAAATTCTGATTTTAATTATAACTTTCCGGAAAAAGTTTATTTTTGTTATAAATTCCGGAAGAACTATAAAATAAATTCTGATTTTAATTATAACTTTCCGGAAAAAGTTTATTTTTGTTATAAATTCCGGAAGAACTATAAAATAAATTCTGAAATAAAATTCTGATTTTATTTTTAAATAAATTCTGATTTTATTTTTTAATATTATAATTTTCCGGAAAACTTGTATTTTTCTTTAAATTCTGAAAAATACAAGTATTTATTTCTCTGGTGATTTACGTATTTTTGCATTATTCTGATTTTATGCTCTATCAAACACTGAAAAATGTAGAAAAACTATCTACGCAATAAATTTCAATAACCAAAAATGCAAAGGACAAATTTCTTTTAACAAAAAAAAATTATTCAAAAATTTGTCTGTCAATTCCGGAAGGGATATGCATGAGTGGTGGTATCTCTTTCTAATTCCCTTTTCTCATTGTTTTTTTGAAAAGGAAGGAATATTTATTTTTATTTTCACGCCTTTTAATAATCGCCACCTTGTATATAAATACCTGGCAAATTCTTTAACATTATTCTCATTTTTGGCAGCCCGAAAAAATATAATTTTTGACACGCGAGAAAAAATAATAGTTCTTTCAGGAACAAATTTCTTAAAAATGTGTTTTACAAAAAATACATTCTTTCCGGAAAATACATTAAAGTAAAAACGCAATAAGAAATTATAATGGTATAATTTCCGGAATTTAATTTATTCTTTCCGGAAAATACATTAAAAACACATGAACAAATCAGAATTATTTTTAAGCTTTTCAGAATCTTATAGAAACACATTCTTTCCGGAAAATACAGAAATTATAATGGTGTAATTTCCGGAATTTTATTATATTCTTCCGGAAAAATTTTCCTTCCCGGAAAAATACATATTAACTAAAAACACAACAAATAAATTCGTAATTAATTTTCAGGGTCCTCCGTCGCCGACTCATTTTTTTAGAGGCAGTCGAAATAAAAATACATAAGATATTATATTAAATACATTACACTTTCATTCACAACAATACCAATGTCTCATTTAACAGAAAATTTTGGAATTTTTAGAATGTTTTCAAAAATAATGGTAAATTTAAATTAAAGATCAGAATAAAAATTAGAATAAAAATCAGAAAAAAATCAGAAAAACCAGAACAAAATCAGAATATTTCAGAAAAACACCCCAAAAATTTATTCCCCTTTTAAGATTTTATTTGCACTATGCTGTATTTGCCGGCTAGTAAATTGTAGCAGCAACAACAACAATATTAACAGTGCCCAACACAATAATTTTAGAACAAGAATTACACCTATAATTGTTGGAACAGAAAAAGGTAGATCAGAATAACAATCAAAATAATCGTGAAAAAAATCAGAATATCATATCAGAAAGTCAGAAAAAACCAGAATATTCAACAAAAATCAGAATATCGTAAAAACCAGAATAATTCAGATCAGAAAAAAATCAGAAAATCAAAATCAGAATTTTTTTATCAATTTAATTTTTCAGAACTATCAACTCTCCTCTACAATTCCTTTCATCAACACCCAAAAAATACATTAATTAAAAGAGCTTTAGATATGTTAGAAGGAGATGATTTTATTGGAATGCAAAGGAAAAGAGCTTTAGATTTAATGGAGGGAGATGGGTTTGGAGGAGGTTTTGATAGAAAAAGAAGAGCTTTGGATATGATGGAAGGGGATGATTTTATTGGATTGAAGAAGAGAAGTAATTTGTTGAGAAAAAGAGCTTTAGATATTTTAGAGGGAGATGATTTTGTTGGAATGCAAAAAAGGTAGGGAATGGATTGAGAATAAAAATCAGAAAACCAGAACAAATCGACTTAAAAATCAGAAAACCAGAATAAAAAAGCAGAATAAAAAATCAGAATAAAAATTAGAATAAAAATCAGAATAAAAACCAGAATATCATATCAGAATAAAAATCAGAACAGAAATCAGAATAAAAACCAGAATAAAAAACAGAATAAAAATCAGAATAGAAATCAGAATAAAAATCAGAATTAAATCAGAATAATAAATCAGAATATCATATCAGAATGTTTAAAAAATCAGAATAACAAATTAGAATATCAGAAAAAATTATTAATTTTAAAGGTCACTATTAATGTAAAAAAACAACAACAACACTCTATGATCACAACAAAATTCACATACACTTCAATACTTTCAAAAAAAATTTAGAAAGTCTGATGATCTCACTCTTTAAATATTAAAAATATTTAAAAAATTGTTTTTTGGATTTTCAAAGAGTTCAATTGTCCTAAAAAATATATTAATATTCCATTAATGTTATTTTATATGCTTGCACTTTTTAATAAAAATAAAATTTTTTTAAAAAATCATTCTTATCATTTTTGTTATTTTTTTATTAATCCAAAAAATTCCTTTAATAATTCAAAATTTAATTTTTTTTTCTATTTTTTTTTCTTCCCCAAAATTAAAAAAAAATTTATTTTCTCCCGAAAAATAATTTTTTAACGAACAAAAAATTATATTTTAATTTAAAAAAATTAAAAAAGCTACCGACAATTAAATTTTTTTGCACAACAAACACATAAACATTGTAATTTTTGATATATTTTAGAGCCATACAATAAATTGTGTGTGAAATTTTGTTTTTTTCTTGGTTAATAATTCTTATTGAAAATTTTCTTTTGAAGATTTTGTGCTTCTTCCAGAGTTTTTTTAGAAAAAAAATTAATTAATTGATATATATTGGCTGTGAAAATATTATTGTATTATTGTCAATAAAAATGCTGTAAAATATTTAAAAAAAAACAATCAGTTTGGACCTCGGTTTTAAGTAACGAAAAAAATTATTTTAAGTTGCTGTCCAGAAAATCATCATAGTTTAAAAACAAAAGGAATTTTTAAAATTTAAGGGTTAATTAGAACCGAAGTTTGAGAAACTACTTGAAATGGCTGCTTGAACTAGCTTGAATTTTTTTTTGCATTGCTTGAACTTTAGTTTGAAATTCTGACATTTTCGAGCAGTTCAATTATTGTTTTCTAATTTTTTTTGAACTGCTTGAACTTTAGTTTAAAATTAGATTCTAATGTGTAACAATATATGAAAAAATTCTTTTTTTCTTAATAAAATTAAAAAAAAAATTCAAGCAGACGATTTTTAAAAAAATAGTATATAGATATCATATAAGACTTTTAAAAACTGCAACAATTAAATACTTAATATATCAAATTATTTTTTTTAAATATAAAAATGGCTGGAGATTTAATTTGATTAATTAAATTTATAATGATTATAGCAAGAGGTTAGAAAGAAAAAAAAATTTTTTTTCTGAAGAGAAAATGAATTAAAAAAAGATATCAACAAAAGCTTATATGAATTAATTAATTTTAGTAGGCTTTAATAATGGACGTAATATTTCGTTTATTTATTTTTTAAAAATTATTTGTTAAAGTTATATGTGCTTATTTTTTTTGTAAATTTATATATAAAAAGAGGGCAGTTTATAAACAAAAATTAGGTAGGAGATAAAAAAATTTAAAAAAATAAAAAGAAGGAGGAGGAGAGAGGTCAAAATAAGAATAGTAGTTAAAGAGAGAGAGAGATCTCTTTAATCATTACCTCCAACACAGTATGTTAAAAAAAATTTTTTTTCGAATTTCAAGTGTACGTATATACACCTTTATGTGGATAAAAAAACAATTATATGTAAAACTGACCAGGAATTTAAATATATTTTTTGGTACCCTTCGATAGAGGACCTCCTCGACTTCCCTTATATTCTATTCTTAATTTAACATCTCCCCTACCCTTACGAACAACAAAAAAACTCTATATTAAGCAAGAAGTGTGTGTGTATATATGATAGAGAGCTAATTTTTTAACCAAAATTATTGTTTAATTTTTTAAATTTTATTTTGAAAAAAATAAAATATGTATCGAGACAAGATCACTGAAAAAAAATTTTTTTTTCTAATCAAGTAAATGGGAAATACCATCAATCCTCCCAGATTGAGAAATATCATCAAATAAAGGAACTGAAAAGTGAATGACCCTCTTAAAAAATTATTTTTGGAAAAAAGACGTTATTAGTATGGAATCTTAAAAAATTCAGCAACAAACCAAAATCTTCGGTTCCCCAATTTGGTTTCCAACTAATTTTAATATTAAAGATCAGAACGGGAGACAAATTATCCCCACGAGTGTAAAAAACCCGAGATTGTTTTAAATTATTATTTTTCTAAAACAAGTACTTGATTCATTAAAAAAAATTTTTTCTTTTAATAATTGAATAAAATAAAAGATAAAAAAACATTTTTTAAAATAATATATGAGAATCCAGAGAACAACCAAACAAAAAATATATTTAAATGACCATAAAAGACTGAAATATATTGAAAAATAGAAAAATGGCAAAAAAATATTTATAATCATATATCCTTATTTTAAAAAAATATTTTTTAAAAAAGTGAAAAAAATAGCAGAAAAAAAGAAAATTATTCATTTTTCGAGTAAAATTAAGCTAAAAAAATAAAATTGAAAGAACGAAAATACATACTTATTTAAAAATTGGAGAGAACTTTTTAGAAAAAATTGAAAATTAAAAAAAAATAGAGAAGGAAAGAAGAAAATCCACTCGACTAGAGAGAGAGAGAAAAATAGATTAAGTAAGAAGAAGATTGAAGAAACAAAATTTTTACTTTAATAAAAAATACTTCCCTCAAAAAAAAAACAAACTGAATGTTGCTGTTGATTGTTGTCCATATTGAGAGAGAATGTCTGTATCAATCAAAAAAACCATTTTCATCTTTTAAAATTTTTCACAAATTTTTGAATGTCATGCAAAGTACATCACCTTTAAAGAAGAAAAGAGTTTGAAATTTTTAAAAAAATGAAAAAAAACCGAATTAGCATCAGGATGAACCTGTACAGCTCTAGCCATATTACTCAAAGTTGTATCTTCACTAGTACCAGAAGGTTGACTTCCTTCACCGCTAGAAAAAAAAAGATTTTTTGAAAAAATTAATAAAAAAATAAAAAATACCCAAAAGAAATGGAAAAATCTGAAAGAAAATTCCAAAAAAAAGGGAATTTAAAAAAATCGAAAAAAAGTTGGGAAAATAAATTTATTCAAATTTTGACGAATTTGAGGAACTCACAAGGGAACATCCGATACTACAAAAATTCGATTCGATATTTTTTGGTACCAATCGAGAGAGGAGGACCATCGATTTACTTTAGTAGTGTGCGGGTTTTCTTAACGAATTTTTGTACACATTATCCGATGTTCCCTTGTCAGTAAAATAATCATTTTCCTTCCCAAACTATTCAAAGTCCCCCTCTTCCCCTCCTCAATTCATTAAATTTCCAAACAAATAAAAGAAAACCTGTCATGTTCTCTATCAACCAAATGATAACGAGCTCTAAAAGCAACCAAATGAGCATAATAAGCAGGCGCCGGTACAGAAACTGAGCGTGTACAACGAACATAAGTATGGCAAAGTTGATAAGTAAGTTGTTGAAGTTCATCGGCAGAAAGATTATTGTCATCCCAGAGAACATGATAATGTGAAGGACGTGAAGTTCCCTTTAGGGAAAATAAAATTAAAAATTAAACTTTCTGACAATGAAGTTTACCCATTAAAATGAAGAAAAAAAATTTTTATCAAAAATATTTTTTTGGTGTAGTGGGAAAGTGTTAGGTTATTAGTAATAAAGTACCATGGTTCGAACCTCACTGCGGAATTTTTTTTAATTTTAACTAAAAAACTATTAAAATGCTTGTCAATGATTAAAAACATATATTTATTAATCGAAACAAATAAAACTCCATCTTTCTAAAATAAATTAAAGGGAAATTTCTAAAAAATTGAAGGAAACCGACGGAAAAAATCCTTCAGAATTGGAAACGCCTAACACAATGTCTTTCCAAGTAAAGAAAAAAAACCTGAATTCCAGCATGAGAACACAAATAAAAATCAAATTCTGTTGGATGTGTAATACCAACATCAACAGTTGTACCGGGCGGGATATTGAAAGCTTTGCCGACTTGATCTTTTTTATCAACAGCAAAAAGTCTTTGAAAAATTTTTTCTTATTTTTCATAATTTCAAAAAAAAAAAAATAAACCTTGTATGATGACGTTTTTGTAAAGCAATAAATGTTATTCCTGGTTGGTATCCTCTTTCAAGCATCATACAAGCTTCACGCATTGAACGAAGTTCACTTTGAAGAACCTTTTAGAAATAATTTTTTAATTCTCAATTTTAGGTTTTGACTCTTTATCCAGTAAAAAATTAATTAAAGAGTATCCGCTGACAGGCAAAAACGACCCTACGACTTACTGGGAGTTTTTGCTAGTCTCTATGTTCATACCGTGTATAGGTTTGCTCTACCACCGACTCAAATATAGTTGGGGGCTAAATTAAACCAAAAATGATTTGACTAAAAAAGGGGGCCAAAAACGATTTTCAAAACAATTCTTACAGCCTGAATAACATCCATAGAAGTTCCCAATAAAAAATAAGACTAGATACCCTGTAAGATAGAAAAAAATAAAAATAAGAAACAAACATTAAGAAATTGTCCTTCACTAACACCATCACGATAAACAATAATTCTGGTAGGTTTAAACCGAGTATTTCTATAAAATTGAATTAACAGTTCTCTAACCATAAATGTAAGTTCAGAAATTATTTCCTTTAAAAATTAAAAAATTTCAAAAATTTTTTAAAAATTCAAAAAACATGTCTGTGTTGTTGTACTCTAACTGTTGCAGCATAACGTGAAGGATGTGCATCCATACTTCCAACAACACCAGCAATTGAAGGCTTACGAGAATCCCCTGCAGGTGGATGTGTTATGTCAGCACCAAGAAAAATTATTGGTTCATTAAAAATGCGTGGACGGACGGCAGGAAGTAAAATACTTTAAAGAAATAAAAAATTAAGAAAAAATTTTCAAAAGTGGTGAATATATCGGTAATAAAAATTTTTGGTTAGACAATAGTGTTGCGCCGGAAGTTCCGGTTCCGGTAGGCCGGAAGTTCCGGGATTTTTTGGTTCCGGTTCGCGTGTTTGTAAAGTCCGGTTCTGGCGTGCTTGTAAGAACCAAAAAATTAAATCCGGTTCCGGCCAAATTTGGGGTTCCGGCGCAACACTACTAGACATGTCATTCAATTTGTATCAATGAGCGGAGTTCGAACGGACCCACAAATTATTTTAGAAAATGATTCTGGAACTAGTTTTAGGTTTCGAAAAATTAAAAATCGTTGGGGAACCAAGCCAACAAAATTCAAAACAAATTTTTAATTTTAAAGAATACCTATTAACACCACCAAGTTTAACATTCATTTTTAGGCATAAATTTGAAAGAGTTTGTGGAGTTGTTTTTGTAACATTTTTTGCTTGAACACATTGTGTAGCAATACCCAAAACTGTGTCTCCAACACGTTTAACTTCAGCTAAAAGAAAAAAAATTTTTTTTAAAATTTTCACGAAAAACCATAAACAGGAGTTTTGCCAGGAAGTACAACACAAACTAATTGTAATCCAGGAAAATTTTGTTTCAAGTATTTAAACATTGGTTCAACTTGATCAACACCTACAGCATATTTGCAAAAACAAGGTTGACCTTGAATTGGCATTCCTGCATCTGCGGATATTTTTTGTAAATGGCCAGTGAAATTTCTGAAAAATATGAAAAATTTTTTTTATAAATTCAAAAGAATTTGTTCTGGTCCAGGACATGCTCCAGTAAATAAACTGTCAGCTTATTAGTCAAAATAACGGACATTTAGTCAATTCACACAAGCCAAATATAAATTAGAAATGGGCTGGGAGAGGAAAAAATCGGGTCTGATTTTGTAAGAAAAAAGTCCAGGATTCAAAGCTGGCTATAGTTTATGAGCTCAAGCATAATTTTTCACTGAATTCGTACAGCTTTACTGGACACACAAATTACCCCAGAGCTATTTTCTCAACAATGTTATGGACCTCTATTTGTCCATGGCTACAGGAAAATCTTTAAGTTAAAGTGACTCTATTATTAATTAAAAAAAAGACAGTATATGCGGTGATTTACAAGAATCAACAATTACAAAATATAAGTCTCCCAAACCAGATTTCCCGAACCTCCAAATTTATCACAAAATTATTTAAAAAAAACCTGAGATCATTTTCTTTAACATGATTTTGTTGTGCAAAACAAGCAATTGCCCAAGTTTTAACTTCAATTCCTGTATGAAATTGTTTTCCACGCATATCCCAAACTCCTTGATTTGGTAATGCTGTAGCTTTTGTTCTTCCACCATACAAAAGTTTTGGAGCATTTAAAACACGTCCTTTAACTTCTGTCATAGTCTAAAAAAGGATTAAATAAAAAAATTTAATTAAAAAAATAAAATTACAGAATTAATTGAAATTCCAAATTCTTGAGCAAAAGGATCATGAACAATTTCGGCACGTCTAACAAGTGCAGAAATTTCCTTTTCTCTATCTGGAGCATTACGTGCTGTGACCTGAAAAAAATATATAGAAATAAATTTATAACTATATCAGAATTAATTTTTAAAAATGAAGAAAAAATACAGCAAAGAAATAAAAATACAAATATTATAACAGAAAAATACACTAAATTCTGATTTAAAAACACAGAAAAATTCTGATTTAATTAAAAAAAATACATAAAATTCTGACTTATTATTGAATTGAAAAATACAAAATTCTGATTTTTAATTCTGATAAAAACACAAATATTATAAAAGAAAAACACAGAATTCTGGTTTTTAATTCTGATGAAAATACTAATCCTATAAAAGAAAACACAAAAAATTCTGATATAATCATTCTCTTAAAAAATACAAAAATATTCTGAATTAAAAACACATAAAATTCTGATTTAACAGAAACACATTCTATTAACACTAAAAAATTAATCCGAAAAACACAAAAAAATACAAAATAATTCTGATTTTCTTCAAAAAATACAAATTCTGACTTAAAATAAAACACTAATAAACAAACCTTAATCATTGTAGACGTTTGAGTATCAGACAATTTTTTAATACATCTCTGTCCAGAAACAATTTCACAAACTTCCAACGGCAAATAAGTATGTTTTTGTTCTTGGCCAACTTGTAAACATGGAAGATGTGGATATTTTAATTGCATGTGATATTTGTCATTAAAATATTTGAGAACAGTACAGTCAATAGATAAACCATTTTCAAGTAATAAAGGGAATCTTAAATGGAAAGAAAAAGAATATTTTTTAATTTAAAAAAATCTAGAAAATTAAGCAAAGAAAGTAGCAAAAATGAGGTTGACTAAAATATGGAGCCCACCTTAACCTTTTTCAATGTTGGGACCATATTTACTCGTAGTTGGAACTACACCTCTCCATTGTTGGAACAAATTCTTTCATTTTATGAAACTACCTTCCCCAGTTTAACAAGTTTAATATTTCGGCAGTAGAAGCAGTAGAGAAGGGCCGAACAAGAATCGGTCGGGTTGAGAAAACTCTTATGGATGGGGTTTTTACAATTTCCTCCAGATCGGGTTTCTGGACGAAAAAAAAGGAAGAAGCTTCGGGTAATCAACCCAAAATCATCCTCAAATTCCTGAGGCTTAAGAGCGCGGATATAAACTTTCAAATCGACGTTTCTTTCACTTAACCTATACCCAACAATATTAATCAAAAAAATAATTTTTAAAAAAACAAACGTTTGTGATTGAGCTGGTTTTCTAGTAACATTACAAACACGATATTTTCTTCTCATTTGTCCACAATGAGTAATTTCAATTTTAAGTCCTCTTATTTCTTTTGTAAATTTAACACGTTGAGGATCTGATAAATTTCTTCTATCATTAAGTGCCTGCATTGGTAATTCCAAAACTTCAGCCATAAAATTTATCACAGGCATTTTACGATAAAAGGCAGTTGCAGAAACTTGAAAAAATATTAATAAATTTTTATAAGAAAAAAAATAAAATTCAATTTAAAAATATGAAAAATAGGGAGAGGTCAGACAAACCTTTCTGTTCACTTTTTAAGCTTTATCCATAAAAGGGCTGCCAAAGAATAAGGTCAAGTGAGTCCAGTTTCGGATAGGGTTTTATTTTTTTTCTTCAGATGGAGTTTCGGATCGAAAAAAAGCTCGGAGTTCGAGTTGATCAAGCAAACTCTCAAACTCAACAAACTCGAAGGATACCACAACTTAAGAGAAAACTACATATAAGCGAAATCCAACAGTATTTTTAAAACCAAACTGTCCCACAAAAATTCCAAATAAATAAAGAAATGCTCGGAAGGGTAAACCTAAAACACTCCCTCATTTTTTCAACGAAAAAACTTTTTTAAATTAAAAATCAAACCGTCAATATTGAGCATCATTTTCCACTGGCTTGGGCGTACACTTTGGTGAAATCCAAACCAAACTTCTCTTCCACCACCAAGTCCACCAAGTTTATCAACGCCTTGAGGACCTCCTCCTCCTCCTCCGCCACCCCCACCGCCTCCAGGACCACCAGAAACGGTAATGTGTTGAGCGCCTAAAGCTACAGGAGGTGAAGAGAAAAATGAACGACCAACTAAAAAAATTTTTGAAAATTTCTCTAAAAAATTTTTAAAAGAAAACCTGGAGTATATTTCATGCTGGGAAGATGTCGAAGAATGACATCCATAGCTTGAACCGATTCTGGTGGGATTTGTCTTATACGGCCAGCCATCGCATCTTCCAATGCTTGTAAAGAAACACGGCTTACTAACTGAAAAAGCAATATTAAAAAAAATTTTTAGGCCCTCTTTGATTGATAGGCAGAACCCATCATTAAACATTAAAGTGGGAGAAAGGTTAAGGAAAAAACGAAATCCAAGGATTTGGAAAAAAATTTATGGCCTAAACCAGAGGACCATACACACACAGCCCCCACAGCCTCTTAATAAGCATTGCTCTTGGTTTTTTCTAACTCATGGTTTTACTAATCAAAATGACAAAGACAATTGATCAGGCATGGAAGAACCCGGATATGACATCTAGAAAGAAGATACGGATGTGGGCGGATACGTAGAAAGCAATCATAACACAAAATATTCGTAAAAACCGGAAAATTACCGCGGAAGAACATGTCTGAGAACAAGCCCGTAAAAATACTTTTACAAAAGCATATACCGACAAAAAAAATATTAAATAAAAAACCTTTAAAGCAACTCTAAATTTTCTATCAACAGCAGAATCACCAGGCATAACAACATCCAATTCAACTCTTTCTTGTCCAAAAGGCAAAGCTTCTTTTGTATATAAATTCTTTTTTCCATCATATACAGGTTTGAAATTATTAAATAATTTACATGAATCAACCATTGTATTTATGATTTCTCTGTTAACTTTACGAGGACATTTGTCTGGTCTTTAAAAAAAATTTTTTTTGATTAAAAGTAAGTAAAACAAAAAATTAAGGGCAATTTATAGGATAATTTTTTAAGTATAAAAATGACAAAAAAGCGTTACAGAAACTTTTCTCAAATTTTTTTATATTTAACATAAACATGACAGAAAAGAACAGTTAATCAAAAATCAAAATGTTTTTATAAGGTTAAATCGTTGTTTCCAATGCCCCAGATAAAGAGGGAGAGAGTCCAGGATGTGGTTTGGTTTCACCTCTACCCAAAGTCAAAATTATAACCCTTGGGGTTTTTCTTTACCTAGAGTGAGAACGAAAACGTTTTTTAAACTCCTAGAGTTTCCTGGAGTCCCAGAATCTGACCCTGTTAAATCAATCATCTTTTGAGCCCTTTTCACAAAAATCCCCAACCTCCAGCCCCGAACAATTGAAAAAAAAAACCAACTGAATTTCAACAGCATAAAAATGAACATAACCACCAGAATTAGTAACTTTAAAGTGATTAGCACGCAAAAGAATTGGACGTCCTTCAGTTCCATGATTTGGACGTGGTGGACATTGAAATTGTATAGTTGAAGGAGGTAAAGATAATTGACCCTAAAAAATAGAAGAAAATCATTTTTAAACATAACGAGGTATTCAAAATCTCAGAAAATTATAATGTTAGGTACCCAAAACCCGAAAATTATTCCATGTACAACAATGAGTTTTGTCATTCTTCAACACCAATGATTGACAAAATATTTTCCCCAACCCCGAAAGTTCATATATCGTTGTTCCGACATTACAGTTCCGTTCATGAGTAAAGAGTTGATACACAAACCCGATTCTTCGTCCTCATCCAACAATGATTTTTAGATCTTTAACGACATGATCGTCGAAAACCTCGTCCCAGGAAGTTCATTCAATGACCACAATTGTCCCCAAAAAAGTTAGCCTCAACAGGTATCGGACCAACTCTAATTGTAACTAAAGAGGTTTCCCAATTTTTTGTGCAACTTGGGAAAATCAATCCTTCCCAAGATAATTTCCAAAATAAAAAAAATCTAAAAATATTTATATTTACATGCTGAACTGGAACTAAAGATCTTTGTTGTTGTGATTGTTGTCCTATTGGCGGTTGTTGTCCAGGAGGAGGTTGGTGCATTCCTCCTCCACTTATTTCTGTTGTAGCAGCCAATGCGATTTGTTGTCCTTGTTGAGAAGATATTGTGGATGGTTGTTGCTGTGGTTGTTGTTGTTGCTGAGGCTGCTGTGGTTGACGTTCATAAAGCATTGGAGTTGTAGCACTAGTAAATGCAGAACCTCCTCCACCACTACTTATGCCCCCACTACCATGGACCATCTGACTTCCTGAGGATAAGAGGTGTGGTGGCATGAAAAATGAAGATTCAGGGTACTGAAAACGAGAAAGAAAATTTAAAAAATTATTTTGGGAACTTTTTAAACTGTATCTGTCTCATCTTTATTCGCCTTATCTTCCCTTATCTTACATTTTTGCCCAATAAATATATAAAAAAAGATTAGTTTTGGGCTGAGAACCTCAAGAGTCTCCATCCATCTTTATAACAAAGACCCATATTAATAACATGTAGTTGCACCCACGCTAAATCCCCACAATTAAGACAGGTTTCGGATTTTCTACAAAAGAACCAAACCCAAGCTCCTCGAATATACAAAGGAAATAGGAGAAAATAAAAAACGAAAGCCCAACAAACTTCAAAAAATTCCAAAAATTTCAGAAATTTGTTAAAGAAAAAACCTGAGGTGGCTGCTGCGAAAATGGTGGAGCACCTTGTTGCACTGATTGTGAGCCCAAAGAAAATTGGGATGAAACTCCTCCAGTAATGCCTCCACCAAAAGGTCCACCACCAATCATTCCCGTCATTTGTGGGACGAAAGTAGGTGGCATTCCACCAGATTCATTAACCGTTAAGGCTTCTAAAATTAAATAATAAAATCGAGGAAAGGCCAAAAATTAATATAGTTGATCAAAAATAGGAATCACTATCATTTTTTGATTATTTAAAAATTCATTCCCCTAAGCGGGGTCGAACCCACGACTCCAAATAATAGATAAAGGAAACAAAAAACATCAACAAAAAAATAAAGTAAGGCCGAAAATTAATAAAACTTGTTCAAAAACTTGAAATTATAATCATTTTTGATAATTTAAAAATTCATTTCCCCAAGCGGGTTCGAACCCACGACCCCAAAAATAGACATAGAAAGCATTCCCTCAAGTGAATTCGAACACGTGACCAAAAAACCATATATTCTTCTATTGTAAAAAGAATAAGGAGAAACCAAAATGTAATATAATTGGTCAAAAACTTGGAATTATGACCATTTTCGATCATTTAAAAAATCATTTTCCCCGAGCGGGTTCGAACCCACGACCACAAAAACACCAAAAAAATTAAACCTAATATACTCAAAACTGCTTGTTGATCAATAGAAGTCATTTGCTGCTGTTGTTGTTGTTGCTGTGGAATTTGCATTGTTTGGTGTTGTTGGTGTTGATATGACGAAACTTGTTGCTGAGGTTGTTGGTGTTGTTGTGAACCGCTTATAAATTGTTGAAAAGGATGCTGTGAATATTGTTGTTGTTGTTGTTGGCCTCCTTGTGGCGGAGCTTGAGGCGGCTGCCTATGCTGTTGAGGATCCAGCTTGGCAAACTTTTTAAAAAAATTTTTTCAATAGGCACCCCCCCCTCAAAATAAACAAAAAATAATGAAAGAATCAAAGCTTAAGAGTATGGATTCCCTGTCCCCAAGGTTAAGAACAAGACAAAATTGATGGAGGGAAAGTCATTCAAGCTAACCGACACCGACTTTCCCATAACCTTCTTCCCAACTGTGTTGCTACCTAGACATCGTCTATCAGGATCAGGAAAATAGGGACAGGTGAACTGGCAAAAGATCCCTTCCTAATGGTAAACGGAGACCCCAACAATTCTAAAAGGGAAAACTAAAGAAAAATACCCCGCAAAATGTCTCACTAGACTCTAATATATTTATATATCGATCAATACTTAAATAAAAATTTTGAGTTTGGCTGACCAGGAAAGAAGACAAGACAGTCAGCGCTCGATAATATATCCGTCACGTTCTGGATCAAACTTAAAAGCCTATATCCATTCAAGGGACATGTTATCGGGGGTCAAATCTCGCCAAAAACAAACATCCCTATGGACTGAGTTGTGCAGGAACGTATCATGAAAATAATCGTCCTAGTAGGTTAACTTATCGAGCTCCGACTGTAAATCCCAAATATAGAAAGGACTTTTGACTTTACTTATCCCCTTCCTATCCCCTTCCCTTTAAATAAAAAAATTAAAAAATACTTGAAAGAAATCGGCGAAAACTGGGACGGTTGACTCGTCAGCGTCGTAATAGTAGGAGGTAGCAGCAAGTTTTGCAGTAGAACTGTTGATGTTGTTGTTTTGATTTAATTCAATTATGACGACAAAAAAGAAGTGAATATTTTCTGTTGACTAATAAACAAATTGAACCAAAAAATTTGACAAAAATCCAAAAAAATACTAAAAAGTTTTGGTAGTATACACCTCTAAAAAAATAATTTTAAAAATAAGATTAAAAAAAACTAAAAAAGAAATGCCGGCAAAACCTCAAAAAAGAAAAAGGCATTTAAACGTAAAGGAAAAATTACCCATAAAATCACCCCTATTTAAATAAAGGGTCCATTAGAGTATGAAAATATAAGGGAAAGAAAATTGTCTCTCCACAAAAATGAGACTCTAACAGTCTTTTAATCTTCTAGTAGAAGACGCCATTTAATAACACAACGATAGACATCAATAAATAAAACGTCAGACATTTTTAAATGTTAGACACACATACAAATACAAAAGGTCAGCCATTAAAATTAGAGAAAAGAAAAAGACTATAGAGAATGAAGAGATTTAAAAAGAAGAGAGAGAAAATTATTTACTGCAGTTAAACTGTGTCTAACAAAGTTGCAAAAAAAATAAAGGGGGGATTAATGCAATATTTAATGTAGCAAGCAAGCAGCATTTTTCTTACCTTTATTTTTTTCCACATCCATTTTTGGTTGGAAAATAGTCAAGTAAGTAACAAGAGAAATTAAAAGGGGATTATAATTCTAAATAGAGGCATTTTTGAATATTTTTTCTTTGACATTTTAAAGTGTTCAAAGATGACTATTAAACAAAAAATTAGTTTTTTAATTCTTTGAACAAAAAATAAAAATTTTGAACCGTTAAAATCAATCTAAAAAAATAAAAAAAAAACCAAAATCTCCCTCTTTTCATTTCATTTAATTCATTTTCCACCAAAAGGCATCGAACTTTTCTCATATTTTTTAAAAATTCATTCTTCTGCCTGCGCCCTAAACCACTCGGCCACACACGCTACAATCAACAAACTCAAATCTCTTCACAAAATCCTTAAGGAAATTAAAAGAAAAACCCCTATAAATAATCAAAACGCTCATGTTTAAGTCTCAGATTTCTCCAAATAAAATTTTAAAAATTTCTACTAGAATCTCTTTAAGACTCCCTAAAAACTCAAACAAAATTTAACAATTTATTTTTTTTTAATTTTATTTTATTCCTTTTTTTAACCAACGAGTCCAAAGGTGACGGCAAAAAATAAAAGACAAACATTATATAAAATGGCTTTTTTTCTTAAAAATTTTTTCTTTATTAAAGCCAAGAGAGAAAAATTTAAAAAAAATTTAGAAGAGTGACGAAAATTCGACGAAAATTTGACGAAAATTTTCTTACAAAATTTCAAAAAATTTTCAAAAATGGATATTTTTTTTAAACATTTTTCTCTTCGAAAACATTATATATCCAAACAAAAAAAATTTTTTTTTAATAGGAGAGAGACATATTGGGGGGATACATTTTTTTTAGAAAAAAATAATAGAGAGAATGGGGGTCATCGAGAAAATTTTTTAATTTTTTTTATACTTTCTTGCTCTTCTCTTTTTTTTATTATTAAATTTTCCCTCTCTTTTTTCTTGTTTTCCAACCATTTTTTCCTCTTTTTCTTCCTCCTTTTCCTCTTTTGCGCTTAGAAGCATTTACGGTGAACAATAGATGGACCAGATTCGTCATACTCTTGCTTGCTGATCCACCTTGAAAATTGAAAAAAAATTTTTTTGAAGTCCAAAAAAATTTCTTCGCTTACATTTGCTGGAAGGTAGACAATGAAGCAAGGATAGATCCTCCAATCCAAACAGAGTATTTACGCTCAGGAGGTGCAATAATCTTAATCTTCATTGTTGATGGTGCCAAAGCAGTAATTTCCTTCTGCATACGATCAGCAATGCCTGGATACATGGTTGTACCTCCAGAAAGGACAGTGTTGGCGTAAAGGTCTGAAAAAAGAAAAAAATTGAAAAGTTAAAAGGATTGTTAAAGAGCCTGCGTGTCGCCTGGGCCCTGACTATGGGAAATAATTGAGGAAAATAATTCTTCCCATCTTATTATGTTATGATTCAAGTTCCCAAATTTAGCCTGAAAAGAAAGCTTTTCAAGTCAAAGAATATTGAAGCCATCTCAAAGGAGCATTCAAACCAACTTAAACCTTTAATCAACACTTATAATCCCAAGTCTTCAAATTTTGCCGAAATGAAGGTCCCCAAATTAGCCCAAAAGAGAGCTTTTCAAGTCAAAGGGCAATGAAGCCATCCCAAACTCATTCACCACCCCCTAATAATTCACAGCCCCCAAATTCTGTCGACAAAGGCTTTTCAAGCCAAAGGGCACCCAAACCAAATTAACAAAAATCCCCTTTTTTATACCTTTACGGATGTCAATGTCGCACTTCATGATCGAGTTGTAAGAAGTCTCGTGGATACCAGCAGATTCCATACCCAAGAAAGATGGCTAAAATTGAAATTTCTATTTAAGAGGGAAAGGTCAAAGCTTAAGAATAAACCTGGAAGAGAGATTCTGGACAACGGAAGCGCTCGTTTCCAACAGTAATGACTTGACCGTCAGGCAATTCATAGCTCTTTTCCAAAGAAGAAGACGAAGCAGCTGTAGCCATCTCTTGCTCAAAGTCCAAAGCAACATAGCAAAGCTTCTCTTTAATGTCACGTACAATCTCACGTTCGGCGGTTGTGGTGAAAGAATAACCACGTTCAGTGAGGATCTAAAATGAACAAATTTTCAGAATTATCCTCAAAAAGGAGTCCAACAAACCTTCATCAAGTAGTCGGTCAAATCACGTCCCGCTAAGTCAAGACGCAAGATTGCGTGTGGCAAAGCATAACCTTCATAGATTGGAACTGTGTGGGTGACACCTGAAAGAAAAAGAAAATTTTTTAAAGGCTTTTAAAAGTTTAAATTTGTTTTTACCATCTCCAGAGTCAAGAACAATTCCAGTAGTACGTCCAGAAGCATACAAAGAAAGAACGGCTTGGATGGCAACATACCTGGAAAAGAATTAAAAGATTGATTGAAAAAATCTTTTTCCTTTTAAACATACATGGCAGGCGTGTTGAATGTCTCAAACATGATTTGAGTCATCTTTTCACGGTTAGCCTTTGGGTTGAGAGGAGCCTCAGTTAAAAGCACTGGATGTTCTTCCGGCGCAACACGAAGTTCGTTGTAGAAGGTGTGATGCCAAATCTTCTCCATGTCGTCCCAGTTTGTAACAATGCCGTGCTCAATCGGGTATTTCAAAGTCAAGATACCTCTTTTGCTTTGAGCCTCATCTCCCACATACGAATCCTTTTGCCCCATTCCAACCATGACACCCTGGTGTCGAGGGCGTCCAACAATACTTGGAAAAACGGCACGAGGAGCATCATCACCAGCAAATCCAGCCTTGAAAAAATAACAAAACTTTTAATCGAAAAATGGCATTTTTAACTAACCTTACACATGCCACTGCCATTATCAACAACAAGTGCGGCGACCTCTTCGTCCATGGCGATGTTTTATTGATCGTTGGTTTGAAGAAAATAAAAATATTTAATAAGAGTTTTCTCTAAAAAATGAAAAAAATTGTTAAAAATTTAAAGCACAAGTTGAAAAAATGAACGCGAAACGAAAAAATTGAGGTAAGGAAAGATTGCAGAATGGGAGGGAAAAGCGGAAGAAGCAAAACTGGGGAAGAAGAAGCAAAAGGTACTAGGGAAGAAGCAAAAGGTACTGGGGAAGAAGCAAAAAGGCACAATCTCAAAAATCAAGTAACAGAAGGTTTTTATAGTCAACATCGGTTTGACTTTTTCAGTTTCTTAAACCAACAAAAGTCACCCAACGGAATTCAACCCCACAACGTTCCCCACAACCAAAAACCAAAAAAGTTGAGTTTAGAACAGTTAAACCCCCCAAAAAAGTGATGAAAAACAATAAAACAAGCGAGAAAAAAGGACGATAAATAACAAAAATGTACGAAGAAAAAATGGTCGATAGTTATGTTGTGTTGATAGAATTACAAGATAAAACTAGAAAAATCGCTCCCTTTAAATAGTATAAAATTACACTACAAAAAAATGTAAAAATAGTGCAGTTTTGTTGTATAAACAATAAGAGAAAAAATAAGTGACCAAAAGGAAAGAAAGAGAGAAATTGTATTAAAAAATGTATTTTTCTCTAACTTAAAGTTATTTTAACACTATTTTTCTCTATTTTTCATTGTTTGTTCTAGAACATTTTTTAAGGAAACACTTCGCCAAAAATGAGGAAACATGCTAAAATTTACCCAATTTGAATGTTGGCTTTGTTCTCTAATCCGGAAAATACATAAATACTTTCCGGAATTGAATTAAATTCTCTATTCTTTTCCGGAAAATAGAGAAATAAAATACTCTATTAGTTTCCGGAAAGTCTGTGTTATTTTTCTATAATTTCACGTCAAATAAACTGGTAGTCTTGTTCTTAATCCGGGAAATACTTAATAGAATTGGAATGAAATACTATTCTTTCCGGAAATTTTTCTCTAATCATGATAGGCATTTAATCAGGTAACCCTATTTTTCCGGAAAAAGAGACAAATAAAATACTCTATTCTTTTCCGGAATGTTCGAATTATTTTTCTCTAATTATAAGGCAATTAAATGAGACATTTAATCTTTTAATTAAAGCATTTAGCCAAAAAAGGGAATAATTTGAAAACATTTAAAGCCAAATTATTTTTTTTTAAAAATGCTTGAATATTAAATAATTTTTAGGTCAATTTCATTATTATTTTAGAACAATAAAATAAAAGTTTTTGGTAAAGTAATAATCTTATTTCTAATTGTATTTATATATTTATACTGATGAGAGGAGAATGGGGGGATGGGAGGAGGGTTTGGCCAAAAAAGAAACGAAGGATAAAATTAAAAGTAACACAACATTTGTTCTCCCCCTTTTTTTTAAATGTTTTTAGCAAGTATTAAGAAGAAGATATTTTAGTTTATAGTAGTGAGAGAAGAGAAAATGAGAGGGCGGTTAAGTTATAGTTGGTTGATTTGGTTGTTTAGTTTAGTTAGTGTTTAAAGGCGGGAAAGAGAAGAATTTCTCTCTTAAACAACACAAGCTCACAAGCTTTTCCTTTTATCTCTCCTATCTTTCTCCTTTAAAAAAACTTTTTCTTTCTTAAAGCTAGGCTAAAATCTTTTTGCAATAAGCAAGAAAGTGATGATCCGGTTAGCCGGTTAGCTCATTTTCTTAGTATTTCCCCCTATTTTCCCCACCAACTTTTTTCTCTTTGATTTTTCCTCTTCTTAATCACACATACAAAAACATAAGTCCTCCCGACGACTCTCTTTCCCCCACCAACAATCTAAATCTTAAAAATTCCAATCCTTTAGGCTTTAAACATTTTTTACTATATACTACAGCACATAGTCTCTCTTTTACAAGAAAATATTATCTAAGCAGCTGTCAATGATCTGACCCACAATTTTTATCTTCCTTCCCCTTTTTCCTAGTAAAACTAAACAATAAAGATAGAGAGCTAAAATATATCAACTTAAGAGTTTCGAAGAAAAGCGCCTCTTCACCAACAAAAATCTCTTCTTCCTCTCCAAGCCTACAATTTTTAAAAATTTTCTCTTTTCTTCGAATCACTTTTATCTCCATCCACTTCACGGAACCAAAAAGTAAATATATACAACAAGACACACAAAAACAATAAACTAACTAAACAACACATGTCGCAAATTCTCAGTAGCTCAGTTAGCTCAATATATTCTCATTTTTAGTTTTAAATGTGTACAACAATCTAAGCAAAGCAACAATCAAAAGTGAAGAAGAAGAAGAAAGGAAAAAAAGCGGGGGAGAGATATGGAGAGAGATAGAGATTAATGTATAAAGGGAAAAAAGATATATGAATTTTTGGAAATAAGGAAGAAGATTAAAGAGAATAAAAAGGAACAATGCTTAAAAAATCAAAAAAGAGATTGTTTTTCAAGTGTGCGGCAAACAAAAAAACTTTTTCCAAAAATTTAAAATTAATTCTGACATTTGTATTTTCCCGTAAATTCTGAAATTTGTATTTTTCCGTAAATTCTGAAATTATTATTTTCTGTTAATTCTGCTATATGTATTTTTTTGAATTCTGATATTTGTATTTTTGCAAATTCTGATATTTGTGTTTTTCTGAGAATTCTGATAGTTGTATTTTTGAATATTCTGAAATTTTGTATTTTTTTGAATTCTGATATTTGTGTTTTTGAATATTCTGAAATTTTGTATTTTCCGAAAATTCTGATATTCTATTTTTGTTTATTTTTCCGAAGAATTAATTTTTTCCTTTTGGTGCGCGCACATCCTCCTTACACCTTGAATTATAGAAACAAAAATTTTTTTCTTTTTTCTTCAAGCACACAAAAACAACAATATCACCACCAACCACCAGCACTACTACTTACAAGATTTTCAACACGTAAATTTCATTCATTCATTTTTTTCTTTTGTTATACATACTAGTAGTAGAACGATTTTTGACAAAAATTGCCACACACACACACAAATTTATTTATTTTTTCCTTTTTTTCAACAATTCTTTCCTTCTCTCACTCTCCCAAGAAATCCACGCAACAATAGCATCCAAAAACAAAAAAAAAACAATTGGTTTCTTATTAAAATTTTTTCTTTTTTCAAAAGACTGCTGTTGCCTAATCTTTTTTTTAAAAATTTTATTTTTAGAGATACTTTTCTTATTATAATTCAAGAGCTTTGTTGGCGTTTTTTAGCTCACAGATCTGTCTGAATTTTTTTTAAAGAAAAGTGGAAGAAGAGGAAAAATTTTTAAAAAAAAAGTGGATTTGATAAAGACAATAAATACAAGGAAAATAGGAAATAAGACAGGGGAAGATGAAAGAAACAGTTGTGAGATGAGGGAAGGAGGATAATAAATATAAATATATTTTTTAAGACAAAAAAAAAGTTGAGAAAAAAGAATTTTTTTGGTGGAAAAAAATGTGGGAGGAAAATGAAGGAAGAATTAATTAGAAAAAAAAGTGTCCGGATATTTTCAGAGAAATATTAATAAAATAAAAAAAATAAAATAAAAAAAAATAAATTTATAAGAAATTTATTAGAAATAATCAGAAAACGATCCGGAATATATGTATGTATTTTTAAAAAAAGTAAGGGGGAAGGAGAAGGAAAATTAGAAAAAATTTTTTTTAAAGACGGATTGCTTTTAATGATAAGACGAGAAAAAAAATTATTTTTTATTTTTTAATGCTGATGATGAAGACCTCCAAGAATGTGTGCTTTTTGAGAAGGGAGAAGAAAATGGGGAAGATATGAATAAAATATATATTGAATTTGAAGGAAGGAAAAAAATTTTTTTTCTCGTCTTGTCTTGAATGTTTGTGAATTTATTTATTGTGAATATATTTATGTGTTTGCTTTTTTTGGCCTTTAAACATTTTTTTTATTACACACTCACCCTATAAGACTTTCATCATCGACAATTTTTTACTATGACTCATTGCGAACGAGAACGCATATTTTAATATATTAAAGATAAATTAGGTCCAAAAGATCAACATTTAAATGATATGAATTTGTTTTCCGGAAATTGTTTATTCTCCGGAAAAAAATAAACAGAAATATCAGAATTTAAGGAAAAAACACAAATTTCAGAATTCTCAGAAAAACACAAATATCAGAATTAACAGAAAATACAAATTTCAAAATTAACAGAAAAACACAAATATCAGAATTAAAGAAAATACAAATTTCAGAATTTACGGAAAAATACAAGTCAGAATTTACAAAATACAGATATCAGAATTAACAGAAAATACAAATTTCAGAATTTACGGAAAAATACAAATTTCAGAATTTACAAAATACAAATATCAGAATATAGAAGATAACTAACAAATTCTGGAAAAATACAATTTCCGGAAACTAAAGAAAATTAATAATATTTTCCGGAAAACACATTATTATTACAAAAATAAAATACTTCTATATTCTGATTGATCTTTTGGATAGACTAAAATATATACAGTCAACAAAATCGCTGTTCATTCCTATCTTTTTTCCTTTCTCTCCCAGGAATTTTACCGAATTGCTTTTAAAACATTATAGCAAAATATATTAGAGAGCTGATTAATCATTTTCTTTTAAAATTGAAAAACGCATCATTACATACTACACAAAATGTTTTAAAAGAAAAGGTCAATGAAAATTTTAAAAAATGAGAGGGGTAAAATTTGTGTGTTTTGGACGAATTAAAATTAAAATTTTTTTTGGTATTTAGAATATTTAAACTTTTCCGGAAAACTTAAACTATTAATTTTCCGGATAGTTAAAATACTCAATCTTCCGGAAAATGAGGCTTTACAATTTCAGTTGATATTTTTTTCCGGAATATAATTTCCGGAAAAATGATATTTAAAGCTGACTAATATTATTTTGTTGGATGATTTGATTGCCTTTCAAAAAAATTTTAAAAAATAATTTTTAGATAAAACAAGAATATTAACTACTGTCAAAAGGATTTATAAAAAAAAGGATTTTTAGGATTTTCGCCAGTTTAAAAAAGTGTGTAAAATATTAGAGAATCCATAACAACAACAAAAAAGCTTTCAAACAGAATTTTAGATAATCCGAGTGTCAATTTGCTTGATTAGGATTTAAAATTATAAAGCCTCTCCCTATATTTTTAAAATATAATGTTCATATTAAAAAGCCCAAAAGATCAACATTAAATAATAAATACATTTTATAACGAATATTATTTTCCCGAAAACACAAATGTTGGAAAAATTAATATATCCGTAAGAGTTATAGTTTCCGGAAAATACAGAATTTGCAACATTTAGGAGAGACCAGAATTTTAAAAAGGAAAGAAATTAAAAGTTTTCCGGAAAATATAGTTGTATTTTAGGAAAATACAGAAAAACACAAGAAAGAGAACGTTAGAATTTCCGGAAGAGTTATATTTTCCGGAAAATACAGAAAAACACAAGAATAAAGAGAATGTTATAATTTCCGGAAAAGTTATATTTTCCGGAAAACACATAAAAATACAATAATAAAGAGAACGTTCGAATTTCCGGAAAATTTAGTATTTTAGGAAAATACAGAAAAATACATAGAATACAAAAAAACACAAAAATAAAGAGAATATTAGAATTTCCGGAAAAGTTATATTTTCCGGAAAATTAATACCACAGTGTATTCATAAATAATATAACAGTGAACAGTCACAAATACATTAAAATAATTAATTCTAGACAGAACAAAAAATTATTTTTTTGATTTTTAGTCTCTGTAAAACCTCCTAGACTAACACTACACTCTCCCCCCCCCCCAAACCAAAAATATATTTAAAATGTGTTCAGTAAAAATAAAAATATTTTTACTGCTTATTTGCGCAGTGGGGGATGTGTTTTTAATAAAAAAGATTGGAGGAAGAAATGAATATATTGGCTTAGAAAAGATGTTTAAGCGACGCTAAAAGGGAAGAGGAAAATCGAAAATGATGCGCGCATAAAATATATGACACAACACAGTCAAAAACGGAAGGAAAAATGAAGGGAGAAAAATGGTCCCAGAGGAACAAAATGACTTTAAAAAAAATTTTTGTGATGAATGGTTGAGATTTGAGAGGCCAAAAAGAAAGGACAAAACGATATAAGAGAAAAATATAAATAAATGGACTTTGGTCGAAAAAGGGGACATTGGGGCGCAAAAATAATTTTGGCGTAAAGATTTAGAAAAAAAGAATTTCAGGAAAACACAAAAGTTGAAACATTCTGGAAAAAAGTATAAATAAATGGAATTATTAAATTGCTGAATATAAAACAGTATAATGAGAAAGAGAATTAAAAAAGTTTTCCGGAAAATACAAAACAACAAATACCAGAATTTATTTTGTGTGAAAAACCAGAATTAGTGAAGAAAAAACAGAAATATAAAATAAAAAGTAGGCTGGTTGTGTTTTTCCGGAAAAATCAGAAATTTCAAATAAAGAAATAAAAATAAAAAAGAAAATTAAACTTTTTCCGGAAAAGAGAATTAATTATATGTAGTAGTTTCCGGAAAATACAAAATATAAATATCAGAATTTAATCTGTGTATTATTATAAAACCAGAATCAGAAATAGAAAATACAAAAAAATACTAAATAAACATTTTCCGGAAAAATCAATTTTTAAATAAATGGAAGGAGAAAATTAAAGTTTCCGGAAAACACAAGGAAAATACAAAATATAAATATCAGAATTCCAGAATCAGAAAGAGAAAACACAGAAAAATACAAAATAAACTTTTTCCGGAAAAATCAGAATTTTTATATAAATAGGAGAAAATTAATAAGTTTCCGGAAAATACAAAATTTAACAGAAAATACAACAGAAAATACAAAAATACGACTATTGTATTTTCGATCTTTTGGATTACTTAATTAAATTAAATATTTATTAGTTGCACTATGTTGGAGATTTTATATAATTTTCTTTGAAAATAAAATATATGAAAATGAACGGAGAAATGAAGAGGAGAGACGGATTCCGACGGAAAAAAAAATTTAGGTCAAGAACGATAAATAAAATTGGATGAATAAATGAATTAAAAATTTTTGGGTAGATGAAGGAATGCAAAGAGAAATTGATGCCAAAATATTTGGAAAGAATTTAATAGAACCTGTGGTGAGGCAAGGTCATTTTTATGTATATTGTTGTTTTGAGAGTAAAATTGAAGAAAAATAAAAATTTTTTTTGTTAAATTCTAATATTTGCGGACAAAATTTGCGGACGACTTTTGCGGACTAATTTTTAAAATGAACAGAAAAAAAATTGGAAAAAATGATCAGAGCAATGAAAAAAATTTTTAAACCTAAATTCAAATTTGTATGGCTCTTTGAATAGAAGAAAATTGATAGCAGTTTTGCTTTTCTTTAAAATAATGTCCACAAAAACTAGAACCTAACAAAAATCACAAACAAATTTTTTCGCTCTTTTACTCCGAAAATTATACTAAAAAATGACATTGTCTCACCGCACATTCCATTATAAGAATGATTCTCCAAAAACTTTTTTAAAGGTTCCTAGAGTACAGACTTGCCCATATACAGAAAATCAGGGATGGACAAGGCAGGGAATTATAACAATTTTAGCCCGAATCCAAAAACTGTTATTTTCTAGGAAAACCTGAAGATGAAAACGTTCAAGCGTTGCCACAGAAGCCTGAAATTAATCAAATAAATTTTAAACAAAAAAATAAACGTTTAAAAAATTTATAGAAACTTTTTATCTATTTTGATGCTTAAATTAGTCTTTTAAGAAAAAATTATATGAATGATTATAAGAAAAAGAACCCAAAATAATCTGACAAAAGTAGATAGAAATTACCTAAAGAAAAGCCTATTCGAAAAGCATGAAAGTCTAGTCTACTAAAGGACTAGAAATCGACTGGAGGAGTAGGACTAGGATTGAGATCATATCTCGTAAATCACGATAAACGAGATTTTTGTTCGAGATCTCGTCTCTACTAACAATAGGAAAATGTCAAAGCATAGTTTCAGCTGGATTAGAGCTAGAATTGGATTTTGTCTAGTTAAAGGTTCGGAGTCTAGTTCGTCATCAATCGAAACAATATATGGAAAAACACAGATTCCCCAAGCTTATAATCCCGAGTGGAGGAGAAGCTTAAAAATAAACTAAAAGCTAAACCTTTCAAACAAATTCCATTCAATCAACTTCTGTGGCAAGAAAAATAGGCTCGCTTGAACGTCGTTCATCTTCATTTAAAAAATTCAATGAAACTAAAAATATTTAAAACTAATAAAAATTTAATTTAAAAAATAAGAAAAAAACGTAGAAAATTATTAGTTGAATAAAATAAAGAAGTGAAGAAGAATAGCCAAGAATAAGTGTAGACATCAAAGACGAACAAAATCACAGCACATTTTAAGAAATTTTTAGTTAGTAAAACGCTCAGTGAAGAGGACATGAAAATGTTATCTGAAAAAGAGAAGAATTAATCAATTTATCTGTAAAAAGTAGTCAAAATAGAGGGGCAATTTTTGAAATTAGGAGGCTTGGTGCCCCTTTGGAAGAAGAAACGAAAATACCCAAAAACTCCGTTCAAAGTAGAGACCGGAACGGAGCCCGGTCCCGTCTTTTTCAAAAATGCCGTGATGAAACCGGGATAGGAAATTCCCGCTTTTCCCAGTTCATTCCGCTACATTTTTCCGTTTCCGGTTTTTTCAGAATTCCGGTCTCTAGTTCAAAAGAGAATAATACTCTAATGTCCAAATTCAAATTTACGCCTACAGTACTCCTATTTTCTACGCCAAACTTTGGCAAAGTGTTTATTCGCAACTTTGTCCCAACTTGTTTTTTCTTGACAGAAAATTTCCTTCGAGCCGAGGTGCACCTAGGTGGTTTTTCGTTGTTTTTCTTTGTTTTTCGTTTGTTTCTTTACTCATTTCGTGTTCCTATCTCTTTCCCTCACTCAGCGCGCGGCGAAAAAATTAAATAAAACTTTAAAAATTGAAATTTTATTTTTCAAAATTTAACTGTTTTTTCTTTGTAGTTCCGCCGACTCTCTTCTACATCTAGTACGGGAGCAGTTTAACCGTTTTTTTATTATTTAAAAAGTTTTTCGGATATAATTTAATTTTTTGTTTTTTGTAGCTGTGGTGCTTGCTCTACATGGTGGCCTGTTATGGTGCTCTACATTGCCTGTTTGTGGTGCTCTACATGGTGGCCTGTCTGTGGTGCTCTACATGGCCTTTTGTTCTCTACATGGTGGCTTGTTCAATATGCTTTTGCTCTTCATGCTCCTCATGCTGTATGGATGCTTCAATTGCTGTTGAGTATTTTTTTCTGAAATTTTTTATTTGAACTTTTTTCTATTTAGTTGATGTGCTCTGCATGGATTCTGGTGTGGTTTTGTTTTTTTAAAAATTTTGGGAGGCGGGAGGGCTTCCTCTTTTAAGATAGGTGCTGTGCTGCTCATGGTGGTTAGTTGTGGATGCTTCAATTGCTGTTGAGTATTTTTTTTAATTTTTATGATTTGAAATTTTTTTGAAATTCAGGATGTGCTCAACTCTCTGGATTGTTCAACAATGGATAATGGAAGAAAATGCATTTTGGTTGTGGTGCGGCGGTGTGGTTTTAATTTTTAAAAAATTTTTTGGGAGGCGGGAGGGCTTCCCTTTTTAGTTCAGTGCTGGTGTGGTCTACTGGCTTTTTTGCTTTTGGTTTGTGGCCATGCTTCAGTTTGTTTAACCTTATGTTTTTTTAAAAAGAAGTGTTCTCAGGTTTTTTTCATTTCAGGTGATGGCTCTTGTACTGTTGCTGGTGGCATGCTTTTTTTGGTTGTTTAAACTTATGTTTTTTTAAAATAGAAGTTTCAACTCTTTTTTCGTTTCAGGTGATGGCTGGTGGCTTTGCTTCTGTTGGTGGTTATGCTCCTTTAGTTTGTTTAGCTTTATGTTTTTTTAAAAACAAGTCTCACGTCTTTTCTTTTTCAGGTACTGGCTCTCTACTCGACTACTTTTGGTGGACTTGCTGGTGGATCTGATTGCTCTTCATGGAAATTGTAAGTTTCCAAAAAATTGAAAAAAATAAAAATTGCACGCCAAAAATGCAAAGCGCGACTTTTCCTTCCCTTTCCTCCTCTTTATTTTTCTATTGTTTTGTCTTGTTCGTTTTTTGTGTTTTCATTTTTCTAATCTTTTTTTGGATTTTCTTACTTTCAAGAACAGATTTTGCTTGGGCAGCATGGAACTGGAGCAACTGGTGGAGAAACAACCAATGTGAGTGTTCAACAGAAAATTTGGTTAGCAAGGTTTTTTAACGATAAATAACAAAAATAGGCCGGCTGGCTTTTAAAAATGTTTTTGGCATTTTTTTAGGACGGTAGAGTTACGCTGCTCATTTTCCCAAAATTTAAATGTTTGGCATAATGTTTTGATAAATGACAGTTTATCCCTACACTATTTCTCCCTTCTAGAGAAAAATACAAATTAATGAAGACCTTAGTTTTTTTGGTCAAGTGGAAAGACTTTATGTTTCACTCCCAAAAATGTTAAAGGTTCGAGTCCATTTGCGAAGAAATATTTTTTCTAGGATTATTTTTTAATTAAATTTTATTTTTGATTTTAATTTTCATTATTTTATCCATTTTTTCTTTTTTAGAGTCCAACGCGACACTATTCAAGTCGTCTTTTTTAAACTTGATTGCCTCTTTTCGCTGCCTATTCTCTGTATATTTGCTGCCTTTGTAAACATTTTCAACAACTTCTCAACAACTTCTCAATATTTGGTACTGTGAAGGCGGAGTTTCTTCTTTTACTTTAAGGTTTATTTTTTTTTAATATGGGGGAAAATGGTGGAATAAGTGGGGTCTTTGGAACTGTTTATGGATTTGCTTGGGTTTGAACTTATGTTAGGGACTTCAAGCATCTTTTCCGACTAGACATTCTTAATGGTTATCCGTGAAGGTTTGTCAAATCTTAAATTTTTTCCCTATTTTCACGGCCTTTAAATCCATTAAACCCTCCGTTTTGAATTAATTACTTAAAGACGATTCTGTCTTTATTATTGAGATCGAGCAACTCCTTGGGGAACCACTAATCATTTTTTCTTACAATTATTTACAGGAGCATAAAAAAAAGGGAAAAATAAGGAACTAAATTCTGTATCTCCCTGTAACTAAATTAAAATGTATTTAAGATAGTCGTTTCCATGGGGAATTTCTGTTTAACCTCATCGCATTTATGACAAAATTTTCGTCCAAAAAGATATGAAAGAAATAAAGGGGAGCCTAAAGCTGTCCGCATAACCATTAAGAATATTTAAAGTTTGGTTTCTATGGATTCAATTTGGTTTCCCTAGTAATTTTTTCGAAATAAGTGTCCACCCTCCCATTTCTTCCAAATTAAAATAAATAGAAAAAGCTTCTATTTTCGTTTAAAAATTCTATTTTTAGTATATTAAACAACTCCAAATCTTCAACTTATATGGCTTTGGTCAAGAAACAAAATTCTTCTCGAGGCTGGATTGAAACAGTTCCTAAAGCAGCAACAACAGAAGAAAATGGTGAAGAGGAGGAAAAAGTAAAACGTCTTGAAGAACTTTCTAGTAGTGATAAAAAAATAGAGCAAAGCATTCAGGTTTTTAATTTTTTCTTTTTTTAATCTTCTCAAGTATTCTATTTAACGAACATCAACCAAGGGCAGCTTTTTTTTTCAAAAGATTTGGGAATCGAGAGACTTCCTCGGAAAGGGGGATAGTATTGGTATTTTGACGCCCGCACCTGTTTAGTTTCCTAATATCTGAATTAGGGTTGTCGTCTTTGAATCGGGCCGACGTTCGAGTCATTTTACCGGCCGAGTCTTTTTATCGGACCGGTCGAGTCTTTTTCGGGACAAAAATCGAAGCTCGCCCTATTCGGAATGGAATAGAAAAGACAGTGTTTCCCAAGTATATTCTCCTCCTAAAATGAGGAGATGATGCTTCTCGTATATTCCTTTCCCCTACAAAATCCCTGTCTCATTAACGGTTCTAGAATCCCCCAATCGTGAGAACAGAAAAGAAAAAAGGTCCCTTTGTGTCCTATAAACAGCCTTCCTTTATTATTAAAAATTTTTTTTCAGATTGGCACCAAATACGTGAACAGCCAACTCCATTGGGAAAAACAATTAGAAGATGAATTTACTTCAACAACAGAATTTAAAAAATTAAAAGATTATCAAAATAAACGACAACTTTTAATTTATACACCAGCAATACCAACAACTTTTAAAAATGTTGTTAAATTTAAACATTTAATAAAATGGAAATGTTGCGAAGAAAATAAAATTTTGACAACATTAAAAAATGATTTGGAAAGTGGAAAAGTAGAGGTTTTTGGTTTCTAAAAAATAATTTTAGGAGTAAGATTTTTTTGGGGGAATTTTTTTTCTTGGATTTTGCTTCTTCGTAGACTAACAGTATTTATGAAAACCAAAAAATTTTTAAATCTGAATAGAGAACCGAATCTCTTTTCCATCTCGTTTCATCCTACTTTTTTGTCATCACTACCTATTCAGCAGAGGTGGGTCGTACTTCCGATTTTCGACTTACGATTTCCGGCGTTTTTTTTTCTTCCGATTTCCGCAAAAAATTTTGATTTCCGTGTTCCGACTTTTGAGCCATTTCCGATTTCCGACAGTTCCGATTTCCGTCACCTCTGACTTTCCGACCTACCTCTGCTATTCAGTTACCTTTGGCAGTTGATTGGCCTGAGAGGCCAGCATTGGTTGGACACAACTTTTCATCCTTTCCTCTTCTCATTCTTTAAAATTTCCGAATACTTTTTCATTCCTACAATTATTTTACAATTCTCACACATTTTTTTATCATTCCCCCTTTCATTTCTTATTTCAAGAACGACGTCTACACATAAAATATTTTTTTAAAAATTTAAGGACGACAAAATTCAAAATTTAACGGAAGATGGAAAAACTACAGCATCATCAATTCTTAAAAATAATTTATTCCAACAAAATTTAAATAATAAAATTATTTGGAGAAATTCAGTAAAAAGTGATGAATGGTTAAAATTGAGTGAAAATAGGCTTTGGGCTAATAAACAGCCAACAGGGCTTTGGATTGATTTACAGGTTTTTATTAAAGATTATTCTAGTTTGTTAAGATTATGTATGGGTAGAGCGTCCTACTCGAAACAGATTAAGAAGGGGTAGGTTACTCGAAATCTGGCCTAAAAGATTTTTGAAACTGTCTCGAAACTCGATCTGACTTTTTTCAAAACTACCCATCATTTTTACAGACTAACCAAACTATTCCTCTCATTTTCTATATGACAGGAATAGGGCGGGGAGAACAGGGGGAGGAGGATTATGAGTAACTTTTTCATCCCTTGGCATAAAGTTAAAAGAGAGGAACAACACTTGATTAGAATACTTAACCTTTTAGAGGATCAAATAATTGAAAAAAATTTTTTTCTATTCTTAAAGGATCTCGAGTTTGATCATCATTGGCTTTTTACAAAATCAGAATCAGCAGAAAGAGAATTAGTTTCGGCTTATGATGCTTGGGTAGAAGTACATCAACAAGTTTTGAATTTAATCAAAAAATGGTTGCTGTTGAGAGAACAAAAAGACGAAGTGGAAGGGGAACTTGAAGAGGCAACAAGGTAACATTATTTTATTTTTTTCTCAAAAATCGGCTTGAAAAACTAGTATAAGGTATGGAGGTTAAGCTAACAATGTGAACGTTTTATTAGGCTGGGTTAAAGATTTATGAAGAAAATGTGAAAGCATCACTTCAATAGGCCGTTTTTAGCAACGATAGATTTTTAGTCAAAAGTTGTGATATTTAGGAAAATGAAGAAATCATTAAGTATCTGAATTTTAAGAGAGAATTAGAATCTCTGGGAAAATCAGAACCTACTTTGGGCAAACTTTTACTCCTTCTCCTATTCTTGTATAATATTGTGATAGTTTAATAAAGGTATGGGTGAGGGTAGCTTACTTCTTGCCCACGTAGGAGGAGAATGCCACCTCCAATGCCAGCCTACCTCTCAAACCTGATCAGACTTTCAATTAAAAAAATATTTAGAACAGAGGAGGAACTTAAATTATTATTTAATCAAATTGTTGAACGTCAAACAACTTTAGAACGCTGTAGGTATAATTTTATTTTTTAATAATTTTTGCTTTCATTGAACGGACTATAGCTGTTGACTAACTTTCTTACACTAAGCAAAAGCCTGCCCAAACTCTCAATTAAAAAAATATTTTTTATTTCTATATACACAAAATAAATTAATATCAATTTTTATTAAAAGGCAACCAAGTTAAAATATTCCATTTTTCATACAAAACTCTGACTGCTAATTTGTGTAGACGATCGACCTTGAATAAAAATAAAAAATTAGTTTGTATTTAAAAAACTTGTTCTGTTATTCCAGAGGGTTTGAATTGTACAAATCTGAGGAAATTGTTGTATTCTTGATGGCTATTGATTAAATTTGTATTGTTGTCGGAGAGTATTAACAAAGATTCTAAAAAGTAAAATAAAAAATATATTGAAGATCTCTACCTAATAATAAAGCTTTGTCACTTTCTATTTGTTCAAATAAGGTTGCTTTTTCCAAATTTTCAAGCAACTCAAATTGTTTACGAGCTTCATGTCCCTCGCTGAATCTTCTTTTTACGTCTTTACTGACGCCAATGTAAATTAAATTTTGTAATTGTATTCCATCCCGAATAAGATATACTGAACTCCTTCCTCTTTTTTTTGTTAAAGTTTTTATGAATGGTGTTGTGTCAATGTTGATATTTTGAATTGTTTCAAAAACGTTACTCCAGTTTGAAATTTTGTTGTAGAACATTAAATGTTTACAGTTTTTTGAAAAAAAATGTCTTCTGTTGTTCCTGTGTAACTTTGTCAAGCAAAAAGGGCAATAGCCCACACAGTTATTTTCCACAATTGAGGTAGATGAAGGAGGTGTGTCTGTTTGTGTTGATATATCAATTTTCTTTTCTTAAAAATTTTTAATTAATAAAATTTCGATTTAACTCAAAACTTTTTCCCTTCTTTTTCCCTACTCAGCATTTTTCTATCCCTAGTTAACATCCATTAATTAATCTACCTATTGGAGTAATCTCTCTGCTAGCCAAATTATCATAAAAATGAGAACATCCTTGCATTAAATCTTCTTCTTGATTTACAATTTCTTCTTCTTGGTCTTTACGTTGTTGTTGTTGGATAGAAGTAGACGCAACTGGATTTTGTTGGGGAAGACCTTGAAATAATTTTTAAAAAATTCCAGAAACTATTTTTCAATTACCTTCATTTGAAGCTATTGTTTGCTGAGCAATCGATCCATGCTGTGAGGTGGAAGCGGAGAGTTGTTTTTGTTTTTTTCTTGAATCTAATGAAGCCATTCTTGCACTTGCAGTCCTTTTTGTATTTGATTCTTTTTTCCTCTGCTTTCCTTCTCGACATTTCTGGCATATAACCACGTTATCACGCATCTAAAGAAAAAAAAGTCAAAATAAAGAAAAAATTTCCAATTTTTTGTTTAGTTATACTATATTTGTAACTCTAAATTTATGACACACAGATTCTCGATCTGACACACCAAACTCGAAATATGAATTTTCAAAAAATCTAACTAAAATTTTAAACTAACCTTAAAAGCAAAAATAAACTTGAAACAAAACAAAAATGTTGAACCAGAATATAATTAAAACAAATCAGAATATAATTAAAACAAATCAGAATTTAATTAAAACAAATCAGAATTTAATTAAAACAAATCAGAATTTGTAAAAATAAAATCAGAATTTCTAAAATCAGAAATAAACCTGAATAGAAAATTAGAATTAAGAAAACAATTTTTTAAATTACGAAACTACTACAAAAGAAAAGAAAAAAACTACAGGAGAGAAAAGATAAGAAAGAAAGAAGAGAAAAAAACATTCGTGTCAGCCATGTATTTTTCCCTCTTTGTTATGCAGACCTCCCATATATTCGCAGATTATACTTTATATTTTTCCTTCATATCTAGGGAATAATTTAATTAAAACAAATACCTGTAATTGATAAATTTTTAAAAGAGCGGCGTTGGAAAGAGCTTGGGCAAGTGCAGATCAAACTAGAGGACGTTTTTCTATGGAAAGAATTAAAGGAAGTTTGGAGGTTTTTGAGCAGTAAGTTTTTATTTTTTTTGATATCAGAATTTTTAGATCAGAATTTTTGAAGAATAATTTTTGAAAACCTTAATTTAAAAAAATCAGAATTTTTAAAAACCAGAATTTCTGAAAAAATCAGAATTTTTAAAAACCAGAATTTCTGAAAAAATCAGAATTTTTGAAAACCAGAATTTCTGAAAAATCAGAATTTTTAAAAACCAGAATTTCTGAAAAAATCAGAATTTTTAAAAACCAGAATTTCTGAAAAAATCAGAATTTTTAAAAACCAGAATTTCTGAAAAAAATCAGAATTTTTGAAAACCAAAATTTCTGAAAAAATCAGAATTTTTAAAAATCAGAATTTCTGAAAAAATCAGAATTTTTAAAAACCAGAATTTCTGAAATCAGAATTTTTAAAAACCAGAATTTCTGAAAAAAATCAGAATTTTTGAAAACCAAAATTTCTGAAAAAATCAGAATTTTTAAAAATCAGAATTTCTGAAAAAATCAGAATTTTTAAAAACCAGAATTTCTGAAATCAGAATTTTTGGAAACCAGAATTTCTGAAAAATCGGAATTTTTAAAAAATCAGGATTATTTTTTATTTTTTTTCAAGAGATTCAAAAGACGAATTACCTCCACAATTGGGCATTTTCTTCCGTTCTCCACTTTTTGTGTTAAGTGAAAAAGAGGTGGATGAAGAAAAACAACAACATGTAAAACTTCCTGAAATTGAGAGGCAAAGGCGCCAAGCTGTTTCTGATTGTCGTTATCAGGTTATTATAGTTATTGAAAAAACCAGAATTTTTCTGGTAAATCAGGATTTTCTGATTTTTCAAAAAAAATTCTGATTTTTTTGACATTCTGATTTTTGGAAAATCAGAATTTTCATAAAATCAGAATTTCTGATTTTTAAAAATATTCTGATAAAAAAATTCTGATTTTTTTGAAAATCAGAATTTTCATAAAATCAGAATTTTTTTTAGGTTTATTTTTTTATCGAAAAATCAAAACTTTCTGGAAAATATGAATTTCTTGGAAATCAGAATTTCCCCAAAAATCAGAATTTTTTTTAAAAACCAAAATTAATTAATTTTTTCTTTCACAGGTTCAAATATTCTTCAACAATTTATTAGTTTGTTCTTCAGAAGAACACAAATTAGAATGGCCATCATTTTCTGTTCCTTTTGGAGAAATTATTTCACTTCGTGTTTTTGAAAAGCCTAAACAATTGTCTATTTTATTAAAAGAAAAATTTGGTGGAGGAGGAAATTGGCAATTATTGGCAGAAATTTTTATTCCTTTACCTAAAATATTGGAAGAAGTGATGGAGGAGGAAGATGAAGAAATTATTAAAAATAAATGGATGTCAAAAACTGGAATACAATTTGCTAGTACTATTGTTAGGGGAAGGTATTTATTCTGATTTTTTTAAAAATAATTCTGATTTTTAAAAATTATAATTTTCCGGAAAAATTTTTTTTTGAAAAATATCTTTTGATAAGAATAAGATTAATATTTTTGAAAAGCTTGTTGGGCTTGTTCCTGGACTCTGGGTTTCATCTACTGACCTGGGCCGGATCCTAGGCATGTGAACATAGGCCCAGGAAAAACCCAGGAAGGTCAAAAAATGTTTGGGACTAGACTCTGGCTGCAGTAGAAACCCAAGCCTTGGTGCAGACCCAGGCCGATCTCTAATATGTACTTGAGGGTTAAATTAATAAGGAGTGAACTAAACTAGAGGGAAAGTAACTATATTACAACAAAGAAATTTTTTTCAGTTACAAAGGAAGTCTAGGTTGTGGTCAAGGAGGTTTATTACCATTTACTCAAGGACGTCTTTTTTGTTCATTAAAATGGAAAGGTTTTGAAGATGAGAATAGAGGAGGGAAAAGAAATTTTCAAAAAATAAAAAGAAGAGGAAGAACAACAAAAACATTAAAATCTTCAATTTTGTATCAACAAAGTATTTTATGCCCAGAAGAGAATTTACAAAAGGATTTACGTTTGTTGAAATTAGAAAGGCGTTGGAATGAAGAAAAAAGTGAAGGGAGAGGAGGAGGTTAAATTTAGATTAACATAAAAGACAAATGGGGGTGGGTTGGAATTCCGAGTTTTGATTTTTGATTGTTCTTATTTCCTACCATTTCCGACCGACTTTTCTGATTTGTCTCTAAAAATGCCTACCTATTTTTCTTTGTTAGAAAATGAAAATTTTTTCTTTCTATAAGTAAAAATGGAATTTTCGGCTATTTTTTAGAGGGACCCTAATATTTTTTATTGATGAATGAGAATTCAATTTTTTCAGGAAACATTACTAAGAGAATACCAATACAAATTGAAAAAATGGATTTGAAGGAGGAAGAAGAGGAGAAAGAAGAAACTAAATTTGACGAGGGAAGAAGAAGAAGAAAAATGGAAGAGGAGGAAGAAGAAAATGAATTGGAAAGGCATTTAAGACTTGGGAAAGAATTTGTGTTAAAATTGAGGTTTGGGAATTTTTTTTTGAGAGCGGAAAGGAATGGGTGAAAAAATGGTAATTCCCTAAGTCACCCTTAAAATGTTGAAAATTTTGTTGAAAAATTATTATTTTTTCGGAGCATATTTAAAAAAATTATGAGATTTTTCCGGTCGAAAATAAATTTTAAATTGGATTATTTATCCAATATTCTGAAAGTAATTTTTTTTCTGCCACTGCCTCCTTAAAGTATAATGTCTTAATATTAAAAGCTTGTCAAAATACCAAAAAGCTGTCGAAATTTCAAAAAAAAAATTTTTTTTTAATTTTTTAGAGAAAATTTGCGTCAAAGTGGTGAACAACAACGCAAATTAAAAGATTTGTCACAATATGTAAGAGAAGAACCATTACCTAAATTATCATTTGGATTACTTACTTTTTTACTTAATGGACGCCAAGTTGATTTAAGTAGACGTTTAAAACCTTTTAGAGGAGAAGGAGAACAAAATGTTGGTGGTTTGGAACGTGTCTTTAATGTAACGAATTATTTTTTAATTTTAAACGGGTGATTAGGGTGGAGAGTTTTTTAGACTGGACAAAGTTTGAGGAGACACGCATACAATTTTCAAAATAACGAAAATCTTAATTTTGTGCACGCCTGTAACCAGGATTTTTCTTAAGGAGGGTCAACGGGAGAAATAGTTCTGCTCAGAATTCTGATTTTCAGCAATTTTAAGAATTTTGAAAGGCTATAGGCCAAAAAATTTACTTTCTTGATCAATCTCCTCCCCAAATTTTTTTCTTTTCCCCATTTCGGGACTAGAGGAGGGGGATTCCAATCATTACACGTTTCCGCTTTGTCTGCAAATGTCAGTCTGCAAATACCAAAATTGAATAAATTACATATTTAGATTTAAAAATTTATTTTTTTAAAAATTAAGCAAGACAAAAAGACTTTAAATTGGACAAAAATTTTACTAAATATACAAAGTGCAAATGCTGTTCCTCAACGTATAAATGGTGAACCTATGCAAATTTATTTGGTTTGTTCATTAAAGGTAGTGTAGAATTTTTGTAGTATGGGAAAATTTTAAGGCAGTTGTTCGCGGTTTAACAATATTTTCCAGAAATTAGGTAAAAAAATCAGAATTTATGTCAGAACTAAATTTCAGAATTTTGAAATCGATTCAGAATTTTCTGATATTAGTCAAGAATTTATGTCAGAATTTAAATCAGAATTTTTCAGAATTATTTTTCAGAAAAATCAGAATTTTTTTAAAATCAGAAATTAAATCAGAATTTCAGAAAAATCAGAATTTTTATTATTTTAAGGGTCAAACCCAAATAACCTCTATAAGTGATGGCCATCAACCTAATTGGCATGAAACTTTAATTTTTGATATCCAATTAAATGAGGAAGATGATGAAGAAATGTTATTGACAGTTGAATTATTTGATAGAATTATAAAACCTTTTGAGGGGGATGATAGAGAAGTAGATATAAGGTGCTTTTTAAATTGTTAAATCAGAATTTGTTCTGATATTTTCTGATTTAATCAGAATTTCTGATTTTCTTTTTCTGGGATTGTTCTGATTTTTTATCCCTAAATTCTGGTTTTCAAAAATCAGAATTTTCTGATTTAACAAGAATAAAGCAAAAATTCTAGAATTCTGATCTAAAAATCAGAATTTTCTGTTTCAACAAAAATTCTGATTTTCAGAATTCTGATTTTTTAAAATTTATTTTTTAAAGGCACGAACGTGTAGAGAATCGATGGCTCGGGTTTGGGCAAATTTTATTAAATTCCAAAGCTCTAAACTATTGGACAAACACAAAATTGGATGGATATTTATCTTTACAAACACCTCTTTTTTATACTGGTTATAAGTGAGAAATTTTTTAAAAAAATTTTTTTGATTTTTTTAAAATCAGAATTGTGGCGAATTCTGATTTTAAAAATCAGAAAAAATCAGAATTTTAATTAAAAAAATTTTTAAAGTTTTTCATCAAATGAAGAAGGAATTCTTACAACACTTCGTATACGTTTGAGTGTTGAACGTCAATCATCTATTACCCGATTAAGTGCCTCTGAACAATTACAAACAAATACAATTGGTGAAACTGATGTTTGTATATTTTAATAAAATCAGAATAAAATTTTAAAAAATTCTGGTGAATCAGAATTTTATTTGGAGCAGAATAACTCAGATATCAGATAAACCAGAAATCAGAATAAAAATTCTGTTTTTAAATGAAATCAGAATTTCAGTTCAAAATCAGAAAGTAAAGAAATCAGAATACTGATTTCTGATGAAAATTCTGATTTATATCAAAAAATCAGAATTCTGATTTACATCAGAAAATCAGAAATTTTTCAATCAGAAAAATAAAACCAGAATAATTTTTAAAAATTCTGAAAAAAATCAGAATTATGATATTTAAAAAATATTTATTTTTCAGTTAATTACAACAGAATGTCTTAAATTAGAATCAAAATTACGGCAACGTTTCCCAAATAGAAGAATTATATCTTTGGCTATTAATTCAAACGGGAAAAGAATTGCAATATGTAAATATTTGAGAGAAATAAATCCACCAATTCAAATAATTAATTTATTTAATTCTGGACAAAATAAAAAAGCTGTTAAATTGGCTTGTAAGATGGTCGCCTTAATTCCATTAATTAATGAAAGGATGGAGAAATTGAAAGAATTTGTATTACCTATTTGGTTAACTGTTGAGGAGGTAAAGAAAGGAAGGAATCAGAATTTAATATTAATCAGAATTTTTTAAAATAAAATCAGAACAAATTGGGAAGGATCAGAATTTTATAAGAAAAAAAAACAGAATTCTGATTTAAAAAAAATCAAAATTCTGATTTAAAAAAACAGAATTTTGAAAAAGTCAGAATTCTGATTTATTCTCTTCTAGATCAGAATTTTGAATTTTTTGTCAGAATCGATCAGAATTTTTGCATCGGAATTTTTATGTCAGAATCGATCAGAATTTTTGCATCGGAATTTTTATGTCAGAATCGATCAGAATTTTTGCATCGGAATTTTTATGTCAGAATCAGAATTATTTTTGTGTCAGAATTCTGATTTTTAAATAAAAACCAGAACCAGAATTAATTAGAAAATTAATTATTATTAAATAACCAGAATTCTGATTTACATTATGTAAAGATTTTTTACTCGACAGGTTATTTGTATTGGTTTTGCTTGTGCAGATGAATTAGCTATAATTTTATGTTGTTGGCTTTTGGGGCTTAAATTAAATTGTTATATTTTGCTTGGATCAACATTATCTAATGGCCCCAACAGTGCTTTTGTTTTAATTCAATTTAGTGATGGAGAACAGTGGATAATTGATCCAACTACTGGTCTGTTTTATAAATATTTAGAAGGGGCAAGATAGGAATAATTTAGAAATTCTGATTTTAAAAAACCAGAATTTTTAAGTAAAGAAAGCAGAATCAGAATAAATCAGAAATTTAGTCAGAATTTTTTTTTTTGAAAAAGAATTTTTTTAAACGAAATTAGAATTCTGGTTTAGGCAAACGAGACTGTAAAAAATCAGAATAATTCTGATTTATTTTTTTAATATAGGTCACCATTATTCTCCAACAAATCCCAACTGTCCACAATTATCATTTGGTACAATATTCAACAATAAAAATATATTTATTAATATGCAAAATGATGAACACCCTTCTCAATTAAATTTTGATTTTACAAAGAAAAATAATTGGGAAAATATTTTTTGTCTTGAAAAATTGTCAACTACTACTAGTCAAGCTTTGGTTTCTATTCAAGTAGAAAAAAATTTTTTTTAATTAAAAATATTTTTTTAAAGTCCGAATATTTACAATATGAACCTTTGAAAGAAATTAGTTCAAGTTTTTTATTGGAATTGAGAACAAGTTTAGAAAGAGAATTACGCTTAGCATTTGATGAAACAAGACCTTTTGCTATCCCTCAGTGGAATTTGTTGGCTTCTAGGTAAGGGCGAGAAAGTGTGTTTGTGTTTCATAAATTAAAAATAAATTAAAAATCAGAATTATTTTGTGTTTTTTTTTGTATTTTTTGATAATCAGAATTTTTGTATAAAAACACAAAAAAACTTTTTAGTCAGAAAAATACAAATTAGAGAAAGACACTAAAAATCAGAATTAATAAAAATAAATTTTTGTATTTTAGAAATGAAAGTCAGAATATTTTTTGTATTTTCTAAAAATACAATTCTGGTTTTTTTTAAATCAAATGTTGTATTTTTGTATTTTACTTTATCAGAATTTTTATTTAAAAAATACAAAATTTCAAAAATCAGAATTTGTTGTGTTTTTATTAATTTTAAAAATCAGAATTATTTAAAAACAGAAAATCAGAATTATTTGTATTTTCTTTGTATTTCACAAATCAGAATTATTTGTATTTTCTTTGTATTTTACAAATCAGAATTTATTTAACAAAATACAAAACTTTAAAAATCAGAATCGAAAATACATAAAAATCAGAATTTAAATGTGTTTTTAAAAATAAATAAAATCAGAATTTCCTTTTATATTTTTTTTATTTTAAAGAAATCTTCGGGAATTTTTGTCCGATTTGTTTGCATCCAATTTTTTTGATGATGAAAATATTCAACAACAACAAAAATTATCAGAAAATTATTTAATTGAACAACATTTAAAACCTCTTCTTTCATCATTTAAAATTTGTTTAATTTCATTTTGCCTTCCTTTTATTAACAAAAAACAAATAATAGAATCGTTATTACGTCTAAAATTACAACAAAATTCTCATTCTAAAACACAATTTGCTTTGGCAGTTTATTTAAAACCTTTAATGGGAAGTATTATTAGTTGTTCTGTTGTTATTTGTACATTAATTCCTATTGTATAAAATGTAATAAAAAAATAAATTTTTTTAAAGTTTATTTTTTGATTCATGTTTTCCTCTTGCATATTTTCACATTTGTGAGTACCAGGGATAGGACGGGTTACCAGATACTCGGACTTTTTTTGACTCGAAACCCGACCTGACTTTTTTCTCAACCCGTCCCATCCCTCGTGAGTTGCCTCTGAAGCTGCAAAAATTTTTGTTCTAGTCCTAAAAGTTGTACAAATTATAAAGGATAGCAGCATGAACCAGTCACGATAATACCCAAAAATATAAAATCGTTCAAGCAAAAGGAGCTTGTCCAAAAATTTCAAATTTATATTTTTATTTAATTTTTAAAATTATTTTCTTTTTTGTTTTAATTTTGTTTCTTCTTTGGTGGATTTTAATTTGATGATTTCACTTATGTACTAATATAAGTCGACCGAATCCATTCTTGAAAATACTTTTTCTTTTCACCGTTTTCCTCGATTTTCGTCAGTGATCAATTTAGTCAGCGACTAGATTCGACAGTAAAGCCTAATTTTTAACAAGTTTGAATACTTGGAGAAAACAGTAAAAATTTTTTAAGATCGACTCAAGTAAAGATCGACTCAAAGTCGACGATTCAGCGGCCTTTTTGGCCAACTGGAGCGCCACCGTGCTCCACCCTGCCTTGATCGACTATAACTTTTAAGCTTCAATCCAGGTAAATCATATATGATTCGGAAGCCCTCGATAAGCTGTATCTTTTGACCAATTGGATGGATCTAGTCTGATCACTCATTAAAAAGACAACCCTGCTTTAATTTTCTATTTTTTTATTTTCAATAAAATATTTTTATTTTGCTTGTTTATTGCTGTAAGATCACTTCAGTAGAGTTTATAAAATAATTTTTTGATTGAGTAACTCTAGTGGGATCAACCCTTGTAAGTTTAGAAAAGCATCATTGTTGGAAAAGAAAAGATATTCTTTTTAGTATTTGAATTTCTGCGGTAGAACATTATTTTTTTGGCGTTCTGTCTTTTTTTTTGTAAAATCTTACTATAAAAGCCTAAGGGAAATAGTACACTCTTTCTGAAACCTTTTCTTCTTGCGGTGGAGGTGGTGGTGGTGGAGGAGGAATTCATCGACATCAACTTCAGAACAACAAAAACTTCAACACATCAACTTTATTAGTATTTTAAAAAATTATTTTGGGAGGGGTTGGGAAATCATTATTGTAGTACTCCTTAGTTATAATTAGAGATTAGAAAGGGGGTGTCGCACGGGAATTGAGATTGGTATCTCAAAAAATCTCGATTCTCGATAACCGCAACACATTTTAAAAAGGAAAGGGACTGTTGCCTTCAAAAATGAGTATAGGACTTTCCCTTCTTATAAGTCGCTTGAGGGTATACTCAAACATACGGGAAAAGTTGATAGGAAGGTTTCTGTTAACAATAGTACAAGTTGTTCCCCAATCCTTTCCGCTCTGTTGTTTAATGGGGTTCAGCCCAAAACGGCGCGCGACCATAACGGCGCAAAGCTATAACTTGCTGGAAAATTTCTGGCCCTTATCAATTTTGGTATTAATTTCTTTGGCTCGATGAGCTGAGTCGTTCATTACTAAATTTGGTAAGATTCGAAATCTGGAAGCAGGTTATGGTTTTGCGCCATTTAGGCCGCGCGTCGTTTGTCCACCAAAATCATTTTTTTAAGTTTTTCTTCAACATCTTCAACTCCACTCAACCCAAAGGCTAACCGTGAAAAGATGACTTAAATCATGTTTGAGACATTCAACACGCCTGCCATGTATGTTTAAAAGAAAAGATTTTTTCAGTACAATCTTTTAATTTTTTTCCAGGTATGTTGCCATCCAAGCCGTTCTTTCTTTGTATGCTTCTGGACGTACTACTGGAATTGTTCTTGACTCTGGTGATGGTAAAAATAATTTAAACTTTTTAGCCTTTAAAAAATTTTTCTTTTTCTTTCAGGATTACGCACACAGTTCCAATCTATGAAGGTTATGCTTTGCCACACGCAATCTTGTGTCTTGACTTGGGTCGTGATTTGACTGACTACTTGATGAAGGTTTTTTAGACTCATTTTTGAGGATAATTCTGAAAATTTGTTCATTTTAGATCCTCACTGAACGTGGTTATTCCTTCACCACAACCGCCGAACGTGAGATTGTTTGTGACATCAAGTTGCTTTGGACTTTGAGCAAAAGATGGCTTCAGCTGCTTCGTCTTCTTCTTTGGAAAAGAGCTACGAATTGCTTGACGGTCAAGTTATTACTGTTGGAAACGAGCGCTTCCGTTGCCCAGAATCTCTCTTCCAGGTTTCTTTTACTCTCTTTTTCCTGAAAATAATTTGTTAATTTTAGCCATCTTTCTTGTGTATGGAATCTGCTCCATCATTACAAAAAGAAAAGAGGGAAAATTTGAAGTTTTTTATTTTAACAAATTTTTTTATTTTTTTAAAGAAATTTAAATTAAAAAATCTGGGTCGATTTTTTTCATGGGGATATGTACTCCACTTGGGTTTGATGGTTATATACCAACTTCTAAGTTTATTAGGTTATCGTAAAATGGTTAAATGGGGATTGAATTGAAGAAAATTGAAAAAACCAAACCCATGGGTTTAGTAATTAACCTTTTAGATATTTTTCCTTAAATCTTTTCGAAGATTTTTATAAACAAAAATACCAAAAAACAGAATTATTGGAGGGATTCATGGTATCATTATTGTACACATTACCCAACCTAAAATAATATAACGCGATCTTTTCCCAAGAAACCATTTTTGGGAAAAAGTATATCAATTTGAGGAATTGTTGGGATCTCCTAAAAACGCATTCAATTCATGAATTAAAAATTTTTAGCATACAAGATATGCAAGCTTGTCAATTGGGTCAAAAATTGTATCAGTTAAAGTACCAAGAGGCTGAAAAAGGTGAAACCCAAAAAATTAGTTTGCCCCTTCCATCCCGCTTATTGTCTTTCATTTTTCGGATTTATAACTCGACTAAAGGCATTTTCGAATATTGGGACCGGCCACCGGCTAATGTATAGCTAATATTAGAATAGTTAACTAAGGCACCTTTTTCAGCCTCTTGGAAATTCAACAGACACTCTTTTCGACCCAATTGATCACCAAGAACTCGTATGCTAAATATTTTTAATTCTTGAACTAATTTTGTTTTTTAGAATATTCCAACAATCCTTCCAATTGAAATGCTTTTTCCAAGTGTTGGGTGGACTGAGGAAGAAATATTCTTCCATAGGAACTACGACGTATTGGCAATGAATCCGTTGAACATATTTATTTAAACAGATAAAAATACCAAAAACAGTGTTTAACGGATTCAAAGCCAAAACGTCAAAGTGAGCCAAATTTAGGCTCACTTTTTATGTTCATCAAAAATGCCGTTTTTAATATTCTAAATTGAAACATCAAATTTGGAACCATTCCAGTTAAATATCAATATTTTTCGTTCTCCTTGACCTTTCTTGTTCAAACCATAAGCAATTGGCAAACCATAAACAATTATGACATGTTTATTATGACCATGTTTATGGTTTGCCAATTGCTTATGGTTTGAACAAGAAAGGTCAAGGAGAACGAAAAATATTGATATTTAACTGGAATGGTTCCAAATTTGATGTTTCAATTTAGAATATTAAAAACGGCATTTTTGATGAACATAAAAAGTGAGCCTAAATTTGGCTCACTTTGACGTTTTGGCTTTGAATCCGTTAAACACTGTTTTTGGTATTTTTATCTGTTTAAATAAATATGTTCAACGGATTCATTGCCAATACGTCGTAGTTCCTATGGAAGAATATTTCTTCCTCAGTCCACCCAACACTTGGAAAAAGCATTTCAATTGGAAGGATTGTTGGAATATTCTAAAAAACAAAATTAGTTCAAGAATTAAAAATATTTAGCATACGAGTTCTTGGTGATCAATTGGGTCGAAAAGAGTGTCTGTTGAATTTCCAAGAGGCTGAAAAAGGTGCCTTAGTTAACTATTCTAATATTAGCTATACATTAGCCGGTGGCCGGTCCCAATATTCGAAAATGCCTTTAGTCGAGTTATAAATCCGAAAAATGAAAGACAATAAGCGGGATGGAAGGGGCAAACTAATTTTTTGGGTTTCACCTTTTTCAGCCTCTTGGTACTTTAACTGATACAATTTTTGACCCAATTGACAAGCTTGCATATCTTGTATGCTAAAAATTTTTAATTCATGAATTGAATGCGTTTTTAGGAGATCCCAACAATTCCTCAAATTGATATACTTTTTCCCAAAAATGGTTTGTCTTGGGAAAAGATCGCGTTATATTATTTTAGGTTGGGTAATGTGTACAATAATGATACCATGAATCCCTCCAATAATTCTGTTTTTGGTATTTTTGTTTATAAACATCTTCGAAAGATTATTAACGCCAAAAAACCAATTTAGCCATTATAAATTTTTTTTAGTTTTTTTATTTAATTTAAATTTCTTCAATAAAAAATTTTTTTTTCGGTAAATTTTTTTCAATAAATTTACATTTTTTATATTAAATTTTTGTTTAATTTGTTAATTGACTATATTTTTATCTTTTATTTCTTTTCATTTTTTTTTATTTTTCATTTTTAAAATTTTTTTAAAATTTTATTTGGATACTTGTGGGTGGAGGGGCAACTCCATGTATCGACACCCTTTATCGAAAGCATATTGGGCAACCCTAATTTTTTTAAAATTTATTCAGAAATGGAAAGTTCTTCCAATAAACCAAACTTCAATTCGATCAATTTGTTCATTAATCTATCGAGAGGGGGTTCAACAGAGGAAGATTTTCGTTCAACGGACCATAGTAACAGATCAAGAATCTCCTTGGAGATTTTTGATCTGTCGCTCTCTCAATTTACAAATTTTTGTTAACCAAATTTTACTCCAATTGAAGGTTGTTTTGTTGTTTGAGCAAACATCCCTGTCTTTGGAAGAGAATTATAAAATTTAAAAAATTGGTGTTGATCATATTCTTTTGATACATAGGGTCATCGATGTTTTGGGAGTAGACAGCGATAGGTGACACTTGGGGAGTAGGCCTTTTCAATGTTCCCCCTCTCTTGAAATTTATAAATTAATCGAAACACGGCAAATATTTGGACGAATTTTCCACCTACTCCCCAAGTATCCAACTCTTAATTTTTTGTTTTTTCAGCCTCTAAAAAATTATGTTAATGAAAATTTTATTCAAAAATTGCCAAAGAAATTTTAACAACAAATATTTTTTTCAACTTCGTCAATTATCAACATTAAAAGAAAAAGTTAATGTGCCTAAATCAGAAGATTTGTATGAACCAAGGTTTTTTTTCAAAATAAAAATTTGAGAAATTTTTTTATTTTTTTCAAAGGTTTGAGGTCAAACGCCATTACCCGGATCTACAATTGATTAATGTCAAATTGAAGGCATTCGACTTCCAAATGTTGGAGAAGTTTCAAGTTTTTGTCCATTGGACAGCTGAAAATTTTGGTTTTGATGTTGTTGAATGGTTTATTTTTATTTTAATTTTTTTGGGAAAAATTCGATTTTTGGGTTGTGAGTTAGATATGTCGTTTCTCCCATTTTTTTCCGAATTTTATTTTTAATTCGTTTTGGCATTTGATTTTTACGTTGTCTTTTGTCTTTTCTTTCAAAAAAAAGCGATTTGCACATCCTTGGTACAAGAAGGCATATTCTTTTAATTTGGAAAATTAAAATTATGCCGACCAGGGCTGTACGCAATTGAAAAAAAAGATTCGCAATTGCGTGCAGCCCTGATGCCGACTTATTTTTTTCAGCAACTACATATTTTTTGGATAGTTTTTCCGTTCCATTTAGACTAAATTTTTTGGCTTATTTTTTATTTGAGAATCGATCTGAAAAAAATTTCAGATAAAACCCCAAAATGAAACCTGGCCCGACTTTTTCCTTTCTTAACCTCTGTCCCATCTCTTCTGACCTTTAATGAATACTTTAGCTTCTCAATTTTTATTTTATTTTCTAGTTATCCATTGGCTCATAAATGTGAAAAAATTAAAGAATTTCGACCGAATAGTGTTACAATTTCTACAGAATATGAACTTAAAACATATGCAAGAGTTGTTAGAATTGGGCCTGTTCCAGCAATACAACTTCCTTTATTTGTTATGATGGTTCAAGCAAATGCTCCTGTTGGTATACAAATTACTATTAAAGAACATGAAGCTAGTGATGAAGTTGAAAGGTTTTTTTGAATTAGCTTTGGAAGGGAATTTTTTTGGGGAAATGTATTGGGTTAAAAAATAGGCTTGGGACCTGTTATTGTAATTAATCTTCCTTTTTTGGACTAAATTTGTGATCTGACATTTTGGGAGTTTCACGACCTGTTTTAAACTTATATTTTTTGTGAGGGATTTTTTTCCCACCAAAATTTAACCGGGTTTTTAACTTAAATTCAAAACCAACTTTTTAAAATTGGGATTAACCAACGATTGAAAGAGTATAGGTTAGTAAACCGTTTGCCAAACTTCTAAAAAATTAAGAGTTTTTGAAAAATATTTATAAAATTAATAAATTTAATTTTTAAGATATATTAGTGATCCTCAATTAGAAGATTTTGTGGAAACATTACGCAATCTTGATGATCCTGTTGTTAGAAAATTTTTGGGATGGGAAGCTTAATTTTTTGGATTTTTGTTTGTTTGTTTATTTTTTAAATACATCAAATAAGCACTCTCATCTCTAACTTTGAGAAAACCCAAAAGCTAGAGGGTGACAAGAAAATAAAAAGGGTTTAATTAAGAATTATACCCTCAAGTAGTAAAGCATTATTTGTAAAGACTTGATCAACAAACAGGTTTATCATGATTTTTGCTTGCGACGCTAAAAATAGAAGAAATCTGGATTCTTGAGCTCCAAAATTTTCAAAATTTTCGCCTGCGGCGCTAAATAGGTAAAAATTTATGTACAAAAAATTTGCGTTCGGAACGCCAAAGTAAACGCCAAACTTTTGACGCAATCCCCATGTTATATTAATATTCTAGAAATTTCTGAATCAAGTAATAAAAATTAGAGAAAATTTTTTATTGAAATAAAAAAAAGCATTTTCGAAAGATTTTAGAACCAGCTACCGGCTAAAGTACAGCTAGCACTATAATATTTGTCTAATTCTTATTTAACCTTTTTCAGACTTTGGGCAATTCAACCGACACTATCTATGAACCAAACGATCCTTCAGAAATTGACAAATAAAATTTTTTAATTCATAAATTAAATGTTTTTTAGGACATGCCAAATATTTTGCCAATTGAATTGGCGTTTCAAAAAGTGTTAACCTGGGACCATATTAAGCAATTCTATTTTGAAGATGATCGTCGACCTTACACTATTTTAGGTATTTATAAAACATGAGCTTACCAACCTCGCTTGAGTTGGTATGATAATTTTTGAGTTTTCTTTGGAAGAAAACAACATCCTCAAAGTTTCCGGTTTTAATTTGAGATTTTTCTGAAAATCTTGAATGTATTGTCGATAATTCACCTAAAAATACTTTAAATTAAAACACCAAATTGAAATCAAACCTCACGGTTGTCAAAAGTTTCGCCTCCAAGGTAATAAAGATCAGCATTGTCAAAAATTCCTTCTTTGATAGATAGAATGGAAACATAAAATTTTTTCCATCAAAGAAAAGTTTTTCCATCATATCATATCCTTCTTTGATGGAAAAAATTTTATGTTTCCATTCTATCTATCAAAGAAGGAATTTTTGACAATGCTGATCTTTATTACCTTGGAGGCGAAACTTTTGACAACCGTGAGGTTTGATTTCAATTTGGTGTTTTAATTTAAAGTATTTTTAGGTGAATTATCGACAATACATTCAAGATTTTCAGAAAAATCTCAAATTAAAACCGGAAACTTTGAGGATGTTGTTTTCTTCCAAAGAAAACTCAAAAATTATCATACCAACTCAAGCGAGGTTGGTAAGCTCATGTTTTATAAATACCTAAAATAGTGTAAGGTCGACGATCATCTTCAAAATAGAATTGCTTAATATGGTCCCAGGTTAACACTTTTTGAAACGCCAATTCAATTGGCAAAATATTTGGCATGTCCTAAAAAACATTTAATTTATGAATTAAAAAATTTTATTTGTCAATTTCTGAAGGATCGTTTGGTTCATAGATAGTGTCGGTTGAATTGCCCAAAGTCTGAAAAAGGTTAAATAAGAATTAGACAAATATTATAGTGCTAGCTGTACTTTAACCGGTGGCTGGTTCTAAAATCTTTCGAAAATGCCTTTTCTTATTCTCAATCAAAAATTTTCTCTAATTTTTATTACTTGATTTGGAAATTTCTAGAATATTATATATTTTAATTAGATAGTATTTTCTCAATTAAGTTTTTTCCCTAAAAGGTGTATTTGTAAATTAAACTTTTTTATTTTTGACCTAAATTTTCAGTTAATCTGCTAGAAAATTTTTAGGATGGGAGGCTTATTTTTTGGAATTTTTTGTTTATTTATTTTATTTGAACATTAAATAAAATTTTATTAAGTAAAAAATTTTTTTTAATTTTGTTTTTAATCAATTTTCATATTTCAAATTTTATTTAAAATATTTTTTTATCTTTTTTTCACTTTTAAAATTAGAAACAATGCAATTTAATAATAATTTATTTCCGGATGTTTCAATTGATAAAGCTTCAAAAATTAATTTTATGCTTGTTGGTGTTTCAATTGCTGGGACTTGGTTTGTTATTTATCTTCATGAATTGATTACTCGTTCTCCGAAGCCGTTGATTAAAAGGTTTTTTTAAAATTTTTTGGGATTCTAATTTTAGGATTCACTATCTTGATTTTTTTGAATAATAATTGTTTAAAATTTGTCCTTTTTGTTCTAGCTGGAAATTTGCTTTTTTTGTCAGAATTTTTTTAAAAAATTTTTATAAATGTTAAATTCCAGTACAAGAAGGTCTGCCCAATTGTAGGTTCACGGCGGAACGGGGGTTAACATTTAGACGTTCTTTTATCGTTAGAAAAATAAGCGCAGTTTAGGTCGCTCCTGCAAAATTTCTGGTGTTATTTCCCGATGGTTCCTTGTGAGATCCAATCCATTTTTTTGTGATTCCTTGTGAGATTCAAAATAACTCTGGAGCCGTTATTTTATGCGAGTGCAGGGGGGGGGGAGCAGGGATTGGTTTGTTATGTTTGGTGAAATTCATTTTTATTTTTCTAATTTAAATTTTCAAGATTCAAAGCTTCTTGTTTCTCAATTTTACGCAAATTTGTTCCAAGCATTAACAAACAAATTGAAGAAGCTTTAAATAAAACAAAAGAAGAACTTATACATTCAATTCATCAATATGATAAAGGTTTAGATTTTATTAAAGAAATGCCTTTAAAAGCAATAAATCATGAATCTATACTTAAACGAATTGAATATTATCAAGAAATGGAAGGAACTTTTGATTATATTAAGGTTTGTTTTTGGAGTGAGGGTGATGTTTTTCGGGGATCTTTGGCTGGTTTTAGAGTGATTTTAAAAATTAGTTTCTAAGCTGGAGGGAAAAGTTGCTTGTTAATCGTCAAAACTGGAGGCTGTTTGCGGTCATTTAGTCGAACCGATAATCTGGTGTCCAAACACGGTCATAACCGAAAACAGGGAATATCGGTTAATCCGTTGCCGGTTAATAAGTAACTTCGCCAACACCTTCTAGTCATAACCCTGCTGCCAATTTTTGATTTTTTTGGTATTTATTTAAAATTTGAAAAGTTATTAGTAGTTCTGACTGTTCGTTCTTACGACTAGTTAAGAAAACTTTGAGGCCCTTTAACATTTTTTAATTTCTAAAAATCTAATTTAACCCTTTACAATGAGCTATAGTTCTTCATTTTTTTGTCGTCTTTTTTCTTACAAAATAATTTTTAAGGGAAGAGTTTCTGGAACAGTTTACACAAATATTAATCCAGGACATATGGCAATACTTGGAGAAGTTTTTCACAAATTTGCTTATTCAAATCCTTTACATCCAGGTTTTTTTATTTAATATTTTTTTTTTCGATAATAAAATAAATTTTAAAGATGTCTTCCCTGCGGTTCGCAAAATGGAAGCAGAAATTATTAAAATTGTTTCGTCATTGTTTCATGGTCCTGAAGATGCTGTTGGAACGGTTTTTATTTTAAAAATATTTTTGGGTCTTTTAAGGCAGTTTCGGGTCTTTAAGTTGTTTTGTCAATTTTTTTGGCCTTTTTTAAGTGCAGACTTTATAATTGTAAAGTATAGAAGTTAAGTTATATAGATTTAAAATAAATGCCTAAAATGACTTTGCACGGGAAAAAAGCCAAAAAAAAGTAGAAAATTAATGCTCATAGTATGAGTAGTTTCCTTGTTTGTTCTGAAGACTATTTTTAATGATATTGTAGGGGACTCAATATCTTCAGGCTTGAAACTTTTGGGTTTATTGAGGACCAAAAAAATTTAAAATTTAGAACAATTTTTAAGGCTTATGAGTACTCCATTTCAAATTTTTTTTATTAAACTTTTGACAAAACAAATTTTTTTTAAAGGTAACGACTGGTGGAACTGAATCAATTATCTTGGCTTGTTTGGCTGCCAGAAATTTTGCTTTTTCAAAAGGAATTGGTGATCCAATAATTATAGTTCCTGTAACAGCTCATGCAGCTTTTGACAAAGCTTGTTCTCTACTGCAAATTGGAATAAAACACATTCCTTGTGATCCAATTACTATGCGGGTTGATTTAAAAGCGATGAAACGTGCAATAAATAGAAAAACTTGTTTGGTTTGTTTTTCTTTTTTTTTTTAAATTTGTTCACCTTTCATTCCATAACTTGAGGGTCGTGTTACTTTATTTTGGCAATCTGTGAATTGATTTAGGGTTGTCCAAGACTGGTTAATTTTGACTGTAGTGGCTTAAATGTCGACTGTAGTGGCTCAAAAGGATTTTTAAGAATTAAAAACATTGGAAGTTTATTTTTGCCTCCGGTTCTCTGACCCTTTTCAAATCAAGGATCCGGCCCTGATTATTCTCAAAACTCATTGAACCGGCTCCGAAACCAGAACTCCTGGAGCCCTGCCCAAAGCATTATTTTAAGAATCCTGTCCCAATTTTATTTTTTTAAAGTTGGTTGGATCTGCTCCAAATTTTCCTTATGGCACTATAGATGATATTCCTTCAATTGCTCAATTTGGTTTGGACTATTCTATACCTGTACATGTTGATGCTTGTCTTGGTGGTTTTGTAATTGCATTCTCACAAGATTCTCCAGCTTTGTCACACATTCCAATTTTTGATTTTCGTCTTCCTGGAGTTACTTCAATTTCTTGTGACACACATAAGGTTTCTATTTTCTTCTTTTCATAATTTACCAAAGTCATATTTTGCTAATAGGAATAAAAGTCACGTTTTATCAACAAGCTTTTAGGCAAAACGCGGATTTTTAGCCCTATTGGCAAAATATGAGTTTTATTTTTTTATTAAAAATTTTTTTTTCAAGTATGGCTATGCACCTAAAGGAACTTCAACAATAATATATCGTTCAACAGAGCTTTTGCATCATCAATACTTTGCTGTAACTGAATGGCCTGGTGGAATTTATGCAACTCCTACTTTGCCTGGTTTTTATTTGAAATAAAATTTTTGTTTTAATTTGGGTTGAAATTAATTGAGACTATTTTAAGTACGGGTTAGTTAGGGTGGGTAAAGTCGGGGATTTCTCATTTTATTTTGTTGGTTTGAACCACATGGGCGGTTTCTGATTTTCTTTTTAATTTAAATAATTTTGCAACAGAAAAATTTTTTTTGTCAGGAAGTCGTGCTGGATTAAATATTGCATTAACTTGGTCAACCTTATTATATTTTGGACGTCAAGGTTATATTGAAAGGGCAAATTTAATTGCAACGAGAACTGCACAATTAGCAGATGGTTTATATAAGGTTTTTTTTCAATTTTTCTTATTTATAATATTTTTGGAAATTTTTATAGATTCCTGGATTATTTATTGTTGGAAAACCAGACGTTTCTGTAGTTAGTTTTTTTTATTTTTTATATGTATTAGGGTTAAGTGGGTAGAGGGATCGGTGAACTAACAGGGACCCTCCAAAACTTTGTTTAGTAATCTAATGTTTTAATGGTTTTATTGTGTGATCACTAGATATCGAGCTGGGCCTGGATCAAGGCCTGGGGTCTTCCTTTACGCAGAGGCCAGGCCCAGGCATTTTTTCATCTTCCTGGGTTTTTCTTGGGCCTGGGTCTTTCCTGGACTACAGGCCCAGGTCAATAAATCAAAGCCAGGAACAGGCCCAGGCTTTTCAAAAATCTCAATCTCTAGTGGTCACTTGCCTGATATACAAATTTCTCTGTTTTTTTCTTTACGGAGCTTGGCATTTTTGGAGGGATTAGGTGTAGAAGTATAGCTTTTACGGTCTCAAAAATCGAACAGTTCCTGAAATTAACATTGGGATCATTGGGCTTTCCTGACTAATTTTTGACTTCCCTGATTAATTGACCCTCTATTATAATTTATTTGAACTGGAATTTTAAATAAAAAATTTATTTTTTTTACTTAGGTAGCATTTTCTTCTAAAAATTTCAACATTTTTGCTGTTGGGGACTTTCTACATAAACTTGGTTGGAATCTAAATTCATTACATTTACCTGATGCGTTAGTTTTATTTTTTTAATTTTTAAAAATATAAAGGGTTTGAAAGATTTAAAAAATTGAACGTAGCTCTAACGACGTAACTTCAGCTAACTTTTATTTAACAAAGGCTTACTAGGTGGGGGTTTAAGATTTATTTTAAAAGAGAGGGTGGGCATAAACGGTAAAGCACCTTTACATGTGGTAAGTGAAGGGAGCCTAGCAATAACTGCCATGGGGTTAAACTTTTACCTTTTCTATTTTTGTATTTAAAGGGTACAAGAAAGCATTTTTGATGTGTAATTATTTTCCAAAAAAATTTTTTTTGGAAAAATATTAAAAAAAACATTCACCAGTCTTATTTTTTTTCTTTCACAGTATTCATTTTTGTCTGACATATAATCAAGCTAAAGGAGACGTCATTATTAAATTTTTAAATGAGTTGCGTGAATGTTGTAAACAAGTTTGTCAACTTCCGGATAAAGGAAAGAAATCAAAAACGGCAGCACTTTATGGAATGGCTGCACAACTACCTGATAAATCAATTATTGAAGATGTTGCTCATTTATATCTGGATGCTTGTTATTCAATGCCTACTAAAGCTTAGAGGGAGAGGGTATTTTCTTTTAAAAATAGAGATTTAATTTAAAAAAATTTTTTGATTTGGATTTTTGCATTTGCTCAATGTTATTTTTAAATTTATGGTTACCTTCCAAATTTTAAATCGATTCCGTCGATTGTCATGAGATGGTTTTAGTCTCTTCTAGTGTTAGGCAAATGGATTTTTTCGGTACCGATATCGATGAGTACTGAAATTTTACAGTGTTACTGTTACGGTAAAGACCCTGCTCGGTATTTTACTGTCATTACCGCATTTATAAGAAGGATAAATGGATTTCAATAGACTCATTTGGCTTAAGGACAACAATTTATTGGGGAAGTTTCACAAATTGAAGTTACTTTTAAAATATGTACATGGTTTATTTTGGCAAAAAACCAGCTTACATTGTTTTAGGTATTTATAAAACATGAGCCAAATTTGGGATTTAAAATAAAGTTTTACCGATACTGACGCTTATTGTAATTGGTGGATTGCTTTGGGGAATTATCAAAAATGGGGGTAGAATTACGAACAATATCAAAATCACGATACTGAATTAAATGTTTTCTACAAATGTGAAGAACACCGTGAGTGTGATCAAAGGATGAAGAAAACTTTTTATTTAAATCAATTTATGATAGAAATTTATGTTCTGCGAAAAGTGCCACACAGCAACAAAGTATTTGTAATACAGGGTGCGTAGAAAGTCCTATACAAAACAATTGAGAATCGAAAAACTGCATTAAGACCTGCCTAGGACCAAAAGATTGATGAGGAGTGCGCGACCATCAATGGCAATTTCCAGTTACGTTTAGATGCTTGTATTTATGGAAATAGGTAAAATTTTGAAAATCTTTTATAATTTTCTAGTAACAGACATTCATTTGATTGTATGTGTGAATTTATTCGGCGAAATTCCATCTGATTAAATTTTTATGCAAAAAATTGTGTGGGCAAGGACTTTTTACGCACCCTGTATAATTTTCCAACAATCATGCCAATTGAGGTTCACTTTCCAAGTGTTGGGTGGACGTGGGAAGAAAAATTTCTTCACAGGGACTACGATGTATTGGCAATGAATCCGTGAATACTGTTTTTGGTATTTCTATCTGTTAAAATAAATCACAAAATTTTAAGACAAAAACTCATCAATTTCGAATGTTGGTACCAAAAACAGTATTCACGGATTCATTGCCAATACATCGTAGTCCCTGTGAAGAAATTTTTCTTCCCACGTCCACCCAACACTTGGAAAGTGAACCTCAATTGGCATGATTGTTGGAAAATTATATTACAAATACTTTGTTGCTGTGTGGCACTTTTCGCAGAACATAGATTTCGATCATAAATTGATTTAAATAAAAAATTTTTTTTCATCCTTTTATCACACTCACGGTGTTCTTCACATTTGTAGAAAACATTTAATTCAGTATCGTGATTTTGATATTGTTCGTAATTCTACCCCCATTTTTGATAATTCCCCAAAGCAATCCACCAATTACAATAAGCGTCAGTATCGGTAAAACTTTATTTTAAATCCCAAATTTGGCTCATGTTTTATAAATACCTAAAACAATGTAAGCTGGATTATTGCCAAAATAAAATTGATTGATTTGATCCCATGTCAGAACGTTTTGAAAGACCAATTCGATTGGGAGAATATTTGGCATGTCCTAAAAAACATTTAATTTATGAATAAAAAATTTTATTTTACAATTTCTGATGGACAATTGGCTCGTAATAATTTAATAGTACTGAATCCCTCTCAATATGGACTTAATGTAAATAAATTTAAGTGATTCCTAAAAATCATTTTAAATGAGTCTATTGAAACCCCACATTTATCCTTCCTATAAATAAAGACTGAGTTAGAATCCCATTTTCGCTTTTTTATCAATTTGTGAAACTTTTCCAATAAATTGTTGTCCTTAAGTCTTTGAAAATACCCATCTTTAGAAACCGTGAAATTTCAAAATATTTATGTTAAAATTTTCCAAAAAAGTTTTTGAATTGTCTGAATTTCTTGAATATTGTTTTCTCTTCCCTTTTTGAATTCTTCTCTTGACTTAAAAAATTTAAAAATCATTTTATATTAAAAAAATTTTTTTTGGGGATTTTTTGCCGTTAGTTGTTTGTTGCCAACAATAAATAAACCTAGTAAAAAATTAACTAGTAACAATTACCCCAAAATAAATAGTGATGATAATGTATTGAAAAAGACTTGAACTATCTTACAATAAACGTAGTAAATTATATTTTAAATTTGGAAGGTAAACAAAAGAAAGATTTAGATTTAGAACCACCAACTTAGTTGTTAAAATTTTTGAGTATTTATTTAATTTAAAATTTTGATAAATTTTATAATTTAATTTTCTGATTATAAAAAAATTATGTTAAGAATACATAGGTATATATTTTAAATTTGTTAAAAAAATTTTAACACAAAAATAATTTTTAAGTTTTTCTTTTGAACGAGAGAAAAATATTAATGTAGACAAAGTAAAAAATTAATATGAACCAAAAAAAATTTTTTTGTTGAAAAGCATCCTTTTCTATTAAATTTTATTTCTCCATTCTTTGCGGGGATAAAAAAAGTTTTATAATATCCCGCAAGAGAGAGAGAAAAAAAACTTGTCTAAAATATTTTTTCAACCACCAAAAATTAATATATTTTTATATCTGGTTCTGACCCGATTGTACTAGTAGTAGATGGATGAAGAAAAATGTACATTAATTTATTTTGTGTGTTTTTTCATCAAAACAAACATTCATCGATTCTGCTTTTAATTAAAGAAATATATGTATTTTGTTGTATTTTTATTATTTGTATTTTGTGTTTTTAAATATAATCACAAGTTTCAGAATTTTATGTGTTTTCCGGAATATATTTTTAAAATTAATTCTAAACAATGTGTGTTTTTGGAGAGATAATTAGATAGCTAGATAAATCAGAATGTATTTTATTTGTGTTTTCTGTTATTTCTTGTGTTTTCTGAAAAATCAGAATTATTTGTATTTTTGTGTTTTCTGAAAAATCGGAATTATTTGTATTTTTGTGTTTTTTTGTGTTTTTGTTTGTTGGAAATCAGAATTTGAGTATACCTATGTGTGTTTATTGTCTATTTGTGTTTTTAAAAATGTCAGAATTTAATTTGTGTTTTCTTTTTGCAAGTCAGAATTTATTTAATTTGTGTTTTCCGGAAAAGTTTCTTTATTTCAGAATAATGAAAAATAATAATGACAAGCTTTTCGAATAAAATGTTTATTGTTTCCCTAATTTTCTCCCATTTAATATTTTTCTGTTTAATTAATCAGAATGAATGTGTAACCGGAAATGATTTACCAATAGAACAAGTAATTTTGTATTTAATTAAATTTAATTTTTCCTTTATATTTTTAAAGGCTAGTGGACATGGGAGGGAGCCTGAAGCAAAATGCTCTTTTCGAGTAAATTTTTGTTAAATAAATTTTTTAATTAAAAAATATTTTTTTCTGGTACATGTGAAAGGTCCAAATGGTGCGGAAGTTAAAGGTGCGTGTTAAAAAAATTAAAAAAAAAATTAAAAAAAAATATTTTTTCAAAGACGTGACGCTTGACCAAGAACTTTATTACAAAATAAGCTGTGAACCAGTTAAAGGATACTGTTTAAGAGTTAGTAACTGTTCTGTAACAAATGATGCTCCTGGTCAAAAGCCTTATTTAATTATTGATGGGAGAGGGTGTACAACAGAACCTTCCTTGTTTGAGCATGTTCAAGTGAGTTGAATGAACATTAATTTGGGGGAAAATTAAAAAGGCCAAGAAAGAGAGAGGGATTGTTTAAATGGGAAATTGTCTTCAAAATATGTGATAGGAGAACAGGTCAAGGAGAATTTTAAAATAAATTTTGGTTGGTTTAAAGACTAGCCAAAAAATCGTTCAAAAAGCTCGATCATCAAGCAAGTTCGATTTTTCTTCAGAAATTGAGAGTAGGACCGAAAAACCTTGGCTAACGATCTAAAGCACAGAGTTGAGTAAAACAACCGCAATTTAATGATTAAGCATTTTTTCGAGTAATGTACGGGGGTTTGAATCTTGGTAGTTTGTGTAGTTCGGGACAGACCTGGGCGAAACTCAAAATTTTTTTCTGACGAAACGAAACGAAACAAAATTTTTTTAAAATCGTTTCGTTAACGAAACGAAACGAAACAACCTAAATCTTACGAAACGAAACGAAACAAAACGAAACATTTTAATATTCAAAAAATTTTCAAAACTTCATTTATTTCGCAATTATTCGACCTCAAATACTTTATTAGTCGCCTACGATTTATAAATGATTTAGTTTTTGGTTTATTTACAACAATTTGTCCCATAAGCCAGGCCCGTAGCAAGGAAAATTTTCGGGGAAGGGGGGGGGGGGGTCAATCATTTTCGAAGCCGAATTTTTGGCGACGCTTTTTTTCAAATAAAATTTAATATTTTTCAAGTAAAATTTTATTTTAAGCGCCGCAGACGAAAAATTTTAAAATTTTGAAAGGCCGTAGGCCAAAAAATTCACTATCTTGCTCCATTGCCTACCCAAATTGTCTCCATATCTCCATTTCGAGAGGAGAGCGATATAAGCTAATGCTTCGCCGGAAGTTCCGGTTCCAGTATTTCCGCAACTCGCAATCCGCAATTTTTAAATTATGATGCGAGTCCGGTAATAGAATTTGTCGTCGATTAAGTAATATGTATATGCGGATTAGGGAGTGGAGTATAAACGGATTTGTAGTATATAAGTAATTGATATCTTCCTTTTTCAGCGCCGCAGGCGAAAATTTTTTTAATTTTCAATAAAAGATGGTTAATTTTATAGATTTTGGCCTTAGTTTAGGCTTAAAAAATTGTTTCGTTTCGTTGAAAAATCACAGGTGTTTCGTAACGAAACGAAACGAAACAAATTTAAAAGTGTTTCGTAACGAAACGAGACGAAACAGTAAAAATCATACGAAACATACGAAACAACGAAACGAAACGAAACGTTTCGCCCACGTCTGGTTCGGGATATGTACTTAAATAAAAAATCAGGTGCCATGAGATTAAAGCCAACCAAAAAATCTTCTTTGGTCATTTAACTTGCTTCCCCATAAATTTTTTTTAATAAAACCTCTTTGTTATTGACCAAAGAAAATTAAAAAAAAATTTTTTTTTAATTTTTAGTACGAAGACAACTTTACAGCAGGCATTTACAACCCTTATCCAATCCGTTTTCGAAATCAAAAATCTGCTGTACAATTTAATTGTGATACAAGTTTAGTATTACTTTCACTAGATGGAAAGGTGAGGGAACTCTAAAGGGGTTCTCTTAACACAAAAAAATTTTTTTAAGTGTCAACGTGAACGTTGTGTTTGGAATGAATACACAAAAGAAGCAAATGAACAACAACAACATACAAAATAAAATTGGGTAAAAAAGGGGGTGGGGGATGAGGGAGAACTTGATTTTTAAAAAGTTTGTGTAAAAAATTAAATTATTTTTTTTTGTAAATAAAAAATAAATATAAAAATAAATTTTAGTTAAAAAAGATAAGAAAATAGGTAATTTTATTTTTTGGTTTTAGAAAATTTTTTTTTCTGAAAAAAATTTTTTTAATACAAATTAGTAGGTGTGTTTTAAATTAAAGACCCCGGACCGAGACGAAGTCTCAAACAAAATAACTGGTTATCAGGATTGATATTTTTGAGAAGATATCGGTCTTTCAAATTAATGACCCTTCAAAACCAGTCATTGGTATTCTTAATAAATTCTTTTTTATTCAAGCTTTGAGCTAGGTATTTATTTAGAAAAATAATTAAATTCCCATTATGGGAAAAATAAAATATAAATTATATTTTATATATTATCTAGATATTTCCAAATTATTTTTTGAATAAGGCCTAAATGAAGGGGAAAGGTGAAACCAGTGATGATTGTTGTTGTTGTTGTTATTATCGTTAATACTTGGACTTCCAATATTGACAATTCTTTTATTTGAAGGTGCGATCAATGAAAGTAGGTGGAATTGGACATTACTGGAAATTTTGAGATTTTGAGAAATGAACATTTTTGGGAAATTGACATTTTGAAAGTTGACATTTTGAAAATTAGGCATTTTGAAAAATCGACATTTCGAAAGATTGGCGTTTCGGTAAATGGACGTTTTGTGATTTGACATTTTGTGGAATTGACATTTTGAAATTTTTCAAAAAAAATTTTCAAAATGTCAATTTTTAAAATTCAAAATGTCAAATAATTTTTCTTTAATTTTTTACCCACCCTTCAGCACACAAAACATTATTATCTATTTCTCCCAGCATGATCTGATGACTGTTTGTGAGATTTGTAAATGCTAATTTTGGATTGTTTACTAATTTGTGTCCAAATGAGTGAATACATTGGTGTTCTAATTCTGCTAAAAATGTTGAATTTTTTTGAATATTTTCCCACAAAAATACCCTCAATTTTTTCTTTTTGTAATTCTGTCCATTTCCATTCAAAGGCTATTTGTTGTGTTTTTTCGTTAATTGTTTTGTTTGGGGATGATTCAGGAGAGGAGGAGGTGATAGAACAGGAAGGGGATGATTCAGCGGAGCAAAAGGCTGAATCTTCTTCTTCGTCTAATGAAGCTGTTGAAAAGCCTAAATTGAAGGAAATTTTGGGTTTTGGACATTTTGAGGTTTGGACATTTTGAGATTTGGGCGTTTTGAGCTTTTGGGCGTTTTGAGTTTTGGACGTTTTGACTTTTGGACGTTTTAACTTTTGGACGTTTTGACTTTTGGGCATTTTGACTTTTGGACGTTTTGATCTTTGTGGGCGTTTTGACTTTTGGGCATTTTGAGTCATGGGCGTTTTGACACTATTTTCTGTTAAATATTTTTAGTTACTTTTCCGTAGACGTCCAACAATTGATAAAGGAGATGATGATGGCACTGAAGGTCGTCGAGACAATTGTGTAAGCCCCTGTGGAAGAAAACGCTTAGTTGTTGAAGCAGCTGCAGCCCTTTGTCGTCTAATAACTAAATTCTGTACTGAACCATGATTATGGTGGGAATTATTTTTATTTCCGGAAATCGACCGGAAACTTTGTGTATAATTATTGTTGTTATTTTTCTGTTTCTCTAATCCGTTTTCTTTTCCGGTTTCTTCGACCTTTTTCTCTTTGTTGTTGTATTTTCCGGAAGCTAACCGGAAAGGTTGTTTATTATTATTTCTCTGCTTGTCTTCCGGTTCTAACTCTCCCATATTCTCCTGATGTGCTATAAATTCATTTCCGGAATCTGACCGGAAATTCTCGCCGTCTCTTTCATTTTCTATTGTCTCTATTTCCTCCTCATCTCTATTTATTAGTGAAAATGCAAAATTTGAATAATTAACACTGTTGTGTCGTTTGTTACGTTGTAATAATTCGTTGTTAGTTGATGAGGAAAATGATTTTAATTTAATGCTAAAACCAAAAAGCGATTTTCTTTTTTTGTCTGTAGTTGTGGTATAATTGTTCATTTAAAATTTATTTTTCTGAAAAATTGAGAAAAAAATTTTTTTTTTCAGGTAAAAAATGACCAATTTTTGAGGTTTTTTGCCTACAACTTTTTTATTTTTTAATCTAAAATTTTTATTCTTGTCTTATTTGTCTGTAGGTGTGGTTTATAAAGAGGGTTGATTAAATAGGGAGTATCGCTTTTAGGTAGTCTATCACCCATCACCCACTAAAAAGATACCAAATTAAAAAAATAAAGGTGTATTTATTAAATAAAGGTGTATTTAATTTTGGGGGTGTTAAAATGAAGTGTCTGATATGGCTAAGATTTTTCTTTTTTTTTCTTCTTAAAAAATTTTTTTTCACCCAAAAATAAAAATATTATTTAAAATTTTTTTCTGTCCAAAAATAAAAATAAGAATATTATTAAAAAAATATTTTTTGTTTACTCAACTGTTTTGTGAATTTTTAAAATTTTTTTGTTTGTTTATTTTTCAACAAAATTTTATTTTTTTATTAATAATTCTTTAAAAGGGCAAAAAATGAAGGGAATGTTGTTTATTTTATTGTTCCGTTTTTGCATTCCGGAAAGATATATAAATAAATATTTTTGTATTAGTAATCGTTAATGGGGGGAATAAGGATTAAGAGGAACACGTGAAAAATAAAAATGTGTTGAAAAAATATTTTTTAAATAAGGAAAGTAAGCTGATCATTGGACAAAGAGAGAATACTCGTGTTCTTTAAGGAATAAAAAAAAAAGATTTTAAAAAAAATGTGAGATTAAAGATGAGTTGTAGTAAGTTAAATGTTCAGTATTGGAACAGAATTTATTTATTTTTCCGGAACAGAATTTAACTCTGAATTTATTTTTCCGGAAAGAATATAACTCTGAATTTATTTTTCCGGAAAGAATTTATTTATTTTTTCCGGAAAGAATGTAACTCTGAATTTATTTTTCCGGAACAAATTTATTTATTTTTCCGGAAAGAATATAACTCAGAATTTATTTTACCGGAACAGAATTTATTTATTTTTCCGGAAAGAATATAACTCAGAATTTATTTTACCGGAACAGAATTTATTTATTTTTCCGGAAAGAATATAACTCTGATTTTATTTTTCCGGAACAGAATTTAATTATTTTTCCGGAACAAATATAACTCTGAATTTTTTCCGGAAAGAATGTAACTCTGAATTTATTTTTCCGGAACAAATTTATTTATTTTTCCGGAAAGAATATAACTCAGAATTTATTTTACCGGAACAGAATTTATTTATTTTTCCGGAAAGAATATAACTCAGAATTTATTTTACCGGAACAGAATTTATTTATTTTTCCGGAAAGAATATAACTCTGATTTTATTTTTCCGGAACAGAATTTAATTATTTTTCCGGAACAAATATAACTCTGAATTTTTTCCGGAAAGAATGTAACTCTGAATTTATTTTTCCGGAACAAATTTATTTATTTTTCCGGAAAGAATATAACTCAGAATTTATTTTACCGGAACAGAATTTATTTATTTTTCCGGAAAGAATATAACTCAGAATTTATTTTACCGGAACAGAATTTATTTATTTTTCCGGAAAGAATATAACTCTGATTTTATTTTTCCGGAACAGAATTTAATTATTTTTCCGGAACAAATATAACTCTGAATTTTTTCCGGAAAGAATGTAACTCTGAATTTATTTTTCCGGAACAAATTTATTTATTTTTCCGGAAAGAATATAACTCAGAATTTATTTTACCGGAACAGAATTTATTTATTTTTCCGGAAAGAATATAACTCTGATTTTATTTTTCCGGAACAGAATTTAATTATTTTTCCGGAACAAATATAACTCTGAATTTTTTCCGGAAAGAATGTAACTCTGAATTTATTTTTCCGGAAAGAATATAAATTTATTATTTATTTTTGTGTTTTCCGGAAAATTTATTAAAATTATAAAAATCGTTCCTTTTTTTCGTTTAAAATAATAATAAAATTCAAAAAAATCCATGCTTTTTTAATGCTATTTTTTTATTTTTTTAAAAGGGTAGAGAAGCTGGTATTTTTAAATAAAAAAGCTTTTATGGCCCTCTCCCCGTATGGAATTCCTTTATTTTTTATTATTTTTAAGCATTGGAATGAATAATAACAACACCTCTATAAATGTTGACTTGTGTAAAAAGGTGAAGGAATCGAATCAAAAACAAAATACCCATTTAATCAACGCTTGTATTTAGAGAAAAGGGGGTGCGCCAGATAGAGACGCCAAAAACTAAATTTTTTTCCTACATTATTAAGAGTTACAAAAAATATTATTTTAGGGTGGGCAAAGGGATTACCGACAAAAGGGTACAACCGACAAAATGGTACCCTGACAAAAGGGTACAAACGACAAAATGGTACCCTGACAAAAGGGTACAAACGACAAAAGGGTACCCTGACAAAAGGGTACATCTGACAAAATGGAACTCCCGACAAAAGGGTTCAGCTGACAAAATGGAACTCCCGACAAAAGGGTACACCTGACAAAAGGGTACATTCAACAAGAGGGGACATAGCTCTCCCCACCCATTGGCCTACCAAATTTTTAAAAAATAAATAAAACGAGGTTTATCTAAATAGTATTTGGGTAATTTATAAAATTTATTTGGCCGTAGAGAATGTTTCTAAAATGCGTTCTTCAAATTTTTATATAGAAAATGCAACTAAATAAAAATCAGAGATTAAGGGGGAGAAGGAATTTTGTGAGTGATTAAAAGGGAGGAGGAAAATTTTTTTTAATTGGAGAGAAATTTAAAAAATTATTTAAAAGGGGATTATAAGGTAAAATTATTTCTAAAATGGAAAGGATTTGGACAAAAAACTTTGAAAAAGAATTATTTTTAGCAAACAACAGAGATCAAAGAATTTTATAGGGAAAAAGGAAGTTTCTTTAAAAGGAATCTTGGTTATCGAGATCGAGAATTTTTCGAGATCTCGATTCTCGAACGTTATTCCCAGTCCGGTCTCTAATGTAGAGGAAGAAGGGACCAGGGGGCCTCATTATAAGACACCTCCAAAATTAAATAAGCATACGTTATAGACAAAGTTATCAAGATTTGGTAGGTTACTGGATGGGGAAGTTGCCGAAGCAACACACCATCTATCTCTGAGTACATTTTTTCTCCTAGTTTACTCCTTCCAAGTGTAACACTAGGTTGGAAAAATACTGTTTTTAAACTAATTTTTGACAATTTTTGCATTACCCTCTATTTAAGAAACACCTCGTTATAAGGAACGATGTTTTTCAGTTTCAAGGGGGTATTTAAGAATGAGGTTTGACTGTAAAAATAAATTTTGTTTTTATCATAAAAATAATTTTTTATTTTTTTTTATCAAGAAAACCAAAGTCTTTTTAAATAGGGAAAATGAGAGGGAGAAAATAAAGAGGGGCAAGGTAAATAAATATTTGGCCAAAAAATAATAATAAAAATATATTTATTTGTCTTTTTTTTCGGGTATATTTTTACAAAGATATCAGTTATATTAAATCAAGAAAAAAATTTTTTTTTTGATCGAAAATGACCGTAAAAAGTGGTTAAAAAAGTACGGGAGAGAGAGAGATGGACACACACATTCTCTTCCCTGTTAAAAATGACCCTTCCTCTTTTTGTGAATAAATTAATTTTTCTTCTTTTTTGTGGGAAAATGTATACAAAAAAAGTGTTGTGTTGGGGGTAGTTGGAAAGTGTCAACAACACATTTCCCCAAAATTTAAAATAAAAAGATAGAAAAAGCCGATTCAAAATGGAAGAAAATGTGACGAAAATCGCTGCGAATATATGGCCGCGAATATATGGGGCGGTTATTTGTTAGACAGTTTAAACGAAAAGTACCAGTTGAGTCTCGCTGGTTGAATATTTGAGCGATATTTTGGGCTATAACTTTAACAATCCTTAATCGACTTGAGTAATTTATATGTTATTAGAAAGCTATTGATGTAAGGATTATTTAGTCTAAAAGGATCGATGTGATCAGAGCAACATACAAAAAGTTATAGACTAATAAACACCAAAAATCACGATTGCGCGCACTTAACGAGATGTAACTTTTTGTAAGATGGTCTAATCGAATCAATCTGGTTGACGAAAATAATCCGCACATCCAGGGCTTTCGAATGATAAAAGAATTGTTCTAAATGGTTAAAAACTCAAAAAGTTATGGCCCAAAGTATGGCTCCAGGATTTGACCGGCGGGACTCAAACATCCCCTATTTTAGCTTAAAGAATTGTTCTTTTATTTTTCTCTGACCCAATAACACTTAAAGTTTTGTTTTTCTCTATCTTCTTTGTAGTTGTTTACCAGTTTATAAATTAATGTAAATTTGTATAGTTCATAATCTCAAATTTTCAAAACGTCAAGAAGGGTAAAACTTTCAATTTTGTCATTAAGGCTTAACTTTCCTTATTTCTCTAGCCCTAAGACAGTAAACGTTTTTCTTTCTCTGCTTTCTTCGTGGTTGTTACTAAGATTTAAGTTTGTATATTTCAAAATCTCAAATTTTCAAAACGTCCAGAAGGGGAAAAAATTAAATTTTGTCACAACATTTTTATTTTTTCCCCTAAATTTGTTTCAAGTTTTTTAAACCTAAAAATGTTAAAATCTTGCTTCTCTTTGCTTCAATTTCAATCAAATTTGTCAATTACTCGATTATTCCAATCTAAACGATTAATAAATTCTAAATTTCTTCGATTGTATTCAACAACAAATGAAATTTCAAAATTACCAGTAAAGAAGGCAACAAATAAGTTAGTTTCTTGTCTAAAATTGATGAGAGCAGACAAACCAATAGGTTAAATATTTTTAATTCTTTACTAAAAATCAGCTTCAAAACCTGAAACATGTTTCACAAAACCTGAAACATGTTTCACAAAACCTGAAACATGTTTCACAAAACCTGAAACATGTTTCACAAAATCTGAAAATGTTTCACAATACCTGAAACATGTTTCACAAAATCTGAAAATGTTTCACAATACCTGAAACATGTTTCACAAAACCTGAAACATGTTTCACAAAATCTGAAAATGTTTCACAATACCTGAAACATGTTTCACAAAATCTGAAAATGTTTCACAATACCTGAAACATGTTTCACAAAACCTGAAACATGTTTCACAAAATCTGAAAATGTTTCACAATACCTGAAACATGTTTCACAAAATCTGAAAATGTTTCACAATACCTGAAACATGTTTCACAAAACCTGAAACATGTTTCACAAAATCTGAAAATGTTTCACAATACCTGAAACATGTTTCACAAAATCTGAAAATGTTTCACAATACCTGAAACATGTTTCACAAAACCTGAAACATGTTTCACAAAATCTGAAAATGTTTCACAATACCTGAAACATGTTTCACAAAATCTGAAAATGTTTCACAATACCTGAAACATGTTTCACAAAACCTGAAACATGTTTCACAAAACCTGAAACATGTTTCACAAAATCTGAAAATGTTTCACAATACCTGAAACATGTTTCACAGAATCTGAAACATGCTTCTAAAAACCTGAAACATGCTTCTAAAAGGATTTAAAACATGTTTCACAAAAGTTGAAACTTGCTTCCGAAACTTGCTTCAAAATACTTTTAAAATTTGCTACAGCCTCTTAAAATCCTTTTTAGTCAATTTTAGGTACTTGGCTTCTTTATTGGCCTGGTGCCTGGTCTATTGCATTGAGTGCTTCTCCTGGATGTTTACCTGATGCTTATTTGTTGGGACTTTTCGGTGTTGGATCTTTTCTTATGAGAAGTGCTGGTTGTATACTTAATGATCTATGGGACCAGGATATTGATAAAAAGGTTAATTATTTTGTTGTTTGCTCCAGAAGCAAATTTTGCTTCAACTTTAAAAAATTCTTTGAAACTTGCTTCAGAAGCAATTTGCTTCATATTAAAAATTGCTTCAGAAGCAGCTTGCTTCAGTTCAAAAATTTTCAGAAACTTGCTTCTGCTTGCTAACAGCTTCTTAACATTGTAAATTTTTTTAGGTTGCTCGCACAAAATCCAGACCTTTAGCAAACGGCGAACTTACTGAAAAAGAAGCTGTTCTTCTTCTTGGTGGTCTACTTTCTGCTTCATTAACTGTCTTGCTTCAACTCAACTCGCTTAGGTTTTTTATTTAATTTTTTGTTAGGTACTTGGATATTTATTCAAAAATTTTGAATTGTTGCATTTGTGGTGTAGTTGGATTTGTCTTGGTAACACTTTTTAGTGGGATGTGGGTTCGAGTCCTGCTCATGTAAATAATTTTCTTTTTAAAAATAAAATAATTATTAATAAACTTGAAGTACTCACAAATGAAAAATAAATTTAAAAAAAAATCCAACAAAATTTTTTTAAACTTTTTTTAGTATAATTCTCGGTGCTTCTTCACTTTGGCTTGTCGTCGTCTACCCTCTAGCAAAACGTTTTACTAACTGGCCTCAACTTGTTCTTGGTTTATTTTCTTAATTTTTACTAAAAATCGGTTTTATTAAATATGAAGCATGCTTCTAAAATCGTTGAAGCAAGCTTCAGAATTTTAAAGCATGCTTCAGAATCATTGGTTGCCTAGACGATCCCCTCACTTAGGCGATCCCCTCACCTTAAAATTAACCTCTCATCATAAGACGGGTTTTTTTTTTTGACTATTTTTACATTACCTCTATTTAAGATACCTCATTATAAGGGACACTTTATTAAGCCTAAAAGGGTATTTAAGTGTGAGACTTAACTTTATTTTATCAAAACCATTTTTTAGGTGCAACATTTAATTGGGGAGCTCTTCTAGGATGCACAGCAGTCACTGGAAAATTTGTGCCAGAAATTTGTATTCCACTTTATTTGGCTTGTATTTGTTGGACAATTATTTATGATACTATTTATGCATTTCAGGTTTCTTTTAAATTAGTTTTAAGCCCAAAGAAATTTTTTTCGAACTGAAACCCGACTTGAAGAAAATTCAAAAACCCGATCCAAAACTTTTTCAATTTTTTCGTAACAATTGGAACTCCCCAAGTGTTCATACGTTTTTTGACGTTTGGCTGGCCATTGGTGAGGGGGTTAGTTGACTTACTGATACCCTCGAGTAAGTGTGACGAAACATTTTAAATGGCGAAAGTCAATAAAAAAAGCGTAATCCAAACAAGCGAAATTTTGGCGAAAGACGGAAGACTAAATGGCACATCCCTGATATATGTATCAAGAGAACCTAAAGTTCAGAGAACCTAGAACCTAAAAATCAAAGAACCTAAAGTTGAGGTTCTTTGATTTTTTGAGCACCAAAGGGTTGTTTTTAAAGTAGAGGTTAGATTGATTAATTGTTCTCTATAATTTTCCCTTTTTAAATTCCTTTCCTTCCAAAGTACAAAAGAGAGCTCTGTGGCAGTCTAAAAGCTTTATAAATGATTAATCCTATCAACAATTTTTTAGGATAAAAAAGAGGATATTCTAATAGGATTGGGATCAACAGCAATTGCTTTTGACAAAAATAGAGAAGCTTGGCTAAATTTTTTTGGATTAACAATGATGTTAAATTTGTTATATTCTGGATATATGCAAGAATTGCCCTGGCCTTTTTTTGTTTCGCTTTTAGGTTTTTTTTTTGAAATTATTTTTTTTAATCTTTGAGCCTTTCAGAAATAAGGGGGAATTTTTGTGTTTTTATTGGTAAAAAATTGGGTTTTCTCTCTCCTCCTTCTAGTCATCTTGTCTGGATGGGCCAGCGCCATCCAAGGCTAAAATTTGAAAAAGGTCCCAGTCAAGGCCAAAATACCCAGCACCGGTCATCTCTCTATTCGGCCAACTCTGAGTCATAAACTAAAATTATCCCGATACTTTTTAATACGGAAAAATGTCTCTGCTTAATGTTAGGATAATGCCTAAACCCCATTTTTTAAAAACTAGATTTTAAATAGAAAAATTTTTTTGCGGACAAATCTACAGAAATTGCGGACAAAAATTTTGACTAGTACACCAACCACGATTCCCAAAATTTAAATAAATCTTCTTCTTTCTCCAGTTTCATCTTCACATTTAATTTGGCAAATAAAAACATTAAAAATAGACAATAATTTTGATTGTTTGAAGAAGTTTAATTCAAATAAATTTATTGGAATAACAATTTTAATTGGAATTATTTTAAGTAATTTAATTAAAAATAAAGAGGAAATTATGGAGGAGAGGGATGATGAAGAAGAAGAAAATTATGGAATTAATAAAAGAAATATGAATATTAATTTTTATTGTTGAAATTATTTATGATGAAAATGAGGTTTATTTTCTTTTTAATTTAATTGGAAAAAATTTTTTCCGGTGTTTAGGATTTTTATTAAAAGATTTTTTTAATTTTGCGGACATTTATTTTAAAATTTTTATTTCCTCCAATTCAAATATGTAAAGGGAGAAAGTTTTTACGGAAATAGGTAGACCTCTAATGTATCTCTTAATTAGGGCCTTGACTTGGAGGGCTCTGTACAAGAATCAAAATGATTTTTATTAGAGATCTCTCGTCGCGTTCCAAACTATTTTTTTAATCCTATTACCATGAATAGGGACTTCTATTTACCTAAAGAAGCCCCTAAAATAATACAATATGGATATTTTCTCAATAAAATAAATGAAAATTTTGCATAAAAATTTGGGTCTATAAAAAAAATAAAATTTTACACCGATTTATTTTTATAATTAAAAATAAATATTTAAATATATTTAAAAAAAAAAACAACTAAATTTTAATTTAATGAGGTTCAGGCACATGCCCATCAACATAAAAATTTCTTGTAATTTTTGGCAACGTTAAAATAATTCCTTCCAGTTCTTTATTTAAAATTATTTGACAAGAAAGCCTTGAATTTGGTTTTAATAATGGGGCCATATCTAACCTGAAAAAAAAATTAAATAAAAAATTTTGCGGACAAAATTTGCGGACATTTTTATTTTTTGGGAATAATTTTTGTTTATTTGTAGGGGGTGTGTTTTTTGATTAAAAAAATTTAAAAAAATTTTTGGAATTTTTAAAACATTTTTTTATAAAAAACGTTACTCAAAAACTGAATTATAAAGGTTCAACAAACGGCGGGAATCGAACCCACGTCATCACCACCCAAAATCAAGAGCACTACCAATTTGGCCACAAATTATCTTTAACGGAAATAATATTTTTGTTGACTAGAATTGTAAAATTTAAATGGTTTATCGCGTGATTTTGTCGACTTTTTAACAGAAAAAAGTTGGTTTTAGATCTAAAAAAATTAAGTAATAATAAATACATGTCTTCCTCGTCTTCAACCGGAGCAGGCAATTTATCATAAAATTTGTCATCAACATAAACATGGCAAGTACAACAAGCTAAAGAAGCTTCACAGGCTCCTTCAATTTCTATATTATATCTTAAAAGGAGAGAAAGTTATTTTAAATTTTGTTTTTGGGGGAAAGAGGGAGGAACTCTTCCTTCAATTCCCCTTTTCTTATGGTTACGTCAAAAAAGATTTTTGCCCATTTTATAAAGTTGACGTCACAAGGATTTTGTTATGGCCGGTGTTCTGGTCAACATATCAGTCATCACCAGCAGCGGCCTAGTCTTAAACCGGTAGAAAGGATTGAATTTCTGCCTTTCGATTTGGCTCACGAACTGTGTCGACAGAACTCAATCGCTGGTTGGCATGTGATGTAAAGCCCAGGCATGGGATTCTTTCCTTATCATGATTTCATATAAAGGGGCATTTTCAAGCTTCCTGAAGGGCCCTGGGCTTTTCATGAACTCTAAAACGGAAATGGATCGGACTGAAGAAAAAATCGAGGTGCGGTTTTGGCCGAAAAAGTCCGGGTTCCAGGTAGCCCGGCCCATCCCTATTTTAGACACATGCACACTGTCAATAGACCAAGTCCCTCAAGAGTTTGGGAACCCTCAAAATAAAATTTTCCAAAAAAAACCTGTGTGCCAAATACATAGCGTTATCCCCAACTTTTCCTCTAACTTTTTTAGCTTGCCCATCTCTAGTAACATAAGTAACATTAACAACTTCATCTTCACATTTTGGATCTTCATATTCGTAATCACCAGATTTTAATAAATTTAAAAAAGATAAATTTCTAGGTAAAAAAGGCCAAGTAATTTTGTGTAGTGGAAAGATTGAAAGTCTTTTTAAAGCTGTCCCAAACATTTTTTTCTCTTTTAAAAAATAAAATTTAAGGGGTAGAGGGTTTAAATGTAGAAAATTAAAATTTGGGGAAATTATAGAAAAAAAATTTAAGAAAATTTCGGCTCCCACATATTTCACCAATAACACATTTTGCCAATAAGGCTTTAAATTTACATTTTGCCAATATTGCCTTGTTGACAAAATGAGGATTTTTTGCCTTATTGGCAAAATGTGGTATTGGTGAAATATGCAAAGTAGGGAATTTTATGTAAAATTAAGAGAAAATTTTTGGGTCAAGGATATTTTGTCACAGACCCAGTTTGCCACAGACTGTGAAGTACATTTAAATTTTTTATTTTGAATTCTAGATTTTCAGAAGGAATGGATATAGAATTACACCAACAACAACAACAAATTCGTTATGACCGCCAAATTCGTTTATGGGGAGATGAAGGACAAAAAACTATCCAAAAAGCAAAAATTTGTGTTTATGGTTCTAGTGCTTTAGCTGCTGAAATATTAAAAAGTTTAGTTTTGGCTGGTGTTGGATATTTTCATATTATCGATAATTCAATTGTAAAGACGTCAGATTTGGGACAAAACTTTTTTTTGGATGTTGATTCTGTTGGGAAATTGAGAGGAGAATGTTTGGTTAAATTGTTGACGGTTTGTTTTTTATTTATTTTTTGGGAGGAGAGGGGGGGAGTGTGGCAAGGAGGGGACGGATTATCCGAAATCTGGGAGTCGAAACCCGGGCCTTTTTCCCGGACTTAAATTCGAAAGACGATCCTTGAATTTTTTTGGTAGGAAGGGGAGTTGTGTAGTAAGGAGTGGAAATCTGTGAGTTAAAAACCGGGCTTTTTCCTGACTTGAAATCCGAAAGGCGATCCATGAAATATTTTAAAATCAGTTACAAAATCTGAACTGATTTTTCGCATCCCATTCCATCGCCGTTGTGTTTTGCTTTCTCTCTTGATTTTATTAAAATTCTCTATTTTCCTTCCAATTTATAGTTGTTTAGTTTCTATTTTATTTTAATTTTCCCCATTTTTTGCCTTAAAAATTTCAAAAATATTTTTTCCGAGTTAAGCAAATTATTTTTTCCCTAGCGGCATCGAACCCGCGTCCATTTACTAGTTAAAACTAACTCTAACCCACTTAACCAAAGGGTATTTTTTTAAATTTTTTAAGCTGGACACCTCTGATAAGTTATTTGCTCTTGTTGAATTGGAAGCCTTAAAAACTCCAAATGTATTATTTTTGGTTTATTTAAATCGTTTGCTCCCGAGCGGCATCGAACCGACGTCCTTTCTTTAAGGAATCAAACTCTAAGCCACTTAACCAAGAGGTCATTTTTTGAAAATCTTTTTAAACATACACCGCTGCTAAGGTATTTGTTCTTTAAATTGAAAGTTTGGGCCCTCCACCCCTTTATTTCCCTTCTAAACATTTTTTTATTTTTTTCCTAGGAATTAAATCCATCAGTTCACGGTCAGCATTCCCCAGTCCCTTTTGGAGAATTTTCAAAACACGAAATGTTTATGCTTTTAAATTTTTCTTTGGTTATTGGGACAAATATGTTGGCAACTGAAGCAATAAAATTGGACAAATTTTTGTTTGAAAATAATACTCCTTTTTTGTTTGTAAAATCTGTTGGAATGTTGGGGTATTTGCGGTTATCTTTTAATGAACATATTATTTGGAATAATCGAAGTGTTAATGATTGTTATGATTTGAGGTTTATTTTTTGTTAATTCTCTAAATTTTTGGGTACTTTTGGGGGAGAATTTGGGCGTATTTTAAGCCTTTAAAAGTTTAAATGGAATTTTCAAGGATTGTGTCTCGAAGGGTACAGCCCAAAATCTCGCGCGGCCATAAAGTCGGCAGGCCATAACTTGCTGAAAAATCTCTGATCCTTATCAATTTTGTTACCAATCTCTTTAACTCGATGAGAGGAATCGTTTAATACTAACTTTTGAAAGATTCGGCAATCTTGAAGCATGTTATGGCTTGGCGACCTTTCGGGCGTGACCCTGTCTCGAATGCTTTTTTTACCTTTTAAGGCAGCTAAACTAATCAAAAAAATTTTTTCTGGATTTTTTTATATGGGTTTACTTTGATATTTATCCTTAAAAGCTTATTTCTTAGTTTAGAAAAATTATTTTTTGCTAAGCGGCATCGAACCCGCATCCCCCAGTCATGCGAACTAACTACTAAACCACTTAACCAAACTTTAATTTTTTTCGGCAATTTTTGCTTCAAATTTTCCTAATTATTTTCAGAATTGATTCTCCATTCCCAGAATTGTTAAAACTTGCAAACGAAACAGATCTCAATTCAATGACTCATGAACAACATTCACATACACCTTATGTTTTGTTATATTTTAAAGCTATTGAAATTTGGAAAGAAAGGTTTTTTTAATTTTTATTGAGACTGATTACTTTAGCGGGGATAGACTTTAAAATTAATTTTGGAACCTTTTTTATGTATTTATTGGGGTTTTTTGCCTCTTGTTTAGTTTATGAGTCCAATCAAGCTTTAGGCCTCTTTTATATTTTAATTAGACTCGTTCAGAGTCATACTTTTTCTTTGGACTTCAAACTTTTTGTGTGGACTTGGAAGCTTCTATTGGACTCATAAAGATTCAGTGGATTCATAACAAGTCCGAGCAGTTTTTTGGATAAATTCTACAAAATATCTGTTCCCAAATGGTGCCCAATGTGTGTATAAAATAAAATTTCCCCTTAGTTCTTCTTCAAAGGTCTTTTCTCTCTCTCTCTTTCGTCAAAATGGACCGACTCAGATCGAATTATCGAGTGCGGCCTAAGATATTTGACCCTAAAGTGACTCGTACCGGTCCGACTCGATAAAAACAAGCTCGAAAAAATGCCTCGACCGTCGGCCCAACTCGAAAACGGCAACCCTAACATGATAGTTGCTTCTTGTTTTTTAAGAACACTCAAAAAAATCAAAAAATATTTGTAAAAATAAATTTTAGACATTCAATTGCCCAAAATATTGAAGAAATGGAGGAAGGAGCAAACAAACTTTCATTCTTTCCAAATATTAAAGACTACAAAACTCGAAAAGAAATTGAAAAAATTTTGTTAGAAATGAGACAACCTGACGATAAAGGACGTTTGGATGAAGAAAATTTTATGGAAGCAACGAGGAATTTGTTAAAAAGTTTGGGAAGGACTCAGGTTATTTTTTTTAATTTTTCTGAAAGTTGTGAGGCATTCTGATAAGAGCTGTCCGCAATTGCGTGTTTTTGATTACGGATTGTGTTTGCGGATTTTAAAATTAAAATTGCGGGTTGCGGCTGAGGAAATTTTTTCAATTGCGGGCATCTCTGTTCTCATCGAGTCTTCAAATTTCTTGATCTCTAGTATGTATTTGTGCTTTTTTGAAATTTTTTGGCTTTTTGTTTTTCCAAAATTGAGGTTTTCCCTGACTATAGGATTAACGGGGGATTCGAGCCCAGTTCAAAATTTTCGATCTCTAGAACTTTTTTTTGCTATTTAGGTCTATAGAGTATGTAAAATTTAGAGTGTCGTATTTTTTGCGGATAAGAGTGCAATTTTTTATTTTTTTTCGTGATTATGAAATTTCTGCAGACTTGTCTTAAAATTTTTTCGATTCCTTCACTAATCATTGCTTCACCTCATTCATACATATATCTTTTAAAAGATCCTCCAAATTTTAGGTACCCTCAAATGTTTCCAAAGTTTTGGATGACCCAAAAATCAATTCATCTTGTAATGTCTCCAAATATTCAAAATCTTCTACTTTTAATTTATTTTGGCTTTTTTGCTCAGCTTTAAATAAATTTATTTCGAAATATGGCCATATGCCTATATCTGGACAACTTCCTGATATGACTAGTGATTCTAAAAGATATGCTCTATTGTTGGGGATTTACAGGTTTTTTTTGTTTAAATTTTTTAAAAAATGAAAGGAAAGGAAAAAAATGTCCGTAAGTTTTTGTCATTGATTAGACATACATATTTTTGCGGACAGATGTCAATTGTCCGCAAAAATATTTTTGCGGACATAAATTGGAAATAAAATTTTTCCTTTAAAATAAATTAATACATAGTTGCCTTTCCATAAGGGAAAAGTCTGAAAAATTTTTGCGGACTCCTAAATCTTGGTAGGAAAAAAAATCAAATTCATCTTGTAATGTCTCCAATATTTATTTTGGCTTTTTTTTGGATGATCCAAAAATCAATGACTGGAATTTTGGTAGGGTAGAGGCAAAGTATTTGTCGTTGTTTCTACTGCCTCTTGGTTCGATTCCTTCTTGTTCGTGCTTTTCTGTTTCTTTTCTCTTCAACCCTTAAATATTTTTTAACTCAAAATAAAATTAAAAAAAATTTTTTTTTTGAGCCTAAAATAAATTAATAATTAAATTTTTTTACAGAGAAAAATCATTTGAAGATGCTCAATTATTTTATAATATAATTAAAGAAATGACTGAAGAAGAAGAGGAAAATAATGGAGAGGAAGGAGGAGGAGATAATGAAGAAAATTCCAATGTAACAACAGATGAAGAAGAATTATCTAGAATGTCAACTTCAGAATTTAATGAACAACAACAAATTGATAATAATTTACTTAAAAAAAGAATTAGTGTATCTATGGAAAGTATGGATGATTATGATGATGATGATAATGAAGTTGAAGGAGGAGGAAATGGTTCTTATGGGTATATTTTTTATATTTTTGTAAATTTATAAAATATTTTGGGAAACTTTTTCGATTTTTAAAAAAAAAATTTTTTGAAAAAGAAATGTCCGCAAGTTTCAAAAAAATTTTGTCCGCAAGTTTTGTCCGCAAATAAAATTTTGTCCGCAAAAATTTTTGCGGACAAAAATTTTGTGGACAAATTTTTTCTAGCGGACAAAACCTTGCGGACCTTTTTTATTAAATTAAAAAAATAATAATTTTTTTTTTCCTGGGAAATTTTTTTCTTAATTTACATATTTAGAGAAGACTTCTCTACAGCCCATTCATTAATGGAAACTTCAAAAGAATTTAGTGAGGAACATTTACCTAAAATTACATTAGAACAATGCAAAAATTTTTGTAAAAATGCTTCAAAAATTGCTGTTCAATATGGGACTTCGCTTAGCTCTGAATTTAATGGAAATATTTTAAAGGTTTTTTTAAATTAATTTTTTTTTGGGATGAAATGTCCTTTTTTTTATTTTTTCTTCTTATTTTTATAAAATTAAGATATTTTATTTTTTGATAATTTTTGCCTTTAAAACTTCAAAAAGTATTATTTTTAGTTATATAAAGTGTTTTTTCCCTTAGCGGCATCGAACCCTCGTCCATTCACTATGCGAACTTAGTTCTAAGCCACTTAACCAAAGATGAATTTTTTGAAAATTTTTTTTAATTTTTTTTAACTATACGCCCAGCCTGGTTTTCATTTTAAATCTTCTAATTATGTTATTTTATAATTTTTTGTAACAAAAAATTCCCTTAAATTTTTCAGTCATTACTACAAAAAATTGAACCGCCCAAACTAGACGAACTTCCCCCAGTTGTTGACCCTTTAACTTGGTATATACTTTTGAGAGTTGTTGATCGATTTCAAGAAGTTAATGGACGTGTTCCTAAAGAAGAAAGTGATCTACGAGAAATGAAAAGAATTTTGGGGGAATTGTTGGGAGAAACTAAGGTTTGGATTTTTTAAATAGTGGAGAGGGGGAGAGGGGAGGGAAGGTGAAGGAAGTAAAGTTTTGATTTTAGAAAAGGTCCGCTAGAAGGGGGTCCTTTTGTGTTTTTAATAACATAAAGGGATTTTAACCAACCTTAAAAATATTTAAAAAATTTGTCCGCAACATCTGAAAAATTGTCCGCAATTTTAAAAAATGTCCGCAAGTTTAGAATTTGTCTGCAAAATTAGTCCGCAAGTTTTAAAATGTCCGTAAGTATTTCTCTGCAATCTAAAAAAAGTCCGCAGATTTAAAAATTGTCTGCAAATTTTATCTGCAAATTTAAAAATGCCCGCAAAGTCAAAAAACGACGTCCGCAAGCAATTTTGAAAAATGTCCGCAAGTTTAAAAATTTGTCCGCAAAATTTAATTATGCTCTTCTCATTATCTTTTAAAAATTTCACAAAATTTTTTTCTTCTTTCAGGACCCAGAATTAATCAAAAAACAAGAACAATTATTCCCTGATCAAATAATTGAAGAAATTTGTCGTTTTGTTGCTTCAGAATTGCATGTTATTTCAGCTATTATAGGGGGTGTTGCTGCACAAGAGGCAATAAAACTTTGTACAAATCAATATATTCCTGTAGATAATAGTTTAATTTATGATGGAAATTCACAAAATGCTACAAGTTTTAAAAATTGAGAGATTTGTTGGATTTTTTTTAAATTGTTTGGGTGTGTGTATGAATAAATAAATAAATAAATTATATTTTTGTCTTTTTTTTACGAAAAATATTTGGACAAGAAAATTTTTTTTTAATTTAACTCATAAAAGTTACGAAGTAAGAGGCCAAAAATAGGAAAGGTAGGCTGACGTAAACGATGGTCCCTTGTAAGTAGAATGGTATCGCTCTCTCGACTACTTTGACTATTTTTTTCTTGTATTCGTGAACAAGAAGAAGTTTGAATTTTGATACGAGCTTCCAAACATTGTATAAACAACTATACAAGTGCTTGTATAAGGAAAAAATGAGGACGACTTCCAAAATATTTCCATATTTCGTAAATTTACAAAAGAAAAATTTTCTAAATTCTCCTCTACGATTTTAAATTTTTTCCCTTTCTGACCATTTTGTCAGGCAATGTATTGTAGAGATATTGTATATTTTATGTGTTGGGACACTTTGAAAAACGCTAAAGGAGTACTGTAGAAGTCAGAGAAGAGAAAAGAAAAAAGGAGTGTACCAAAATTAATAGTCTAGCACCTTTCTTCTATAAAATTACCTTTATTTTAAACACCATGGAAATTTTATAATTTCTTCTTGTTTGTATGTTTTAATTTTTCACACAATTTGTGGTGGGTATTGCGACGATAGTAGTTTATTTTTGTAAGAGGGCACTTGTGTAGCCCTTTAAATTTGTTGGATTGATCAAGTTGTAGGAGGGTAATGAATGTGGGGATGTGCGTAGATTGTGTATGGGTTATGAGAGCAATGTGGGAAAATAATTATAATTGTGATTTTTAACAAATTCTGATTTTTTTCGTGAAGTTCCTGGTATAGAGACAACCTATCTAAATATTTATAAAAAAAATTTTTGAATTTTTAAAAATAAATTATTAAAAAAATCAATTTTTTGCTTCTATTATTGTTTCCCAGGCCTTCTAATTAATTTCCAATTTTGATTAATAAATTGTTGTTCCAATTCCTCCAAAGATTTGTCTTTAGTTTCTGGTAACCACAATAAAGAAAATATTAAAGCAAAAATGTTTAGAGCAGAGAAAGCTAAAAATGTCGGCCCAATTCCAAAATTACTTGAAGAAATTGGGAAAAATATTCCAACTAGGGCATTTGATATCCACAATATAAATGTGCTGATGCTGATAGCTAATCCGCGAATTTTTAGTGGAAAAATTTCTGAGAGTAGAAGCCATGTTATAGGCGAAATGGAGCCCTTTTAAAGAAAATTTTTTTGGAAGCATGTTTCTGATTTTTTTGAGCTTGCTTCAGGTTTTTTGAGCATGCTTCAAAGCATGTTTCAGATTTTCTGAAAGATTTGTAACTTGCTTCAGATTTTTTAAGATTTGTTTGTAAATTTTTAAAGCATATTCTGATAGTTTGAAGCAGCTTTTGAAACCTTGAAACATGTTTCTGAATTTTTAAAACTTGTTTCTGCTTTTTTGAAACATGCTTCATATTTCTTGAAACTTGTTTCAGATGCTTCACAATTTTTGAAACATGCATCTAATATTTCAAGCGTGCTTCACATTTTCTTGAAGCATGCTTCTTCATATTTTTAATATGTATTTGCTAACTTGTTGAAAAGCCAAAAAGATAACGCTTAGGCAGAGCACCAAAATTCCTTTTGCTGTCCCATTATTAAGAAACAATTCACTTAGGCCAATTAATAAGTGAACGATTATTATACAAAATTGAGCAATTATAAACATTTTGCGACGAGAAATTTTTCCAAGTAGCCAAATGCTTGTTGAAGTGGCCAAAACAGAAATTAGCTTAATTGGGAGGGAAAGAGTTTATTTTTTATGGATGAGGGGATGTAGGAGTTGTAGGAGGTGTTGGGAAGTAATTATGAGCGTTTGAGGGAATGTTGGTGATTAGTAAGTAAAGAACATGGAGTAAAGAAAACAGGATGGAAGGGAGCATGCTTCTGAGTTCCTGAAGCATGTTTCAGATTTTTAGAAACATGATTCAGATTTTTTGGAATGCTTCGGATTTTTAGAAACATGCTTCAGATCTTTTTGAAGCATTCTTTAGTTATATTTCAAAGTCGGAAAGTAATATAGCCCGAAGGGGACATCAGGGAAGGTTTAAGTTGAGAAAAAAAGTTTGCTTTACCCCATTAGCAATATTTGCCATTAAAGCAATTTGATTTGAAAAGCCTGTTTCTCTAAGAATTTCTGTTCCATAAAACATTATTGAATTGACACCTACACAAATTTATTTACAAAATATTTTTTAATTAAAAGAATTAACCAGTCACTTGATTACACAAAGCAATCCCAATTCCAACTAACAAACAACGATATATCCATCTAATTAAAAAATCATTTTTGTTTCGAGTTACTGAATCTCATTATAAGATACACTCTCGGAGCTGAAAAATTGTACCTTATAACGAGGTGTATATTAAATAGAGGTCTCTTAGTGGAGGAACTACCAGGCAACTCCCCCAGTGGAGGAACTACTAGGCAGATAAAGGTAGTATACTGAAAGGGTATTGAAAGAGTATATGTAGGCTGAAAGGAACATAGTCTACGTGTCCAAATGGAACATGGATGAATCTTTGTTACTGATACCCTATAACGAGGGGTATATTAAATAGAGGCATTATTCATTTATGTACATTATTCACTCATATAATGAGGTCCAACTAATAAATAAGCCCCCACCTTTCATTCAAAAGCATCGTTAGAATATCCACCTTTTCTTCATTTATTTTTCTATCATACTCTACTAATTTCTCAACTTCCTCCAATTCATTAATTGCCTGTATTTCACTCTCTCTTACTTGTTTAAGCACTTCCAATGCTTGTTTTGTGTTTGAGGTTGATATTAGCCAACGGGGGCTTTCTGGAACTACTAGCCACGTCCCAAACATTAATCCTAAAGCTGGTATAATTCCTAGTACAAGCATCCAACGCCATATTTGTGGACTAAAATCAGTTTATTTTGTTTTGTGACAAAATAATATTTTGACAAAATGAGTAGGAACATATGTAGTCCGAAGGGAACATTGGCAGTCCGAAGGGAACATAGGTAGTCCGAAAGGAACATAGGTAGTCCGAAGGGAACATAGGTAGTCCGAACGGAAAATAGGTAGTCCGAAGGGAACATAGATAGTCCGAACGGAACATAGGTAGTCCGAAGGGAACATAGATAGTCCGAACGGAACACAGGTAATTCGAAGGGAACATAGATAGTCCGAACGGAACACAGGTAATTCGAAGGGAACATAGGTAGTCCGAAAGGAACATAGGTAGTCCGAAGGGAACATAGTAGTCAGAAAGGAACACAAGTAATTCGAAGGGAACATAGGATGCTGAGTTAATTAAAAATTTCAACTAACTCATCTGCCCAAATAGTTCCAAGTATAGCATTACTAAGGAAGGCAACAAATTGCCCTAGAACAATCATCAATTCATTACGAGTAACCATTTGCCCTCTTTTCTCAGATGGAGCCAATTCTGCAAGTAAAATAGGAACAACTGCAGAGGCACAACCAACAGCTAATCCTAACAATAATTTTGCAAAAAGCATAAACTAAAAATTTAAAAATTGAAACAATTGATCCCAAAATTGGAAAAACTATTAAATTATTTCAGGTTTTATGAAACAAGTTTCAAATTTTTTAGAAGCATACTTCAGGATTCTAGAAACAAGCTTCAGGTTTTTAGAAACATGCTTCAGATTTTTTGAAAGATGGTTCATGTTTTCAGAAGCATGCTTCAGGTTTTTTAAAACATGCTTCATATTTTTAGAAGCATGCTTCAGGTTTTTGAAACATGCTTCAGATTTTTAGAAGCATGCTTCAGGTTTTTAGAAGCATGATGTAAAATAAAGAAACCATTAAATTAGGTGAAAGAGAAGAAGCAAGAGTTCCCAAAATAAATACAAAACTGTTAGCAAGAGTTACAAGACGACGGCCAAATTTGTCTTGAAAATGCGAAGAATTGTGAGAAGATTTCGAAATACTTTGAGTAATTTACCCGCCAAATGCCCCCCAATTAAAGCACCAAAAGCAGCGCCAACAAGTAAAGTACCCGTTATATACCCAACCTCTACAGATTTAAGTTGGAGATCTAGTTGAATAAAGCTGGAAGCACCATTAGTTACACCGGTAGAATAACCGAAGAGAAGGCCACCTTTGAAAATTTTTAAATTTCTAAACCCTAAAGGCATAGTTAATGTAGTGAAAGGAATAAGAGGTGAAGGAAGCAAAGGTGACGGGAACACAGGGTGGTCGGAAGGGAACATGGGGTGAAGGAAACATCGGTAGTCTTAAAGCAACATAGGGTGGAGGGAACACAAGTAGTCTGAAGGGAACACCGATTGAAGGGAACATAAGTAGTCTGAAGGGAACATTGGGTGAAGGGAACGTGCAGTCCGAAGGGAACGTAGGGTGAAGAGAACATGATTGGGCTTTTATTAATTAAGAAAATTAGTTACCCAAAGTACAAATCAAGGAAACTAGAAAGAGATATTCAGCATTATTTTCACTCAAACATTTTGTCAGAAGCATTTTTTGGAATAGAGAAAATATTTAAAAATTTGTGTGATATTTGAATTTAAATTTTTTAAATTTTTGTGTTTATGGGAAAATAATTTTTAAGAGTTTCTGGCTTATCTTTTTAAATTACTTGCCTTCCAAAAAATGTGAGGGTATTATAAAAGAATTATTTTTATCTCCATATTGTTTGCTTAAAATATTTTTATAATTAAATTCCATTCTTTAAAAGATAAGAGAACAAATTTTGGGGGAAAAATTTGGGGGAAAAAAGAATTTTAAAAATTAAATTTATAAAAATTAACTGTGAACGCCATAACGCTTACAAACGCAAATTTAAAGTTTGGCGTTTTCCTTCCACAAAAAAAGGTTTATTGCGCACACAAGAAAGAATACATTATTTAAATTAGAGTAGGTCGAGGTCGAGGTTTTTTGAAAAAACCGAGACCGAGGATCACCGAGGCTGGAAAAGCCGAGATCGAGGTCGAGGGGCAAATTTTGGCCGAGAACCGAGGTCGAGGTTCGAGGATTACCGAGGGTTTTAAAATTTTTTTATAAAACTTCGAAATTTCCCAAATTTTATCAATTTATGCGCCGCAGGCGAAAATTTTAGTCATTCTGGAAGGCCTAAATTGAAAAATTCAGGTGTTAGACCCAGAGGCAAAAATTTTTTGAAGGTTAGATGGTCATGAAGTCAGAACTCTTCAATTTTCTGAGCCGCAGGCGAAAATTTTGTGAAATTCTTGACCAAATTAAAATTTTTAAAGTGATTTCAAGTTAAAATTTTGAAAAAATAAAGTACACATTTAAAATCAAAATCAAAGTTAAAAATTTATATTTTTGGAAAAAAAAATGTCAAAAAATCTTATTTTCGAATCATGGATTCGTACCCAGTCCCACAGAATATCAAAGTTAGTACTTCCTTTTGAAAATTTTTAGAATTTTGGAAGCCCAGGTCACCAGAAATAGTTCTTATATATCCCTAACCCCTTTCTTCAGGGGGTTAGTCGGCGTTGGGCCCCAAGAGTGGTAACCCACCCTTGGGGCGCGCCGATCCACCTATTAAAAACGAAGGCCTTCTTTTTAACCTTTTTATTCAACAAATATAATTAATAAATAAAAGGCGAGAGGACAGGCCAACTTTTGATCGGGCCCAGAACTAATTAATGAGAAAGTAAGTTGATTTGGCCTATTCTCTCTCGCCTTTTATGAGGCGCTAAAAATGGGCGTTTTATAATCTTAACTATGACATTCTATACGCGGGGGTGGGGGATACAACGGAAAAAGCGGATAAATAAAAGTGCGGAAAATGTGAAATGAAATTCTTATTTTCTTTATCTGAATAATCTTTCTTTTCTTGTTTGTCATTTCTTTCTAGTCCGGTGTGCTTCTTGTCAAGATTTTGTCATCCTCATTCTTTGCTTCTATTCTTTTAGCAATCAAATCTATCCCGCGCAAAACGTAATTTCACTTCAACAAATTCCTGCACTTGTATGCATTAGATCAAGAAAATTTTGGCGAAAACGGAAAAAAATGTGTATGTGTCAATGGAGCGCCAATCCAAGTAAATGTCCTTTCTCTTCCTCTCCTGGGGGTTCAGCAAATAAGTTTATTTCGAAAAATGAATCCCGTCGCCAAATGTTTTTTTAATACTCCTGAAAATCTGTTCCGTCCGTGGGCCAGTTCTGATATCCTTGATCCTGACAATATTCCTCTCCCCAGTCCTCATTACTCTCATGTGGAAACCATTGGCCTTCTTCATCGTCATAATTTTGGTCATTGTCATAGTATGAGTCAAAATTTGGGTCAATCTGTTCACCCCAATTTTCATCATCCTCTTCCCAATTCTCACTACATCCGGTTGGCTCCTGGAATTGCTCCTCATGGTAATATTGTGCGTCATTTTGGCATGAATCCCTAACTTCATTAACCTCCGCTAGCGCCGCCTTAACTTCTATTTTCTCCAGTCTTTTCCTTGTCTCATCTTTAATTGTCCGATTTAATTCATCAACCCTTTTTGCCTGCGCTATTGCTTCCGCCAATGAAGAGGGCGCTTTCATAAAAATAACCTTTTCCCTAAGTTCAGGTAACATTCCGGCTCTAAATCTCTCCATGCAAATTTCCTCCTTAAACCTTTTGACCATTTTTTCATTTTCCCCCTTCAAGCCTGTCCTTTGTTCATCATCTAATTTAATTGAAGCAAGGTCCATTCCAAACGCATTCTCAGGATAAGCTACTTCCACTAGATTCTTTAAATCCATTGCAAATTCTTCTAATCCTTCGCCCATCTCCTGTCTCCTTTCCACTAATTTTATGCGTGCGCTTTCCTTATTTGATATCTTTTTTAGCCTCCCTGCCAAGCTTTCTACAAGTGTCTTCCACCGCGACTTTTCATCCACGGGCATTGATTCATAAATCGCTAGTGCAGACCCTTGTAGATAAAGCGGCAATATTTGGCTACATCTCGCGGGAGTCCAATTGTGTGCAGTCGCAATCCGGTTGAAAGCCCTTAGATAGCTCAAAAAATCTCCATTGCCATCAAAAAAGGTAGGGTATGGAAGTCCACTTGAGCTCGTACCAATAATATTTCCTTTATCTTTCGTATTGTCCCCTTCTAATCCTGAAATATCCTCTTCTTTCATCAGAAGCCTTCTATTAATTTTCTCTAGACAGTCTTTGTCCGGACTTGATTTATTTTATAATTTCCAATTTTATTTCAATGCTCGACTTTTCCTAACACTTCAAATAATATTTCCTCTTTTAGCTAGCTTTTCGCCCACAGTAGGGGAACCAGAAGTGATTCTGCAGTAATTACCTTTGATCTGTTAGGAAAATGATCGAGCTCTTATTTCTCAATTTGTTTTTCCACGTGCACGTTTTTTAAGCTTTTATTCCAAGACTGGCTATAAATTCTACAAGAGGCCTGATTCAAGAGATTAAATCCAGAAGTTTCCAAAATCCGCGAATAAGTGTCCTTTTTCTTTCCCAACCTTTATCCTTCTCTCACTTCAAATGCTTCGGACTTAACAATGAACTCCAACCTAAAATTTGCCGCTCTAATTGAACTCCTTCGCTTTAGCCTTGTCTCCTCTTCTCTTTTTCGTTATTATCCTCAGAAATCCCTTATGTGTTTATTTTCCTTCTGCTCCGTTTGTTCCCTCCGTGTATCTTTTGAATGAATCCTTCTGTGTGAGAAATCCTTGTGTATCCTTTGATCAAATCCGTGTATGAAAATTTCCTTCGCTCCGGCTCTTCAGTAATCAAATGTGAGCCAAATTGGCAGATTGAAAACTCCTTTTTATAGAAATTTTTCCTTCACTTGGGTCACGCCTAAAACTTGCTCGCGCAAAATTTCTTTGTTGTAATGTCACAAGAAATAGTTGTAATTCTTGTGGTAAGAAATTTTGGCGTTCCCAAATTCTTCTTATTTGCCCACTTCCGGACAATATGCGCGTTGCTGCAAAAGAAGGAGTCAAAAAAAAACTAGTTTAATATATAGAAAAAAATTTTCCGATCGCCAAAATTAAGTTGATTGATGGGGAGAAGAAATGATTTTTTTAAATAAAATATTTTAAGAATATTTTTAGCAATATTTTTTGGGTGGAGTAGGATTTTTTTTCAATAGGTGGAGAAAATTACAGGAGCGCCATCTTATATATCCCTAACTTCATTCTTCAGGGGGTTAGTCGGCGTTGGGCCCCAAGAGTGGTAACCCACCCTTGGGGCGCGCCGATCCACCTATTAAAAACGAAGGCCTTCTTTTTAACCTTTTTATTCAACAAATATAATTAATAAATAAAAGGCGAGAGGACAGGCCAACTTTTGATCGGGCCCAGAACTAATTAATGAGAAAGTAAGTTGATTTGGCCTATTCTCTCTCGCCTTTTATGAGGCGCTAAAAATGGGCGTTTTATAATCTTAACTATGACAATAGTATTAAAAATTCCGATTTTTCAAAAAATTTCCGGAATCGGGAACGGGAATTCCCAATGAAATTTTAATTTCCTATTCGGGAAATCGGGATCCCGACCCAGAAAAAAGTCGTGAGTTTCCGCTTTTCGGGAATCGGGACGACTAATTCCCTGATATATACCTAAAGCTGGAACGGAGCCGGCCGCATTTTTCTGGATTAACCTTCTTAATATAAGCCAATTTCTCATTTCAGCGCCGCAGGCGAAAATTTTGGTAATTTACAAAGCCGATAAGCTTAGATTCTTCCTTTTTTAGCGCCGCAGGCAAAATTTTGTGAATTTTTTGAAGGAAAATAGGGCAAAATTCTTCTATTTCTGTTAAAAAAGTCAATCTTTAGGGGTGTATATTTACCCTCGGTCCTCGGCGAGGTTTTGGGCGAGGACCGAGACCGAGGTTCCGAGGCCCGAGATTAGCAAAATCGAGGTCGAGGTTTGAAAATGGGCGAGGACCTCGGCCTCGGCCTCGGCGAGGCCTCGACCTACTCTAATTTAAATTAAATACATATACAACAACCACAAACTACAAATTAATGACTAAAATTATCTTCCTCCTCTTCCACTTTTTTCTCTTCATCATTATCTTCCTTATATTCTTCCTCATATTCTTCATAATTTTCATCTTCATCATCAAAAATTTCTCTTTCTTCCTTTACCTTCTCATCAGTCTTCTTTTCCTCCTTTACTTCTTCCTTCCCCTCCTTTGCTTCTTTCTTCTCTTCCTCCCTCTCTTCCTTCCCTTTTTCTCTCTCTTCCTTTTCCCCCTCCTTCTCTTCATTTTCTGGAGAAAGCGTCTCGGAAGAAGACGAATAGGAAGAATAACTTTCTTCTTCATCTATACTTGTTGTGTCATTCGTAGTTGTTTCTCCCTTCGTTTCGTCTTTACTTGTCCCTTCCGTTGTCTCTTCTTTCTCCGTTATTGAAGATGATTGAGTGTCTTCGTTACCAGTGCTGGAGGTTATTAAAGAAGAATCCGAGAAAACGCTGCTTGCCAAACTCTGAAAAGATTAATTTTTGACATTTAAGATTTATGGGGGTTTGGCGTTTTGAAAGTTTTTGGGGGCTTGGCGTTTTGAAAATTTCTGGCGGTTTACCATTTTGAAATTTTTCTGGGGTTTTACCATTTTGAAATTTTTCTGGGGTTCTACCATTTTGAAATTTTTCTGTGGGTTTTACCATTTTGAAATTTTTCTGGGGTTCTACCATTTTGAAATTTTTCTGTGGGTTTTACCATTTTGAAATATTTCTGGGGTTTTACCATTTTTAAATTTTCTCGAGTTTTTGACATTTCGATATTTTTCAATTTTCCCAATTTAAAAAACCTACCGTTTGACTTGTTTCTTCCTTCACAGTTTTCATTCGAACCCGGTCGTCGATTTTCAAGCTCTTCTCCAAAGATTCCTTCACTTTTTGCTGTATTTCATCGAGATATTTTCTTCCTCCTCCCATCTCTTCTTTCTTCTTTTTCCCATCTTCCTTCACCTCAATAGCTGTATTTTCTGACTTATCTTCAAGAGTAGACGACTCCTCTTTTGAAAGGGAAGACGGGCATTTCTTCACTCTCTTCATCCTTCCCATCATTTCCTCATCCCTCTTCTTCTTCTCTTCCTCCCTCTTCCTCTTCTTCATTTCCTCTTCATCTTTCTTCCTTTTCTCAGCTTCCTTGTTTGTTTTTCCCAACCCAATAGTTTCTTCTAACAATGCCAAATCCTCTTCTTGCCGTTTTCTTATTCGGATGAGATAACGACTGATAAGGTAAAACAGAAGAGTGCTTAAAAAAAAGAAGCTTTTCTAATCCTTTTAAATTTTAAGGGTTCAAAAAGCTCGTACATTATAAGATAAACAGCAGCTATGACTGCAAATCGAGTCCAGTTTAAAGTTCTGAGCCAGTTTACATGTTGAGGATCATCTTCTGATGTCATGTACCTTAAAAAATGAGAGATTTGTGTGTTTGCTTGAAAGAAAAATCTTAGATTATGGGGGTATCTTAAATACAGGGTATCGCTTAGAGAGAGCTCCCCCACCCAATGGCCAATCAAAGTACCATAATTAGAGGTGTCTCTATTATTGAGGATATCTAAAAACGAGGTTCACCTCTCGTAGTCGTCGTCCTCTCCTGTTGCTTTTCTATGTTGACCACCATTATTGTTGCCTCTATTAACCATTTGAACATTAGCAGCATTGTAGACGTTTTGTTGGAGCTGGACAAGGAGAATAAAAATGAAGAAAATTAAATTTTGTTTGTAAAACATTTGTTGTTGTGTTGATAGGTGTTTTGGAAGAGAAATTGTTTTGAATAAATTTTGGAGGGTTTTTATAGTGTTGTTGAAACATCTTTTCGTTAAGCATGCTTCAGAATTTTTCAAAACATTGCTTCAGATTTAACAAACAAAAAAATAATTCAGAATTTTAATCAGAATATTAAATCAGAAAATGAAAATTAGAATAATCAGAATACTTAGGTGAGAATTAAAAATCAGAACTTAAAAATTTAAGAATATCAGAATTTTAAAAATCAGAATTTTAGAAATCAGAATTTCCTCAAATAAAAAATTCAGAATTTTAAATATCAGAATTTCAAATATCAGAATTTTGTACCAGAATTTTTAAATTCGACATAAAAGTTTACAAATCAGAATTTAATAGATTTAGGAAGTAAGTTTATATTTATAAAACCAGAATTTAATTTTTTTTCACAATTTAAAATTTTGGTCAATCAAAATCACACAAAAATACAAAATTTTATTTAAATAAATTTTTAAATTAAATTCTAATTATTTTAAAAAATAATGCATTTTTGGACTAATTAAAAAATAATTTTTTTATTATTATTGGCTTGTAGTGTTCCAACAAAAAAATATAGGATATGTTTAATAGCCTGGTGGAGTTCTTGGTTTTGGACAATGATCTAAAAATTAAATTTTTTCTCCAGAATATTTCTAATTTTAACTCACCGCATGATCCAACAGATCCATTTGGACCGGGAGGACCTTGAGGGCCGTGTTGACCAGGCTTTCCATAAGGCCCGGGATTGCCTGTAAATTGTGCATTTATTAAAGTCGAAGCTTATTATAAGATACTCCCTTCGGGCTTAGAAATCGTATCTTATAATGAGGGGTACATTAAATAGAGGGTATCGTTTAGGCAGCTCTTTATCCAAGCTTCCATTCAAGTTGTTAAACTTCCAATCTTATTGAAGGTTCTTGGAAACTCTTCGGATATCCGGGACAAAAGGTTTTCTTTGGTTCCGGTTCAGAACCAATAGCCTACTCGGAAATTTCAAAAGAACGTATCTTAACCTGAGTGAATATAGAATTTTGGGAGTTTTTATTAAAGGAGATCTTTCCAATTTTATTTTTTACCTTGATCGCCTTGAGGTCCTTGCGGTCCAGGTTCTCCTGGTTTGCCTTAAAATAAAATTTTAAAATATATAAAATCAAAAGTATTAAATAACCTTTTTCTCCTGGAGGTCCAGGTAATCCTGGTGGGCCCTAAAAATTTTTTAAATAAATTTTATTTAATTAAGGGTCATAGGCACAGAAGATTTTTTATTGAAAAATTTATTATTTCAAATCAACCCACCATTTCACCAGGCCTTCCTGGTGGTCCGGGTGGTGCAACTCCAGGTACATGCTTGCCAGGCTCTCCCTAAAAATTTTCAAAACTTTTTTTAGAAATTTTTTGAAATCTTTTACTTTGTCCCCAGGCCTTCCGGGCATTCCAGGCGGTCCCTGTGGACCTTGTTTGCCAGCAGGACCTCTCGGACCAGGCTTTCCAGCTGCTCCAGGCTCTCCCTGCTCTCCGGGATATCCTTTGGGTCCTTTATCTCCTTGACTTCCAGGCGGTCCTGGTGGGCCTTGAGGGCATTCGCGGACACAAGGAGTTGCTGGGGCTGCCGGTGGGGCGTCTAAAAACAATTTTTTTAATTAAAATTAATTTATTTGGAGGAACCTTGTCCTGGCTGTCCATTCTGTCCAGGACTGCCGTCTAAAAATTAAAAAAAAATCTTCTGATTTTTTCTGAAACAATCAGAAATTTTTTTTATTAAAGTTTCCACCTTTGCCCGGCGTTCCATCCACGCCTGGATCACCTGGGGGACCGGCAGGTCCAACTTGACAGCCACAACCTTTAAAGATTAGATTTTTGTTCTATTTATTTATTTATATTTTACATTCCTCTCCACCACTAGAAGCAACAGGCGCTGAAGCTACTGGGGCGGAGGGTGCTGGGGCATAAGCTGCAGATGAGGATTCTGCCTTTAATTAATTTGAGTTATACTTGAAAATCTGAATTTTAAAAATAAATTTTAAATCAGAATTTCAGAAAAAATCAGAATTTAAAAAAATCAGAATTTCAGAAAAATCAGAATTTCAGAAAAAATTAGAATTTAAAAAAAATCAGAATTATAGAAAAATCAGAATTTCAAAAAATCAGAATTTAAGAAAAAATCAGAATTTCAGAAAAATTTAAGCCCATGTCAGACTTATTAAAAAATATTTTCTAATTAACTCAACAGCTTCACTAGGTGCATTATACGAAGATGGTTGTTGTCTTCTAATTTCCCTCCCTTGTAGAGGAATATTATTATTATTATCGCCGTCTTGAATAAAATGCCCAAAAAGCCATCTACCATTGCCGTTAGCAGAGTTACTGCCCCGTTTAAGTCGGTGAACGTGTTCCATTTGGCCTTTATTTGTTTGGACACCAACAACTTCTGACAGTATATGTCGATTACTGCTCTTTAAAAGCATTAAAAATTTCAAAAAAAATTAATTTGCAAACTCGGCAAAAGTCAATATCGTTGCTAATAGAAGACTGGACCCGCTGAATATATTGGCAAGCTATTGGCATTAATAATACACAAGATAACATGGATACTGTAGAAAGAGCAACGGCGACAAAAGCGATCCGGCGAAAATGCCTAGGAAAAAGTTGGTAAACTTGAGAAATCAGAATTTTATTTTTTAAAATACTTGTTTCAGAATTTTATAAACTTAAGTTTAGGCTTATTTAATAAAACTTGGAAATCAGAATTTTAAAAATAAACTTGTTTAAGAAACAAACTTGTTTTAATAAACTTGAATTATTTTCAGAATAATTAAAAATCAGAATTTCAAGTTTATTTTAAAACTTTCAAGTTTATTTCCAAGTTTTAATAAAAATTCTGTTTTATATTTAATAGAAATTCTGGTAAGTTTCAAGTTTATGCTTTCAAATAAAAAATCAGAATTTTTCTAAAAATAAACTTGGAATCAGAATTTTTATACCTCAGATCATTTTCACTGAATTCTCCAGCTTTTGTCTTATCTATTTGAGTAGCCATTGGCTGAAAATAAGAATATATTCAGATAATTTTTATGTTCTATTTTTCTCGATTTTTACGGTCACTAATTTTATTAGAAAGTGAACAAGTTTGTGTAGAAGCGGGAATTTTGGGAAAGGAATGGGGGAGAAAGAAAGTAAAATAAGCAAAAGGATGGATATATAACTCAGGAAGTGCTCATCGAATCTGCTTTATAACGATCGAGCATTAATGAGGAATATAAGGAAAATTGGGGAAGAAGAGGAGGTGAAAAGCAGTGCTAGAAAATTGGTGTGCGCAAAAAAGTTTGTGAGGGTTTTTAAAGAAACAGTCTTCAGGAACTTAAATAAACTTGAAACAAAAATCAGGACTTTAGGAATAATAATCAGAAACTTAAATAAACTTGAATCAGAAACTTGAATAAATTCAAGTTTACAAACTTGAATTATTTTCAGAACAAACTTGCTTCAAGTTTAAATGTTAATAAATAAACTTGAATTATTAAAATCAGAATTTAGCAAACTTGAATAAATCAGAATTTTTACTCTAAATAAACTTGAAATCAGAAACTCAAGTTTATTTAAAAATCAGAATTTTAAATAAGAAGTTTTTGCGCACAGCAATGATTTCCAAGCATTGGTGAATATTAGCGCGAATCGCTACGTCGACAAGCAACTGAGAGAGTGATTTGAGGGAAAATTAAATGAGGAGAGAAGAAGCTCATTCCCATCTTCCCTATTTTTCTTTAATTCCGTGAAGATGGAATGCGGACAAAAACAACAAGAAAATGAGTGAACACGAACAAAACAAGGAAAATGGATTGTTTTTTCTCTCCTTTCTACTCATATAAAAATTTTTTAGGGACGGACACCCATTGTGATAGTTACTAATTAATAGTTTTGTTATAGCCGGCTTAACTGGCCTTTTTTTTATTAAAAAGGGGAAGGAAATTAGGGAAAGTATTTTTACATTAATTAATTAGATAGATCCCTAGTACTGGAATGAAAAATTAAAAAAAGAAAAAACATCTAGAAAAATACAATATTTAAGGTATCATAAAAGAAACAAAAATTAATTTAAAAAATTAAAGTTAAAACGCCTATTTAATTAGTTTTGGCGTTTTTATTTGTTAAAAAATGTTTTGCGCACAGCAAAAATATTCAAGTTTATTTTACTCTATTTTCTGGTTAAAAAAAGTTTTAATTTAATTCTGATTTTAAAAAATTCTGGTTTTAAGCAAGTTTATTGTAATTCTGATTAAGATTCTGGTTTAAATTAATTGGTTAGTTATTCTGATTAAGTTTATTTCTGTTCTGATTTTAAAAAAAAAGTTTTATTTTAATTCTGGCTTAAAGCAAGTTTTAATTAAATTCTGATTAAATTAAATTCTGATTAAAGGTGTGTACGCTTTTAAAATAAAACTTTTTTTCTTCTGATTAAATAAATAAACTTGAAGCAACGGAAAAACTAAAATAAAATCACGATATAATGCAGTAATTGGATTAGCACTTTTTTAGGTAGAAAAATGTTTTTAAAAAAATATTTTTATAAAAATTATATTTTTATTTTTAAATTAAAAGTGCTAATGTGTGTGTATATTTATTTTTAACCATTTTATATATTTTTTATTTTTTTATTTTTCCTTCTATAAAATAGCAAGTTTTGGGGAAAATCTTTCTAAAAATTCAGGAATTTACTTGAATAAAATAAAAAAATAAAAAAAAACGTTAGAACATTAAAAGAGAGGATTAATGACCAAAAAAGTAATAAATAAATGCTTTTTTAGATAAAATCAGAAAATAAAAAAAATTATTTTTATTTTAAGCCTTGAGGGATAGATTTAATTAATAATCCGTGTTTTGTTATTTTATTTATTAAAATAACAATAAGAAGAAAAAATATGTATGATTTGTGAAGTGTCAGAATTTTGATAAAACCAGAATTTAAAAATTAGAATTTTTATGAGATCAGAACGTGAAAAATTAAAATTTAATGAAAATCAGAATTTTAAAAATTAAAACTTTTAAAAATCAGAATTTTTGTTTATCAGAATTTTTAACTAACCAGAATTTCAAAAATCAGAATTTAAATATAAGCATTATTTCCAAAAATCAGAATTTTTATAAAAATCGGAATTTCCAAAAATCAGAATTTAAATAAACAGAATTTAAAAATCACAATTTCTTTGAAAGCAGAATTTATAAAAATTTTATTTCAAGGAATCAGAATTTTAAAAACCAGAAATTTCAAAAATCAAAAATTTCCAAAAATCAGAATTTTCAGAAATCAGAATTTTTATAAAATCAGAATTTTCAGAAATCAGAATTTTTATAAAATCAGAATTTTAAAATACTATCAGAATTATTACATCATGAAAACAAAGTTCAGAATTATTTTCCCTCAACAGTTACAATGTCGAACTTGAGTGAGAAAATATTATATTTGACATTTGAATTTTTAATTTCAATTATTATTAATTTTCCTTGTTTATGGGAAAATATTTTAAAGTTTTCTGGTTAAAAATTTGTATTTTACAAGTTTTTTTCTATTTTAAGAGTGATGGAATTTAACAACTTTTTAGTGAGATTTTCAATTTTTAGAAATTTTTACCCCTTTTTTGATGTCTGATTTTCTAAAATTTTTTGTCTCGAAACAACTCTGATTCCCATAATGTACCTACTTAAGGCGAGGTCTATTTTTTATTCTTGTCTGAAAAAATAATTTTTGTTTCAGATGTTGATATATTTAAATTAATTATAAATATATAAGTTAAAAATAAACGGATTAACTTGAAGCTTAAAAAAGAAACAGAAAAATTTTTTGTATAATTTAATAATACTACCATATAATTTGTCAAGGTATAAATATTGAAGCATGTTTCTATTAATAAACCTATTTCTGATTTTATTTTGTATATTCCTAAAATTTCTTGAAACTTGTTTCTACTAATTTTAAGCCTGCTTCAGATTCATTTATGAAATTTGTTTCAATTTTTTGAAACTTTGCTTTACATATTTTTGAAGCATGCTTCATGTTTATTTTTTGAAACATGCTTCAGTTATTTCGAAACTTAATTTTTTTGAAACATGCTTCAAGCTTATGTTTGTAGCTTGCTTCAAGTTTTTGAAACCTGCTTCTGATGTTTTTTGATGTTCTGATGTCTGATGCATGCTTCAGATATTTTTGAAGATGCTTCAAATTTATTTATGAAGCATGCTTAAGGACGTTGAAACTTGCTTCACATATTTTTGACCCATGCTTCATATTTTCGTAGGCTGCTTCATATTTTTAAAACTTTCTTCAGACTTTTTTAAGCATGCTTCAACTATTTTTTTAGACTTATTTTTCGAATCAGATCTCTGAAACTTGCTTCAGATCTTCTAAAACCTCGTGATTAATATTTCCCCATTTATAAAAAAAATTCTAGAAAAATAATTGGTATATCGGCACTCCTTTTTCCGTTCCTTATTTAAATTAAATAAATTTTATTAATTTAAAAATGTACAAAAATGTATAAAAACATCAAGATTATTAAATTAAATGAATTTTTAGTTAATTTAATAAAGGGATATTAATAGAAACACACACACATTAATGAACCATTAAAAATTAATTTAATAAAAAAATAATATTTTTTAGCTTCGGCATTTTTAAAAAATATTCCGTCAAATACTTGACTTTAAAAATTTCTTAGAAATAAAATAAAAAATATTTCCAACCCTCCCTAAACGATAGAAAGTTTCAGGGAGAGGTGGTGTTAAGAAAGCAAAGTATCGGTGATGCGACGTTGGTTTAGCACTCATAAAATATTCTTTTGAGCACCTAGAAGGCTGAAATTTTGCAGGGATATTCTCAATACTGTTATCCAGTTACTCTCAAAATTTCAGAATTTTCTGTCAAATAATTCTGGAGTTCTGGTCAAAGAAGTAGCAAAAAGACAGTATTTTCTTCAAAAATTGACATTTTTGACTGTAACTTTCTTGATAGATAACCAAAAATTCTGAAATTTTATGAGAAAATGAATAAAAGTATTGAGGATATCTATACAAAATTTTAGCTTTCGAGGAGCATTTTGGACGATTTTATAGTCGATCGACCAAGACGCTACATTAATAGATAAAGAGAGGAATAATAGTCAAGAATTAATTTCAAAAAAAATTTTTTAATTAATAAATTATTAAATTTTTGCTTAGATTTCAGAATTAATTTCTAAACCTTACTTTAATTATGAATACAACTATAATTTACGCGTTAATTCGATTAGCACTTGCTTTTGTATTTTTATTTGCACAACTTGCGATTTTGCCGGTAAATCAGAATTTTTAAAATATTTTCAGAACTTCAAAAATCAGAATTTTGAAAAATCAGAATTATAAAAAATCAGAATTTTAAAAATCAGAATTTTGAAAAATCAGAATTTTAAAAATCAGAATTTTTGAAAATCAGAATTTTGAAAAATCAGAATTTAAAATCAGAATTAAACCTAATTTGCTTCATTTTTCAAGCTTTTTATGCTCTACAAAGATTACCGTCAAAATAGCTGTTACAGAATTATGTTTGGAGTCTGTATAGCAGATATTTTTCAATTATTAGCAAATGGACTTTTTATTTTGCTTGGACTCCTTAATTTTGATTTTTCTGAAGAGTTTGAAAAGGTTGGAATTTTGGATCATGTTTAAGATTTTTTGAAACGTGCTTCAGATTTTTTGAAGCATTCTTCTGAATCCTTGAAACATGCTTCTGATTTACTGAAACATGCTTTAGATTTTCTGAAACATGCTTCAGGGTTTCTCAAACATGCTTCAGCATTTTTGAAACATGCTTTAGGTTTTCTGAAGCATGCTTCAGATAATTGTTTCACATTTTATTTTCATACTTATTTTTAGTGGGGAGGTGGTATAAACGCTGCAAGTTGGAATATTCTGTTCTTTTTACAATTATTATTGGCATTGAATCGTTGCAGTGTTGTACTTAAAAACTGCTTTCTGATTTCAATAAAAGAACAAGAATTGCCATGGGAGCGTCGATTATTTAATGTAAAATAAATGAGAAAAAATCAGAATTTAAAATCAGAATCAAATAATAATCAGAATTTTCAGAAATCAGAATTTTTAGGAACAGAATTTAATAAAATCAGAATTTAAAAATCAAAATTAAAAACTTTCAATTTAAAAATCAGAATTTTCAGAAATCAGAATTTTTAAAAACAGAATTTAATTAAATCAGAATTTAAAATCAGAATTAAATAATAATCAGAATCACAGAAATCAGAAATAAATTCAGAATTCTCAGAAAGCAGAATTTTTAAAATCAGAATTTTAAAATCAGAATGCAAGAAATCAGAATTTAATAAAATCAGAATTTAATAAGATCAGAATTAAATACTAACCAGAATTCTCGGAAATCAGAATTTTTAAAAATAGAATTTTGAGAAATATTCAGTAAATCAGAATTTAAAAATCAAAATTAAAAACTTTCAATTTAAAAAAACAGAATTTTTTTCTTTTCAGTTTTTGCTACTTCTCAGCTTGTAAGTTTATCCATATCTCTCAATAAAAATATTTTTTATTAAAAAATTTAAAGTATTATCTGTGTTGGAATTGTTTGGGTATTTGTCAGTCCATATTGCGGTATTCATTTTACACGGAAATTTTATTGGAGTTATGCTAATCAGTATCCTTGGACTGAAACTGTGAGGGATATTGAATACAAATCTACTGGGTTTTTGCCGTTAATTACTTTTATTGCTTATATATCTATTGTTTGTATACTTAAATGGGTAAGTAAAAATCAGAATTTGTGAGCTAATAAAAATCAGAATTGATCAGAAAGAAAATCAGAAAATTAAATATCAGAACAACTCACAATTCTGTTCTGAAATAATTCAAAATTCTGGTTTTGTTATCAGAATATTCGGGAAACAAAGATCAGAAAATCAGAACTCCGACTTTAAAAACAGAATTTTCTGCGAATAAGAATTATAAAAATCAGAAAAATAAAAATTCTGACTTTAAAAAATCAGAATAAAAACCAGAATTCTGACTATAAAAATATCAGAATATTATAGAAATTAATTCTGAAAATCAGAATTTCTGAAAATTAAAACAACTCAGAATTCTGACCCTAAATAATCAGAATAAAAAAATCAGAATAAAAATCAGAATTTAAAACCAGAATTCTGTTCTGTGAAAAATAATCTAAAATTATTTGTTCTGAAACTTTTCTTATTTTAAGAGACGTGGGAATCAAAATACTGGTGAAATCCTAAGCCGCCAAGAACGACGTATTTTGCTTCAGGTGTTTTTAATTAATTTAGTTTTTAATGATTTCTAAAAAATTCTAGACAAGTTCACAATTTTTGCCATTAAGTCTTTTAATGATTTGCGGTTATTTACTACCCAATAATGCTTCTTTAGACTTGATTGCTTTTCTTAATATTGGATCGGTAATAAAAAATTTTTGTTAAAATATCAGAATATTCTGAAAAAAGCAGAATTCTGATTTTTTAAAAATCAGAATTCTGAAGAAATCAGAAGCAAAAACCAGAAAAATCAGAATTCTGACTTTAAAAAATCAGAATATTCTGAAAAAAGCAGAATTCTGATTCTTTAAAAATCAGAATGAAAATCAGAATATTCTGAAAAACCAGAATTATAAAAACCAATAAAATCAGAATTCTGACTTTAAAAGAATCAGAATAAAAATCAGAATATTCTGATATAACACTAACCAAAAAATAAAAATCCAATTTAGATGCTTATTTGTGGAGTAAATCCATTCCTTTACTTGGCTTTAAATGTTCAATTTCGTGAACGTTTTCTACTTATGATTTGTTGCAGAAAAGAAAAGAAAAATAAATTTGTTATGGCTATACCTCCAAAAACAAATATTGCCAAAATTAATCCAACAGGAAATAATTTAGTAAATACTTATAATGGTCCAAAACGCGTCAATTCAATGCCACAAATATCAAAATGAAAAAAAGAATGCTAAGGATATATACATAGGTGTTTGTGGAGTGTTAAGTATTGTATTATGTGTAACATGATTCTCTTTTTTCTCTACCTCGCTTGAATATTCCAGAATATTTCCGGAATAAGTTTTATTAATAACTTTCTTTCCGGAACAATTATAGAACCTTCCGGAAGAATATTTTCAACTTCTATCGCAAACTTTCTGTGAATAATCTTTTCCGGAATTTGTATAACTATAGAATCAAGTTATAACTTTTCCGGAAAACTATTATATTTAAACCTTCCGGAAAAAGTTATATATTCCGGAATTTATATAACTATGGAATAACTATGAAAATTTCCGGAAAATTATACTTTCCGGAAAAGTTATATTTCCAGAAAACAAATAAACTTTTCCGGAACATTTTTAATTTTCAAAACTTTCCGGAAAATATGTATATTTATAACTAGTACTATTTCTTTTTAACTCTTTTCTTTAATTCTCAAACTTATCTAGATTTTTCTAACACCTCTAATTGTATAAGTAAATTAAAAATAAAATTGTAATTAAATTTTAAAACAAAAATTAAAAGATTTATCGCCATCCTTTGCCAGCCATTCGCCCGCCATTTTTTTGTGCACAATAAAATTTTTTGTAATTTTTGGGGAGAAGGGGGAGGAAAAATGAAAGAAGGGAGAGATATGAATTGGAGGTTTTTTATTTGGTATAAAAAAATTTTTTCTTGAAAATTAGTCCCGTTTCTGAGCTTTTTTCGTCTTTTTCAATTTTCGTTTGTCGAAATACTAAATTTTACAATTTGGTTAGGTTCTATTTGTGAAACATAAATATCTCCATTATCGCTGATTGCAAGGGCATGGGCATTTTCGAGGCCCTAAAAATTGAGAGAAAATTTTTTCTTGAATTTTTTCGAATTTCCGTATTTACCTTAGCAAAGCTATTAGCCCTTCCTGTGTTCATATCCATTACGAAAACTTGGGATTCTAATTGACTGCCTTGATCTTGATTGGTGACGCCGACGAGGAAGTGTTCTTAAATGAAGATAATTTAATAAAAGTTTTCCGGAATTATTATAACTCTGGAATTGGATACTTTTCCGGAAAGTATTTAATTTAAATTCCGGAAAGCACTTTCTGGAAAATAATTTTATAAAGTCTCCGGAAAAGTTTTCCGGAAAACTTTTTTATAAAACATTCCCGTAAACACTTTCCGGAACAACTCCTATGTTATAAAATATCAGGGGTGTGCGCAAGAGATAAGTTAAACGCAACGCAAAATTCACAAATCAACGTAAAACGCGCACCGCTGGACCCGATTCAAAAAGAACAAAAATTTTGCCTTTCTCTCGGATAGCAAAGACTCGACCAATATTTTCAGCCTTTGTGAAGAAAGTGCCGGTGGGGACGTAAGCACGTCTATGTTGGTGTTGAGCGCCTTCTAATCCAGCAGAAAAGCATTGAATACTTTAAAGGGATAAAATTAAAAATTCAAAAGAGGAAGGCTTGTCTACCGTTCATTTTCACGGTCAGCAACACAGAGTAAGTTGAGATCCTCAATTAGGGTTAGAGAGTGTGGTACAAGGAATTCTCCATTTTTGGGTGTTTCACTGGCTAAAAACAATACAAATTATCATTATTTTTATAGGGAATGAGACTTCACTATAAGATAACCCTTGGGCTGAAAACCCGTACCTTATAATGAAAGTATCCTAAATAAAGGTGTATCTAATATGGAGAGACTCTTATAAAGAGGGGCTAGAAAACCGTCCCTCATAATGAGAGTGCCTTAAATAGAGGTGTATCTAATATTGAGAGTCTCTTATAGAGAGCTAGAAAACCCGTCCCTTATAATGAGAGTGCATTAAATAGAGGTGTATCTACTATTGAGAGTCTCTTATAGAGAGGTTCTAGAAAAGCCTCCCTTATGATGAAAGTGCCTTAAATAGAGGTGTATCTAATATTGAGAGTTTCTTATAGAGAGGTTCTAGAAAAGCCTCCCTTATAATGAAAGTGCCTTAAATAGAGGTGTATCTAATATTGAGAGTTTCTTATAGAGAGGTTCTACAAATAATAAATCATTACAGTCAGGCTTCCCAAATTGACTGAGCAATTTCCCATCCTTGTCAAACTTCATTATTCGACTATTACAGTAACCATCTGCCACGAAGAACTCTCCTGTACTGGCAATAGCAACGTCTGTAGGTTTGCAAAAATGTTTGTCATCTGCCCCTGGAACAAGTTTCTCTCCCAAACTCATAATCAACTGAAAATAATTTTGAGTGATTTCATCAGCGAACCCCCCCCCCCCCCCCCCCCGCTAACTTTAAAGTCCTTGTCAAGTTTGTGGACTTGATGACTTCCAACGTCAGTAACCCAAATATTGCCGTGGGCATCGATTGTTAGTCCATGAGGCATGTAGAACATGCTTTTTCCGTGTTCTTCCAAGACTGCCCCTGATTCTGTGTCTATAACAGCAATTGTTGTGTTTGGAATGATGCGCAGGGATCTGCAAATGAGTGCTGAAGGTGGAATGACATTTGTGAACAAACGACATTTGCGTAAACACTATAAGCCTACAGTACCTCTGTATTATGTGATAAACTACAGAATAAAGTTATAATTTTCCGGAAAAGTTTTATTCACCGAAAACTTATAAGCACTCCGGAAAACATTTATAAAATTTTCCGTAAGCTTATTCAGCAAATGTCGTTTGTTCGCAAATGTCGCTCTATCAATTGTAAAACCTGTTTAATTGGTTGTTCTCATCAAATGAACTTAAAATTAATAATGTTTTTTTTAATTTTCCAAGGATTACTACTTACAATTCATCCCAAACTCTGTCAGATCGGTGAAAAAGAACAAGTCGATTCAATGGATCCAATGCAATACCCGGAGCTTGCCCAATGTTTGGAGGAAGTTGTAACACAAAACTCTCCTTTTAAATTGACCAAATAAATAAAATATAACCTCAAGACCCACTTTTAGACACCCCCTGGGGAATTAAAAGGGAATGAACTAAATTAGTGAAAAGATTGACCTCATAGAGTATCGCTTAGGGGGCTCCACAACCACCCAGAAGTAAACTAACTTTGAAAAGCGTATCTTAAATAGAGGTATCCATAAATCTAAAAATGAGCAGTTATCTAATAATGAGTATATCCAATATAGAGGGTATCTAATAACAAGGTCAATAGTGTGCCTAGTTTCCAACCTCATCCTTCAATTCATCAATCCCTTCAGCCTGTTCCAGTTCATTCTCTGTTTTCTCTTCAAATGGGATTTCTTTATGTTGGTGGTTGTTTTGGAGTTGAGCTAAAGCTGCTCCAACTCGACTTAGGGTTTCTATAGGGGAGAATAAATTTTTAAAATTTTAATTAAGAAATTTGAATGCCTTCATTGCCGAGATTGCCCTGTTGAAACAATTCAGCCCACGAATTGTCATAGAATTCTGGAATTGTACCTCCTAACAGCACTTGGCCATGTGCTAGGATAAAGGCCAATAATAAAGATAAAGAGACATTGGACATCCCTATAATTTAATCAGAAAATTTTACAGTTGAAACACTCGATATAAGAAACCTCAATATAAGGAATCTCGTTATAAGACACTCCCTTTGGTCTGAAAAATCGTACCCTATAATGAGATGTATCTTAAACTGAAAGGTATCGTTTAGACCTCTCTCCTCCACACAGTGGCCAATCACTTTAAAAAGTGGTGGCCTTATATTGAGGTGTACATAAAATAGAGGATACACTCTCAGTTTAAGATACATTTTTTAAACGCCTGTGCTTTGGATCGGGGAAGAGGGATCGGGGGAGAGATGTCCTTATGATACTTCCAATTTAAGCTACCCTTCATTATAAGAGACAATTTTCAGCCCCAAAGGGGTGAATTATAACGAGATTTGACTGTGAAAGATGTTTCTATGGGAAGATGTTTTATTTATTCACATGGAATGAAGATGGAAGATAGGGGAAGGAGGGGGACAGCTTTTTTTGCCATTCAATTTAAAATCGATAAAGATTTGGCAAAAAAATGTCGTCATCTTCAACAAGGAAATTTAATATATAAATTTGCTGTCTTTCTAACGCTATAAGGCTGCAGAAAAAATTTCTCGTGCCAAACAGTTGAAGGTTTTGTGAGAATAAAGACGAGAAGAAAGAATATAAGCAAGCATTGCCAAAGGCAGTCGATGGCATTATCTAACACTACAATTTAAGGTTGGGACAAAATACCGTCCGACTAATATAGTCGACATACAATGGAGTAGAAATAACGTCCATTTTGCTTCGAGAAGACAATTTTAAAATATAATTTCTAGGCAAAGAATAGGGGTATTGTGACTTATAGCGGGTTTTTTGTTTCTGAACCGATTTCGACAAATGAGGTGTCATTCGAAAGAGCATCGAAAATGGAGTCGAACTAGATATGGGGGAAGTCGATCCGACAATCAGGGACCGAGTTACAGACCCCTGAAGTTTGAAAAAGAGAAGGGGGGAGTAAGCTCATTTTGGGGTGAAAAATTCGAAAATGCAAATAATAGCTCATTCAACTCAGCTCATCGAGCTGAGTCGAATGACACCAAAATCACCGAAATCCGACTTGATTTGACAAAGTTATGATCGTTTGTTTTAGCTCCTTACCTATGGTCTTTGTGGAGGTTTTTGCTACTACGGAGGCCCAAGTACGTCCAGAGCAAGGGAGATAGGGATAGGTTTATGTTACTGAACCAGACCCATCGCCCGTAGACTCCCCGCGAGGCGCGTGCCGCGAAACCCCGCGCGAAGCGCGGGGTTTCGCACAAGCGCCTCGCCGACGCTCCATAGGTTTATGTTGACCATTTTGAACCTGTTTATCTTGGCTCAGAATCAAGATATCGAGCTGATTTTGGTGTCATTCGACTCAGCTCGTCGAGCTGAGTCGAATGAGCTATTATTTGCGTTTTCGAATTTTTCACCCCAAAATGAGCTTACTCCCCCTTTCTCTTTTTCAAACTTCAGGGGTCTGTAACTCGGCCCCTGATTGTCGGATCGACTTCCCCCATATCTAGTTCGACTCCATTTTCGATGCTCTTTCGAATGACACCTCATTTGTCGAAATCGGTTCAGAAACAAAAAACCCGCTATAAGTCACAACACTCAAGAATAGTAAAAACCTAACAACCTTAGGGTCTAAAGACTTAAAAGACTTAATGTTAGCTCTAATAAATACATATATCTGGGGTGTTTCTTCTAATGTCAGGACGGTAACTTGTCAGACGATGTTTTGCCCCCCATCTAACAAGTCCAGTACAATTTTTATCTTCTGTCTCTGCCTCGTATGTCTTTATCCCGCAAACGTAAATACAATTCTACAAGCTTTATTATTAAAAAATTTTTTTGTTTTTTACTTCATTCCTCTCTCTCTTCTTTTTCCTTATTTTATATTTTTTCAAAAAAATTTCTGCGGGACTGTGCCGAACATTTTCATATATTCTTTTATTTTACATGTTCGCCCTTTCTCTCTTTTTCTAATATTTGTTAGGCCAAAGAATTATGTAAAGAGAATTTCTAAAAGCTTCACTCGGCTGTAATGTAACGCACACATGAAATGCCACTATGTTCCTTTTATATGCTAATATATAACATTTATTGATAAAATAAGTGAACATTTTAAAAAGACGAAAAATGAGAATTATTAGAAAAAAAATTTTTGAAAAAATTAATATTGTGTAATTACAAAAAATTTTTTTAAAAAGAGAATTACTGTAAGCTAAAAAATTTTTTTAGAACATTTATATCAATAAAAGCATGATTTTACAAAAAAAAACCAGATAAATGCCAAAAAATGTTAAAAACAGGACAAAAAAACCTTCCAGAATAGTTGAAAATTCGTAGTACAGACGATACTTTTTGGTATTTATCGGTTGTCCGATATATCCTATTTTATTACCCTCAACGTTTCAGGAAGGCTTATATTTATGGACAAAAATTCAATCAAAAAATAATTTTTTTTTAAATTTTTCCACCTAATATTCTTCACTCACAAACAACTTTCATAACCTCAACCCTCCGTTCTCCACTATTCTTAACCAAAGAATAACGAAATTCTTCCATTCCAGAACAAGCTGCTCCAAAATTTCCTTCAATTGTCGTTGCTATTATTCCCCCAAAAAAGTTTGGATAAAACTTTTTAATTCTTAAGATAGCTTCTCTAGTTGCTTCAAATGGACTTTTGCCTTGACGCATTAATTCTACCACCAGAAAACTTTAAAATAAAAAAAATTTTGATTTAATATGTTGATAAAAATGAAAAAAAGAAGAGGCTTCGACAGCTTGTAGGAGAGAAGGGATGGAAAAGGGGAAAGCAGAAAGGGGTCTAAAAAAATGTGGTTCACACCAGTGCTGGATATAGCCCCGGGGAGCTAGCTCCGGAGCTAAGATTTTGAGAATCCCGAAGAGCCAAGATTTGAAAAGGGCCGGAGCCAGCCAGCACAGATTACTACACAGAAAAAAGGGTGTGTAGTATACCAGTGATTAGACTGGATGAAAAACCTAATTTGGTTGGTCACTGGGTGGGGAAGTTGCCTAAGCGATACCGCAGCAAGAATGTACCGTAAATACTATTTTTTACCTAGGCACAAATCTCATCATTACATCCCCATCTCCAGTAGCTGCAGCACCACCAACATAATTATCAACATATGCCCCAGCCCCTACAATGGGGGAATCACCTACACGGCTTCAAAAAATATTTTTTAAATTATTTTGGAGGAAAAAATAAACCCGGGTATTTTATTTCTCGCTCCATTCGAAGATGTTCCAGCAGCCACATTTCCATTTTCATCAACTAGTACCATTCCGATGGTATCATGATTGCCTTTGTTAAATGTGGGGAATTGATCCTAAATTTGGGTATTTAAAAAAAAATTTTCTACAAATCAGAGGTGGATCGGAACAACAAAAAGTGTAAAAAATCGAATCGTAAACTCAACTATTCAAAAGAATTTTAGAAACAGAAAAGTAAGGAATTAAAATTCCGATTGAGAACATCTAAAAATGAGTACAGCAGTATTTTGAAAAATCGAGTTTTTTTGGGGATTTTAGCCAAGAGACCCCAGCCCGGTCAATTTGAAAAAAAACAAGGTTTGCCGGACCAGACAATTTAAAAATCTCAAACTATAATAATTACTAAACGAAACCTTTTTTGGATTTATTGACAATTTCCATTTTGGTTTGTAAGGACCACAAGTTGTTTTAGGGTCGGGAAAGACATTCTTGAAAAGAAAAATTAATTTTTCAAGTTTTTTTAGAATTTAAACCTTCCAAAAATTAGGCTGACATTTATCATCAAGCCATTGTTCATGCATTTTTCTAGTTTCTGGAGTTGACAATGATTTAAGTTTAAACCCCATAGATTGGGCAAATTTTGTTGCTGGAAAAGTTAAAGAATATGAGGGATTTTATAAAAATTAAAGCTTGGGACTAGGCACGGAACTAGAATTTTTTTCGGAGGGCCGCCTGGTATGGGCCTGATTGGGACGACGGGAACCAGTAAGGCTTTTTAATCAAATCTCTCCATGAAATCCAAGAATTGAGATTTCTCTAATGAAAATCCCTTACAAACCTTTTTCTCCAACCAAAAGTGAATGTTCTGTATAGTTCATTACTGCCCAAGCTACACGTGCAGCTGACTTAACATTCCTAATAAAAATTGAACATAAAGTTGTTTATCAGACTCAAGGTTTGGAATATTATCAGAATACCTGTACAATCAACGAAAAAGGTCTTCAGAAATTTTCGACCAAAAAAAATTAAGGGAAAAATGTCAGCAAAAATTGTGGTATAAAATTGTCTAAAAAATTTTGTGGAAAAATCATTAAATGGAAAAGAGGTTTTGGTATTATTTTATTTATTTTAATAAAAAAAAGAAGTATACCTAAGCGCCGCCACAGCCCCACTTCTATGTCCAGATCCATCGATCAAAAGAGAATCTAGAGTTGTTTCTCCATTTTCATCGGGAGAACCGCCAAAACCAACAGTATGGTCACATTGACGATTTTCACATTCAGAAAGACCTAAAAACAAGAATCCTTTAAATGTGAGGAAGACAATAAAGATTAAGTTGTGGCCGAACCGAGGTTTGGATTTCTGGGGTACCAAGGGCTCAATTTCTGATTCTCCTGGTTAATTCCTGGACTACACGCCCTTACAAGTCATTGCTTCAAAAATTAGCCCAGGATTCGAAATTTAGTTTAAAAACTCAAAAAGCCTTTTTTAGACTAAAAAAGACTCAAATCACTAACAGAAATTCTAAAAAAATCAGCCTGACTTTTTAGGAATCTCTATCTATAAAAAAGAAAATTTAAACCTTCAACCAAAGCATTTAGGCGACGAAAGGATCCGTTTACATTTTTAGATGTAGAGATGAGTGTTTCAAAAGCTAAAAAATTTAATTTTAATTTAAAATCATGTAAGCATCAACCTTTAAGAGCGGCCGATTGAAAGTCTTTAGTTGCCCATGTGGAGACGCTGAGTAAAGAGAAACCTATAGAACAGGTCCATTAAAGTCTGTTTTTTGAATTTAAAGTTAAGTAGGACCTCTTGATAAGATGCCCTTTAGATCGGTTTAACGAAACCCTTATTGATTTGGTTAGCCACTCGTTTAGAAAGATATATAAACGATACCCCCAAATTAAGATACACGTCATTAGGGTTGGTGTTTTCAAGTCGGGCCGACGTTCGAGCCATTTTTTTCGGTCCCGCCGGCCCGACAATGTCGCCAAGGTTTTTTTGAGCCTTTTTCGGGCCAAAATTTGATGCCCGACTCGATCTTTAGGACCGGACCCCCAACCCTACTCGTCATTATAAGATACAGTTTTTTGTTCCTAAAGGTTCTAGTTATAAAGGGGGTATTTGCAAAGGAATAGAAGTTAAGAAATTTTTAAAAACTTACATTAAAGGCAGACCTTCAGCCTTCGCTTGGTAAATTGATAAAGAAGATAATACTATTAGAAATGTACTTATTTGATGAAAATATTCTGGTTGTGGACGCTTCATAATTTTTTTAAACAAATTTGGATTAATCTAAAATGCACACGCAAATTAAAAAAAATAAAACACGTTAAAATTTGCCGAAACACTCCCAAAAAAAAACCTCTAGTTTGAAATTTGCAAAAATTTATTTGTTTGGCATTCTGTTTATTAAAAATGACATTTTGTCTCGCAATTTAGTATAAAAGGAAAAATGAGAGAAGGTTAGAGAATGAAAGAAAAGTAAGGAAAAGGTAGATATTGGCCAAGATTTCGTGTTCGTTTTTGCGCGTTTCGTCTTTTTTGTTTATTTCCTTTAGTATTAAAGACAGTTTTTACAATTTACATTGCTTTATCTAAAAACGAGGTAAAATTGAAACTTTAACTTTGATTTTAAGCATTATTTCTTTGTTCTTTAATCGACTTCTCGTGAATAAGGCACCACAATTAGATTTGGGCAGTCACATGAACATTATTTACTTTAAGTTCTGAGGTTACCTTTACCTCGTTTCTAGATTAAGCTTTTGTACTTGTATTCTTATTAATTCCAAGCCTTTCCTCTTCATCCAGTTTTTCCTCTAAAATGGACATAATGGTCACACTTCCTTAATTTTACTTTATTTTTCTTTGGAAGTTAAATATTAACTAATACTGGGACCAGGGGTGGGCGCATTGTGTTTTGCGTCTTGCGTTATTTGCGTTAAATTTTGGCCTTGCGTTGCGTCTTGCGTTTTTTGAGATTGTCTCTTGCGCCCACCCCAGTCTGGGACGTTTGCTTTTGTCTATTACTACTGGAAAGATTCCTCGTCCACCAAAATTTTGCGAGTTCATTCATATAAAGAGTCTGACCATTATGTACATCTTGAAATAAAAATTGGATGGGGTGGGGCAATGAATTACTCTCCTCAATCGTCTTTTATTTTAGAGCTATAAAATCTAAAATTAAAAAATGTCTACTACTGCTGGAAGGATTCCTCGTCCACCGGAGCATATTATGCGCTATCCATTGCACAATGTCGCCAAGGTTTTTGGAAATATGGCGCTTGCATCTTCCTTTTTGTCTGCAATCTCTTATGCTTATTTCTACGTATTGCCTCGTCGTCATCAATATCGCGTGTTTATGCAGTTTGTTTTGACCTTTTTTTAATTTCTGAAAATTTCTGAAAATTTTCCCGAAATCCGCAAAAAGTTGCGGATAATTTTTGCGGTCAAATTTCTCCTTTTTCTGAAATCTAATCAAAATGGATGTTTAAACATACCAGAACATTTTTGACTAAATTTTTCTTTAAAATCTTTTTTTAGAAATTATGACCCGTATGAGGAGATGCGTCGTATCTGTGCTTATCCAAAGAAGTATATGATCACCTGCCCTACTGTTTTGGCTGAAAAGTTGAAGGAGAAGGTTTATTATTGAGGAATTTGAATGATCTGGGTTTAGACACTAGTAGGGAGGGTTAACCTGGCCAAATTTTCGATTTGGGTTGGAAATGGTGAAGCTGAAAAACCCTGATCCTTGGTAGCAATGACCAGTTGCTTTATTTTGTGATAAATCCACAACCTTGTGAAATATCCTGGTCTGGCCTCCAGAGCCTTGTAAAATTAAAGCGTGGTTTGGTGCAGGTCGTAACTGTGGGTTGCACAAATTTCGCAGTTTTCAATTTCGGATTTGGAAGATATTTTTTCAAGAAAGGGTTAAAGAATGAAACAACGGGCTGCTTTTTGTTCTTCGTAATTTTGGATTGCGAGAGCAGCCTCCTTTCCTTAAAAATCCCTATTTTTAATGTTGCGTTTTTTGGGAATCCTTTCCAAAAAAAGCCTAAAACGAAGCTTGTCAAAAATATTTGAATTGCCCTTTTAATTTTAATTGCCTTAATTCTTTTTTTTCCCTTTTTTGGTCCTATTAATGACTAGAATTATGGGGTTTCCTTCCAAAACCAAATAAAAAATTGTTTTTCAGGGCATGGAAGTGGGAGATTATCCTGAACTTTCAAGCGATAATGCGAACATGAAGATGACTACTCCAATGGGCAAAGAAGAGAAGAAGTCCAAATCTGTTGAAGAATTTTCGGAATAGGAAGAGGGAGGGTTTGACTTTATAGAAGGATAAAAATAAATATAAAAAAATAGATGTGTGTTTTTGTTAAATTTGTGTATGTCAATTGTGGTAGATAAAAAATTTTTTTTGATTTTTATTTTTATTTGAAAGAGGAAAAGTTTAATTACTTTTTGATTATTTTTTTAATTTTATTGTTTAAATCCATCTTTCTGCAAATTCGCTAAATCAAATAAAAATTGTCGTCCGCAATTATATGAAAAAAATTTTTTTCGGAACAAAAATTTAAAGGGGAGGAAGGGGTGTTCTTAATTTCACTGAAAACTTTGCGGACACTTTTTGCGGACTGGCAAATTTTATTTTTGAATCTGGTTGCCTCACTTTACGGGAAAACTTTGTTGCATTTGTATTTTTTAAAATTTTCGGAGATACCAGGAGGGTTTTCAAATTTTGTTTATCAAAATTCCTGGGCACATTCTATTAATTTTACATTCTTTAACAATTTGCAGATTTTATTTAAAAAATAAATTTTTAAAAATGTTTTCTATGCTTGGTGCTGGGGCAGTTTCGGCAGTTGTGGGGGCAATTATTTATGCCAACCTTCCTACTCGTTTGACTATTGGAGGTGTGCTTCCAACGGTTGAATATTTGTCCAAAACAAATTTAAAATTGATTGAGAAAGGAAAAGGCGATGCTGCGATTTTTGAAGGAAAAAATGTTTTGGTTTGTTTTGAGTTTTTTAATTTTTTATATATTGGGGTTTGCTTCCTTCCTTTGATTTTCTGTAAAATATTTTTAGTGGGAAAATTAAGAAAACAGGTCAAATTGCAAAACGACTTGTACTAAATTTTTAGATGGCCAATAAGCCAAAGTTTCTCTTTAGCACATCGGGGAGATAGAATATTTGGATCTTTTTTCTTTTTCCCATTTTAGAGGTGTCAGTCTTGATTTTCTTTGCCTTTCAGTTTAATTCCTACTCCAAATTGATAATAGCTCATAAAAATTCTGTCGGATTCTGTCCGTTTTTGGACAGGGAAATTTAAGGAAAAATATGTTCTGACTTTGTCGACGTTTGTAGATAAATACGATAAAACGACAAATAGACTAATAATTAGCAAGACAAACGGGTAAAGACCTGTAGGTGAACAAGGTGCAAAACTCTATCAAGGCGTGACTATTTCTAGTAATTTTGAACTATTTGGGAGCGTCGGAGACGCTTCTCACTAAAAAAGCTTCTCAAAAAGTGAACTTGGTTGCAGTGCAGAAAAACTTTTCCCCCTTGGCCCCTCCCCCGAAATAAATCTTGGCTTACGGGCCTGCTTGGTTGACTCCTTCCTTTTCTTCTGATCACAAATTAATTATTTCTCAAAATTTTCTTCAGGCTGAAGAAATTTTCAACGCAAATCCGACACTTGTTATGGCCGTCAGACGTCCTGGCTGTTCTTTTTGCCGTAAAGAAGCTTCTCAAATTTGTTCATTGTCTAAACAACTTGAAGAAAAGGGCGTCAAAGTAATTGGTGTTGTTCATGAGACGCTTGGAGTTGAAGAATTTAGACCTTTTTTGGGATGTTCTGATGCTTTGTATTTTGACCCTGAGGTTTTTTTTTATTTTTTTTTGGGACTTTTTAATGGTGTAGGATTAGGAATGTAAGGATGATTCACCCATCAACATTATAAACGCTCGTGCGGGGGTTAAACGATCTAAAAAGGAAAAAGAGAAAGCATTAGTCGATGCCCCGGTAGCTCAGAAGTAGAGCTTCTGCATATGGTGAGCGAAAGCGCCTAGCAATAACTAGCAGGTGGTCGCAGGTTCGAATCCTGCCCGGTGGCTAAACTTTTGCAAATTCTTCCTGGAATTTAAAAATTAGGACTCCCATGGTTATAAAATTGCAAATTTCTGGTTCTGTTTCCTGGCGGAAGCCATTTTCAGCAGCCTATAATCAAAAAGTCGAAAGTGCCAGGAAACGGTTCAAACAGTTAAAAAAATTTTTTGGGGCTGAAAAATTACTAGAAATAACTATAAAATTAGAATTGAGACGTAAATGTTAAATAGAATATTTCTAAATTTGGTTGTCAAAAATGTTTCCATTTTATTTGCATGAAATTCGATTGCTTTAATCCTTTTCTCATCTAAGATTTTGTTAAAGACTTTGGGATGTTGTGACTTAAACCTAAAGCCAGTGATTTTTCTTGGATTGTTTTTCGGTTCGTCTCCGGATACCTAAGGAATTTCTTTGAACCTATAAACCCCTACCAGCGTTCAAATAAATTAAAATTTTATTTTTTAAAGAAAAAGTTTTTTGGACCTGAGCAACGTTGGTTACCCCTTTGGATGGGATTTTTACGTATCAACACATACATCAACACTTACAAAACAAAGAAAGCTGGATTTGTTGGAAATTTGGAAGGGGAAGGACGACTTTTGGGAGGTTATTTTTTATTAAGTTAAAATTTGTTTTTGGTTAGAAAATTATTTTCCTGGGGGGAATCGAACCTGCGTCCTCATTGACTAAATAAATTATCCCACTTAACCAAAGTGCACAAATTTTTTTCTTTATTAGTTTAAAATTTTTTTCATTTCAAAAATAAATTTTTCCATACCGGGTTCGAACCTGCGTTCATTGAGA